CGAGAGATAGAACAATTGAGTCTGTATGATGCCAATCAGAGCTTGATTGGGTTCATTTCCAGGTAGAGCCAAGCCTCAACACCATCGAACTGTGGTTATTGCGCTCCCAGGAGAAGCTACAAATAATGATATCATGCAATATTCTAGCGCGCAACCTAGATTCAGACCAAAGCTCAATGAGGAAAGGAGTCACAAGAGCTGAGGAAAGAAGATGCGGTGAACAATTATCTTTCGGATGTAGGCTTGAAACAATTCCATTGATTGGGAAACTGCGTGCATTGTTGTTCGACTGATAAGGCATTGACGGCTAAAACGCCTTGACGACCAAATTATCTCTGCATGGCCTACGCATTGGTGCTTCTTATTCTGGTTCTGTAGGGAACATTCCCCGTTCAAGAGAGGCCACTTGGGGAAGATGTCTCACGCATGGCTATTTCTTGTCCGAGAAGGACAAGTTGACTCAATTGCATGATTGAATCCAACTCCAGGCAATGGGTTTGATTCTTCTTGGTACTTGTCCCATCCGTAATTTCATTTCGGTGGATAATAAGCCGTGATTGAATGCTTAAGAGTATGGTGATGTACCCAAACTTAACAAGATGAGAGACGTTTGATAACACTCAATGATGCCACCAATACCTCCTGGATGGAAGCGACATGATCGGGTGTTCTTTTCTAAGGTCTACGGATCTTATTCAAGGTCTCCGTGAAGGCGTAATTTTGGTATTCAAGGCATTGAATGCCGTTCCTGGAGTATGAGTACTAACGATAGGAACATGATTTCCTGGCAATGCGAAATATTAAGTTGTTATGAAATCTATCTGAGAGTACTCTTTAACTTCTGGTTCTCGTCATGCTCCGACTCTAGCTTCTGTAAGTGTTTCCAAGTCGGGAGCTTTCAGATTCTGCAAGACCTTTACCTTTTATTGGTTTCCCTGCGTTCGTCTTATGCATGCATAGCGAAGCAGCTTCTTCCGTGAATGCTTCCTGCGGCATGTCTGCCCAAGGACAATCTCCCCACCTGCATCTTCGTCCGACCTGGTACTATCGTGCATCTCGTGGGGAGGCATAGTTCACGTAATGACTGGGGCTGCCCTGCTAATGCATTGCTGAGGCAGTAAGATGACAGCGATGGGTGTTTGGATATGTTACCCATGGGCAGGTTGGAGGTTCGGCTGGTTCTTTACATGCATATTCCATGCGAACTTGGCTAGCTGGCTAAGTCTACCGAATCTAGAGTGCCATCCACTTGCATTCTACATGTACGCATATGGCATTTGGCATGGAAAATGTAAAACTCGATCGGATCCTTTTTGGAGAGCCTTACAGTTGCATTGCTTGCCGAGGAGCGGTGGTTTATAGGAGTTGCATATTGTACAAATAGAGCAAACAGAGGTATGGCAGGTGAGAGTTTTAGTGGTACCAGGGGCAGAGCGCGACGTAGGCCATATGAGATGGGGATCAGTGACGCTCTCTATGTTGCTTCATCAAAACCAATGAGTGTCAGACAGACACCCATACTTGTGCAGGAATTGCGGTAACAGCCTTGGAGTGGAGCATATCCATCCCAGTTTTGAACCTCGACGACTAAAATAGCAAAATGATCATTCAAGGCCCAACCTTAGAAATAGCATGCATGAGATGAGGAGTCATGGTGGGACCGGATCGCCAAAGAATGACCCAACACGCAATAAATCAGTGCTCAAGTATGTCCCTGTGCCGCGAGGGAAGAAAGTATTTTCAAGAAATGGAGAATATCAGCTCACGTTGATTGATGGCCGAAGATTATTTGTTTATTATCACCGTCATCCTGCGCCATGATCACGTAAATGGGACTTCGTCTATACGTGCGGCCAGGCAGGTTTCAGCTGCGCAAAGAGGGGCACTTACAAGCATCAAGGGTCTTTGTCTATGTATATCAGAGGCGATTATACATATTGGGTGGCTGCGCTATCGAAATGCAGGTTTTCCTGATTTCAGAGAGCGCTTGAGCGGTCAGAGTGAGATAAGAGGGAAGATGGGTGAGATGACTCTCTAGAAGCTTCTATCTAACATATTATGATATCGAATAGCCACATGTGATTCGCAGAGGAAAGCGGAGAACTGGAAAGCGGGTGCGAGGAAACATTGTCTTTGGTGGAAAGGTGAGGGGGCGTGAATCAGGTGCTCACTCCTCCTCATGCAGCCAGTCCGCCAATGGATCGCGCGGGTTCGCGTCTACCAGGAGACCCAGATGGCGTATGGGTCGCGTAGATAAACATTACATTGCATCCTGCTGCCTGATGTCCGTAGCGAGGGGGCAGGTTCTGTCTGACAGGCATAACACAAAGCGACTGAAGCATAATAAGCTACGGATGAGTAAATGATGGATTCAGATATGACGCGGAGACTTCTCATCCCAAAAGGCCCAGAAACAGGATTCCGACTACGAAGCTGAATCGCTCGGGTTGCCTGTGACTCAGCTCTACCCCAGGTTTCATGCAGGACGCTGGATCCAGTGACCAAGTGGCATTGCCTGACTGGACCAGGCTCGTATCTGGCACGACTCCGACAAAAAAGGGGCCCTTCTGCAATGTGATTACCATTCGGATCTGATATCTGCGCAGTGGTTGTGATAAAAAGGCTAAGGCACTCTACGCGGTTCGGTAGGCGCAGCATGTGACAAGATAGGGGGTCAGCAGAGTGCCTGCAGATAGCCATTCTTGTGATGTGAGCCCACATGGGCATGCAGGTCATAATCCTTTGGGAACCGGGCAACCTCATTGGCGGCGTCCGTCTTGCCTAGTATGGAAGGGGGGATGTTTATCAAACAGGTTTGTTTTGATATAAAACTGGTTCTGTGGCTTCAACATTCTGATGACGGTCATCTTTGATCGCGAAATATTATCTTTGCAAAAGCCACCATATTGTTCAAACAAAAACCCGCTACCAGGCTGTCTGACTACCGAATAAGAACCACACTTTATAGGTCTTCTCTTGACACCTTATACCATATACACCGAGTTCAGCTGTCACAAAAATGAACAGACAAGCTAGATTCAGTTCTTCTGAAGGAAGAAAACTCAGAATATGGACATCTTGGAAGTAGGTCGGCTATCCTCTGACCCTTGAGTCCTTTATCATTTCTAACAGTTGAACCATAGTCAGGTAGATGTGCGGGTATCCGGATACTCCAAGACACCATATGGGATATTTAGAATAGATGATGACATTAATTTCCGCAACGAGGGCGCCAATGGCAAGACATCTGTTGTCCTCGTAGGGAAGGTCGACTTCCAGAGATGAGCTGGCTCACACACGTGCGTGGCTCGCCCGACGCCAAATATTGTCATTTCAGCTATGTTCACTGCAGTAACTTTGGCAGGCAGGGAGTTAAGGGAGGATATGGTGTTTACTTTGGTGACTGGTATCGGATGGGCATTTCTTGATAGATCTGGCTGCTCGAGCATTTTGTTTTACTGAATATTATACTTGGATTGATGCTCGTCGCTATTCTGGGATTTTCTTTTGCGTTTGGTTCTTTCCGATACATGCTTGGAGGGATCAGAACTTTTGCAGCTTTTTAGATCAGCTTTTGAAACTTTGGAGGTCAGAACTTACCTTCAGCTGGCTCACATTTCCTAGTTCTGCCCTCTGACTCATTTGCCTCATAGCCTCTTTTGATATACACAGACAAGATATTCCATTGTTGTGAGAACCGAATGTTCAATTTAGAAATATTCTAACAGGTTGGAGTTAGATTCATAACATAACGTGAAAATTGGGTTGTTTGCGCTTTTCATATGAGTTTGTAGACGAGATAAGCTTGGCTGAAATGCTTTAGTATAGTACCATCCTCTTTCCTACATTGTTCATGTTATTTCTTAGCTTCTGATCTTGCTGATATCAACCTAACACCCAAGCAGCTGATCGTGTCCTAGAATATTTCATATTTGGTATTTGAACAATATAATTTTCCTCGTGTCTAGCTTCAGTTCTCCTCCTTGACTGCGTATTGTCAACTTCTACTTAGGACTCGCTGTTTGCTTCCATCAAGTATGAATCCATTTCATCCTGGTCTTCAACGTCAATCATAGTAGACATCTCTACTCCGATAATCGTCTTGCACGCAATGGCACTGGCAGAAAATCTACCAGCGATAATGATAGAATCAGTACCACTAAGAAAAGCAGACTAGAGAATAAATGCACAAGGGCTGGTCGGCGAGTGATGCGGCTTGCTTCCACTGCTGGAATGCCGACATTATTATCACCGGTTTATCTGTGGCCGACGCCTGCATTCTGGTGTAGGCTAAACAAGCGAGATCTGCAAATGGCGGGAAGTCACTTCCCTAGGCTTTTACTAGGGCAAGGTACATGCTGGGTTTCTGGCCCGTATTTCTTAAATGACTAACCGGAATTACTCCGTCCTCTAACACACTTCCGGCAATCAGGCCCACCAATCGCTGCCTGACTAATGTATGACCTCCATTCACTAAATAGCCTCAATGATAATTTGATCTGACACGTAACTTGGCATAGCCTTATATGTCAGTATTCTTCCTCATGTCAATAACCACAGGTGTACAGCGAGTACGATAACGCAACTAGCTACTGCGTTGACCGCGCGCTGACCCTAAAGCACGAACAAGGTTCAAGGTTCGAACCTCCTGCGGAACCTTTATAAAAAGGGCATACCTGATCAGTATGACGCGGGGGATGAAATGTAAAGGTAACAGTTCCGATTACGGTTCAGAGACGCCTTTCCCTAAGGAAGCGCCATTCCTTAGTTTTTGCCAATTGGAATAACAAATAATATTTCCTTTTTGTCATTGTGCACTATTCGTTTTACGTCGCTGTTGCTGGATGGTATTGGATGGACTCCTTTGCCTTACAAGTACAACGACCGGGATGATAAGAAATTATTCTAATATTTTATTCCATTATTTGTTGCCTTCTTCCATTAGGTGTTTCATTTCTCTTGTCGCCAACTTGTCAAGCTTGGTTAAAAATGGCCGAAGGTCAATTACCTTTCCGTATCTGTTCGTTCAACATCTCTCGCAAGCTTCCCTCGCAATCCTCTTGATCAAAAAATACCTCAATGATCCCAACTCCCGTACCCAAAGTGAGCTTCCCAGATTGAATAATCGCTTCCAGTTCTCCCCATGTTCTTGCCTGGGGGAAACTTTCCAAGTTTGAGCTTTGCTGTCCTAGCATGGGGAGGATATGGGCATTGTTCCAACTCGCAATGTCGTTGTATCGCTGCTTCCTCCCATGGATTGCCCTCTCAATCGTGTACCCGTTATTATTGAGAATTATGATAGTGATGTTCAAACCTTCCTTCATCATGGTGCTGATTTCTTGCACAGTCATCTGAAGACTGCCATCACCAACAAAGAGAACCACACGCTCTTTGCCTGGAGCTCCATCTTTGCGGTTGTCGCTACACCCGAGAATTTCCCTTTGCGCAAGAGCGGCTCCAAGAGCAGCTGGAACCATGTAGCCGATGGAGAGCCAGGTGACAGCAGTCAAAAGCCGGCTCTTGGGTGGGAGCTTGAATTGCCGACTACCATGAGCTGCGGTGCCTGTCTCGGCAAGAATTATGTCTCCTTGATTGAAGATGGAATTAATGTAGTGATAAAAGTGCTTCTGTGTAAGAGGCAAGGATTTGTCTAGATCTACCGTGGGCGGTGGGTGATGCGAAGGACCTTGTGCGCCGAGTTTCAAAGGCTGCAAGCTTGAGAGAATTTTAGACATAACGCGACGAGGAGGGAGATCCCGGAAGAGCACTCCATCTACGCTCACGGTGTGTTGAGAGATGGCAATGGTGACGTTTTCTCTAGGAACGGCTGAAAAGCCAAATGAATTGGTGTCACTGAGATGAGGTCCGAAATGAAGAATAAGATCGGCTGTTTGGAAGTACTCGTTCCAACTCTCAGGTGCGTATTTTCCCTGAAAGATGCCATAAACGTTATACATGGACTCATCAATGAGACCCTTGCCGAAGATTGTCGTCCAAGTAGGCCACATCGTTCGCTTAGACAGCTCTTCTACCAGGTCAAGTATTCGCATCCCCCGAGTTTCCCCATCCAGAAGGATAGCAGGCCGTTTCGCTGCATTGAGTCGGCCGAGGACTCTCTCGACAATAGCGGCCTCATGCTGGGCCTCAGGTACATGAGGAACAGATAACACCGGCTTCTTCTTCATATTATCAGTTGACACCAAGGCGTCTACCATATCATCGGGAACCTCAATGTACACCGGTCGCTGGTGGAACAAAGCTTCTTGCAGAACCCAGTCGATTTGATCTGGGGCTGTCTGAGGGTCCACCAAGTTGACTTGAGCGGCCGTGATCTGTTGGTGAACGGCGGCGAACTGACGATAATCGCCCGTGGCAAGTGTATGGTGCATGAACACTCGTCGGTCCTGAAGGCTTCGGGCCGGTGTGCCCACGATGTGGACAATAGGCGCCTCCTCAGCATATGCACCAGCTATGCCATTGACAGCTGAGAGCTCGCCCACACCAAACGTAGTAATGAGAGCGCTGATTCCATTTATTCGGGAGTATCCATCGGCAGCATAGGCGGCATTAAGCTCGTTGCAATTGCCCACCCAGTGAAGCCCTGCAGGTTCAACGAAGTCCAGTAGACGCAGGTTGTAGTCTCCGGGAACACCAAAAACAGATCGTATGCCGAGGCTATAGAGCCTTGAAAAGATGTATTCTGCACACTTAACGGCATCTGGAGAGATCAATGTGAGTGACATGGTTGTGAGCACTGGGTAGGCTGGGCTGAGGATTATGATGGATGGTAAGATGGGGGAAATGGGTAAATTATTAGACTATATATATATACAGATACTAATAACAGAGAAAGCAAGGATGGCTCCAAGCGAGCACTTCGCCGTAGCTAATTAGCAAACAATCCCATAGCACCCATTGCCTGTTCTGCTTGACTGATGCAATGGAGCTGAGAAGTAACATCAAACAGCCAACGAGGGTTTTCTCCACTTGCACAGCACCATCGGACAACGCTAGTGCAGAGAATTCGCCGACTCTCCGGTGACCGAGAGTTCAGTCTTGTCCACTCCGGCCATCAGCGTTTTGTCCGTATGCCTGCTTTACGACGCAATCACAGACAGACAAGCTGTAAATGTCAATGCCCGAAAGCGAGCCTACAATGACATCCAGGCAAGCAGCATGCGAAGTGTGCCGCAAGGCCAAGCTTGCTTGTGACCACAAGAGGCCTGCCTGCACACGCTGCCTCAACACAGACAAGGGAGACCGGTGCTCATATCGAGAGAGCCCGTTCAAGCGCAAACAACCACGTGTTTCACCAACCAGTCGCGTTGAGACAAGACGTACTCGGAGCTCTCGGTACATCCCTTCTAGCCCAATCTCAAGCGTAGGACTCCATAAAGACAGGAGCTGACAAAGTATTCCTAGTCCAGAGTTGGCAGCCTTTCCATCAGTGCCCTGTGGGAAGCCAACCCGTCAGCCATACCCAAACCCTGGATTTATGGGTTATTCTAGTCATACCACCATCTTTAATCACATTTCCACAAATGAAGATGCAGCTGAATCCGCTGGCTCCCCTATCCAAATACCCGAAGGCTCTGACTCGGAAGAAGACGACTTGATCCCTCGAGGGGGGTTATTAGTATCAAAGATATTAGCTAAATGTGATATAGAAGCTATGCGTGATTTAATTCAATTTTGGCTTGCCAGAGACGTCAATTTAGCATTGGCCGGACCTTTCGTTCATCGTTGTGCAGAGAGCGCCGTCCACTTTGCAAAACATGCAAAGACGATGTCTCGGGAATCAGAACAGGACGCGTTGGCCAGAGTTTTGTTCCACAACTCAGCCCAACCCTTAGATCCGAGTCGAGGTTTTCACGTTGACAATTATATTGATCAATTCGCGGAAGATAATACTCGTTGGGAGACCCTAGGTCTCTTTTTCATCGCAGTTGCTCGAGCAACTTTTGACATACCATTCTTCCCATCCTTGTACCGAGATACCAGACAGCAGCTGCGAGTGCGCAAGCTTGTCTCTAGCCTCTCTGACAGTTGTGTGGATTGCTGCTTGTCTCTAAGTCGCCTCAACGATATTCAACTTGTCCTACAGTATGAGAACTTTATCATGCACTCTTATGTCGATGGCCTCCATTGTAAGTGGCCGAGCACCGAAAATACAAGTATGGTGACTAACATCGGAGGAAGGCTACGAATATTGGAAGAGACTGGGTGATGTCATTTCTTGTTTGTATGCTCTAGGTTACGATCAACGAATCGTGTCTAGTCCAGACACTCCCGAGTTTGTTGCAGAGTTGAGGCGGACGGCCTTCGCCCGAATCTACTCGGCCGATAAGAACGTCGCCCTCTTTCTTGGCCGCCCACCTCGGATCAGCAAGAGATTTTGCCATTTCCAGTTCCCCATGAACCCGAAGCAAACCGAGAGCCGTATGCTAAATAAAACATCTCCGTGCTGTGAATGGGATCAAGGAACAAGGATTAGCTATAGAGCTGAAACACGATGGTCAGCGCTATGTGCTTTTCAGAAGGAAGAATTGATCGAGCTCCTCTTCGATAAACAAGTCGTTGACTCTGATACAAGGTTGAGGTTTGTCTTAGTCCGGATATGTGCGGGACGATGAGTATCGTACTGAAATTGAAACTAAGCTTGTGGTAGTAAGATTAAGGAGCGAGAAGCGGCCCACTGGGGAGCACTTCCTGTCAGCTTTCGATACGAAGGGAGCCTTAAGGATTACCCTTATAGCCCCTTTGAACGAGATTTTGTAGCGAGTATAAGACTCAACCACTTACATGTCCTCTTCTTGGTACGGCTGCTGCACTTGGATCGTTTAGCAGAGCCGGATGAGCCCATCGTCGAAATAGCGAAGGAAATGACGAACCTCATTGTCGAGGTTATTCTCTTTCGAGAACAGCTAGCAAATTCGGGCACGAGCCTCATCTGGAAGGTAGGCTTCTATCTCATGTACAACGACGACAGTTGACTAACTAAACTGCTGAGTAGATCACCTGCTATGGGCTTCCTGCAATCGGAATTCTCCTCATGTCATTGATTCGACAGCATCGGACGGGCACGAACTCGTGGGCTTCACAAACCCACACTCTTCGCAATCTTAGTGCTTTTGTGGCTGAAATTGAACTGGGAACAATCATTAGGCCCGGTGATCCCAACTATAAACTGCTCATCAAGGCGACTCGCATTATTCGAGGTTTTCTCGACTCCCCTCATTCTGGTGATGATCAATTATTCGACAAGTCGGGCCTTTCATCATTTGTTCTAGACTCTGCAGAGTTTGATCCCCATATTGGTATCGACACTTTGGACTTTGAGCTTGGATTCTGGCAGGATATTGCAGACCTGACTTCATTTCGAGACATTGTCCCGTGAGCGTCTATCACATCTCTGTGTGTTATGGACATACCAGGCGATCAGAATTCCAGATTAGTTGATTATAGCGTGTTACTTTCAACAAGCTATAACTAAATATACCACGTAAAGTACAGTCACCGCATAAACAGCTTGCCAAGCGACTCACTCGCTAGCAATATTCCTCCATCGACGACGATGCTGAAGGATCGAGCGGCTATACTGGGTCTTTTGTAGATATTTAGTTCCTTATCGTACAGGATCATCGCGGACTAGGTACAATTTCAGGCGTCACATTCTGTTGGCGTTTCATGCCACTACTTTGCCTGAGAATGGCGACATACCAACACACCGATCCGTACTCCACTCCGAACTAATCATTGCACCCAACCCTCTGCCCACAGTGTCTTTGGGGATATAAAGATTACCAAGATACTTTTCCTTTCTTTGTTGACCTCGATGGTGTTTGGTTGAGTGAGAAATAGTTAGTTTGCATTTTCAGCCGACACACGCCAGACATCTTTATCAAATCCCCATCGCAGCTTCGCTTCGGATCGCTATCTTGACCATGGCTCACGGCGCTTTGGATGAAAAGGAAATTTCACCAATCGTCCAAAGCCCCGTGATAGCAACTGCTGCCTCATCCGAAGTCGGCACCAAGCCAAAGGCGACTTGCTTACAGCAATACTTCAGCGAAGAGAGCCGCAACTTCCAAGGATCCGCCCTCAAGAAGACAACGAGGTTAATCTCCAACTTCCTCCCACTTGGGACTGGCCGGCCACACGCTGAGCTTTATCCATGGACCAGCGGTGACGCGAACTGGCCAACATTCCTCAACAAGCCAAACGGGTCTGAGGGTAGAGCCGGAGTCCCATCCACGTACACCCTCGCCAATGCGTTGACCTATGGCACCGCCTTGGGGGCGCCGCCGCTCGTTCAATTTCTCACTGAGCATATGAGATTGATACATAACCCCCCATACCAAGACTGGGCCGTCTGTCTCACTTGTGGATCAACTTCTGCACTCGACATAATCTTCCGCACATTCACCAACCGTGGGGATATCATCTTGGCAGAAAAATATTCATATCCTGGCATTATCGAATCAGCGGCCCTTGCGGGAGTCGAGATACAGCCAGTTGATCTTGACGACCAAGGATTGAGTCCCGACAAACTTGGTCAGATTCTAGACCAGTGGAACACGCTCGAACGACCGAAGCCCAAGGTGTTATATACCATTCCCTCTGGTCAGAATCCCACCGGTGTGACGCAAAGTCAAGAGCGCCGCCGGGCCATCTATGAGATTGCTGAGCGTCACGGCTTGATTATAGTAGAGGACGACCCCTATTACTTTATCCAGCTAGGCCCCAACGCAACTAGCGACGGTAGCAACCCCGAGGCGGTTTCTCGACACTTGGTCCCCTCATATTTTTCCATCGACAAGTCCGGGCGGGTGATCAGATTGGATTCGACATCCAAAATACTTGCCCCAGGGCTTCGCGCCGGTTGGGTGACTGCCAGCCGACAAGTCATTGACAAATATGCCGCATACCATGACTTGACGACCGTATCTGTGAGCGGCCTAAGTCAAATTGTTCTGCATGATCTCTTCAACCTCCAATGGGGCCAAGAAGGTTTCTCAACTTGGCTTCAAACCCTGTCGCTGAAATATACGCAGCGACGCGATATAACCGTCGCTGCTTGCCATTCCTTCTTACCCTCCGATATCTGCAGCTTCGTGATTCCGGACCACGGCATGTTCCTCTGGATATCAATCGACGTACGCAAGCACCCAATGTACGCCGCTGAAGGACACATGGGCCAGGGGTGGTGCTCTCAGGTTGAAGACCGTATCTTGACTCTCGGACTTGCCAACGGAGTTCAGGTTACCAAAGGGTCCTTGTTCTTTACCAAAAAATCTAGCAAGGAAGCGGAATTGTTCTTCAGGCTTACATTTGCAGCGGCTAAAGAACATGACTTGGCCGAAGGGGTTAGAATATTTGCCAATGCTGTCAAAACTGAGTTCAACTGCCGGGGCTCCCCGTAGAGCATACGCCCGTATTTCGACCCAATGATGACACGGTTTGAAGTGGAATAAGGAGAAGTAGGAATTAATACATGAATCTAGACTGGGAATATTTTAACTCGGCTTGTGACGAAAGTGAAATACATCTATGAACAAGCGATAATATCCTCTCCCCGAGTGCCTCTTGCGTGCAACATGGGTTATGTTGAAATGGTGCATGCGGAACCCCTGAATTTGCCAGCTTCGGCCTGAAACTTGACACTTGTGAGTGTGGGTTCATGCTCTTCTCCTCGCCTTCAATATCATCTCTGCCTAACCTGTACTACTGGAATAGAGCTAGAGAAGAAAGGCTTCGCGGTTTTCCGGCGATCCAGATGCCGCTAGCTTGTTACCGACAATGGAAATTTTCTCGGTACAAGATGCTGTGTTCTCAAGCACTCTTCAAGATCATACGGTCTCATGGCCCAATGGCAAGGCGTCTGACTACGAATCAGGAGATTGTGGGTTCGATCCCCACTGAGACCTTCAAACTTTATCTTTTGCACTTTTCGCTGAAAATGTTGCCTACTTTTTGTTCCCCACTTTCGGCTAGACAATTTTTGTAAGTAAACTATTTGATTCTTCCTGGTAGAAAGAGTATTTCCGTCTATACGGACAGTCGTAGCCTGATTTGCCGTAAGTGGCTCTGCAACATCTTCATGCATACCCTAGAACAAATTGAGGTGATGATCTCGACCAGGGGGCTGAATAGGGGGGGCAGTTGAAAGATACCCCTTAATTTAAGAAGGTAACATTGAATGAAGATTTTTCTCTTCTACCTAGCAGCTGGACAGATGGCTATATTAGACAATATTAAGTTTCTTCTTATCTCTTATCTCTTCCAGGCTGCTCTGTTCAGTGTTATGGTTATTAGATTTTAAATACTATCGTTTCGTGGCGTCGGCAACTGGATCATCGCTGCGAGGCTCTAGTAAACCCTGGCAAATCGATAACAAGTCCAAGGGGGAGATAGTCGTAAAAGCAATGCTGGCATGCCGAAAATTTATTCCAGCTTTTCCTGCACTTCCTGCACTCCCTTCGCTTCCCTGGCTTCCTTCTCCTTCTCCTCCTTCTCCTGGAGGTAGATCTGAACCTGGGTAACGTGCTTCCTGAAAGCCCTTGGCTTGATCTTGTCCTGGAACATCTCGTCGATCTCGGCCGGGGTTCGGCGAGCCATCTCAGGGAGGATGTACCACCCAACAGCGCACGAGACAATACCGACGGTGCCAAAGCTAAGGTAGAGAAGGGCCTGTTAGTCTCACAGCTCTCATTCTACATTGTTGTTGGGTATAGATTGGGGCCATTGACTCACAAAAATCCAGACTTGACGGCCCAAACCTGGAGCATAAAGGGAACAGTGTAGTTGAACAAGATACCGAGCAGGAATGAACCCATCAGGGCCACGGAGCCGGTTCTAGCACGGAGACGCTGGGTGGGAATCTCAGCGACGTAGGTGTATGCGATACCAGCGCCGCCAATGCAACCAAAGTTGGACACGCAGCCAAAGAAGACCTAGATAGTGAAAATTTCGTTAGCGACGTATCCCATGTTACCAAGTTGTTAAAAGAAGTATCATACCAGCAGGCTACCCAGTTCTTTGCTGGTATAGTCGAAGCAGCCAACAATACCGATGCAGAGGACAGCCACGGCAGCAGAACCGAACATGCCGATCGTAAACCATCGCTTACCGAACTTGTCGGCGAATAGTGCACAGGCCATGACACCCACAAGCTGACAGAGGGCCAGGATCATGGTGACTGTGAACGCGTCCGAGTTTCCGGCCAACTGGAAGAAGTAGGTGCTGTAGTTGTTGGTCAAACTCTGTCCGACGAGCTGCTGCATTGCCTTGGGCCAGAAGGCGATCAGAAGACGCCAAAGGTTGATGCCGGTAAAGATCTCCTTGAGCTGGGACTTTTGCTCGACGCTGACGAGGCGGTGGCGCTCGATAGTGGCAATGATGATGGACAGCTGTTCCTTTACGTTGTAGCTCGGGACGTTCTTGTACGCCATTGTCAGGACCTTTTCAGCTTGAGGAATCTTGTCCTTTTGGACGAGCCACCCTAAGGAAATTTATGTCAGTCTTATGACAGGCAAAATACGACCGCGGCAGGTGGAATAAACTCACAAGGACTCTCTGGAACAAACAGATTGATGCCGAGCATGACAACCAACATGCCCCACTGGGTGTAGATCGGGGTCTTCCAGTTGTACGGATCGGAGTAGCTCAGCTGTCGGAGAGCCAAGGGGGAAAAGATATGGGACAAGACGTTCCAGCTGGAGGATATCATATTAGCCTTTGTCCGCTATGGAGCGCGGTAGAGTTAATAAACTTACAATTGGTAGGCGGTTGTAAGACCGGCGCGAATCTGGGTAGGCGACAACTCCGAGATGTAAACGGGGTATGTAGCCTGCATCATGCCCAGTCCAACACCAGCGATCAACTTAGCGACAAACCAGTGAATCCAGTTGCTCGAGACGGACTCGACGAGGACGGAGATGACCAGCGCGAACCATGTGATGTGCATGGCCCATTTGCGACCCAGTCTGTCGATGCACGCCTGCAGACCCAAGACTCCCACAAACTGTCCCAGACTGAGACTTCCACCCCAGAGGGACACATGTTCAGGGGCGAGTTTGGTGCCGCCGTTGGCCATCTGCCGGATAAACCCTTTGTTCGCGACGATAGATGCCGTCAGAGTGTACTCTGCAGACACTCATGTTAGTAACGCGACCCTTCCAAATTTTGGTCAGGGGTTAGGTCAACATACGGTAACCCTCGAGCGCAGACGCGAATGCGGCAAGCATGCACAGCGACGCAACGCGCCAGAAGACGCGGAACGCCTTGGTGATGGGCAAGTCATCGAGCTCGGAACGCATCTGCACGACCTGGCCGGCGGCGAGCGCCTGGTCGATGGCCTTGGCATCGGTGGTGTTGTCGGAGCTGCCATTCTCCTCGACGGGCTGCTCGGCGACGTGCTCCGAGGCCGTCTTGTCCTCGGGCTTGGGATGAGCGCTCATGTTGGGCAAGCAAGGTAGATTGATGAGGCTCCTGGAGTGCTTCGGTTGAAGAGGCGATGTCCCTGGACGTGTTGATGCTTAAGGGACGATCATGTCTCTTTATACAGACGTTTCAAATTTGCAAGACGCGCTCCCCCCATCCCCAAAACCGGCCCCATGGGGACCTGGACAGACCAAGGGTGGTAAGGTTTGGTTCAAGGGTCCGCCACACGGGTTTTTCCCTGGAACGGCAGACACTTGATTGACAGAATTTGACTCAATTAGTCAACCGCTCTGTGGACCAGCCCGCTTGATCGTGCCATCGATCATAAATCAGGAGCTAGCAGACTCTCGACTCAGCGGCGCCCGGGAATAGCGCAAGATCGCGCGTCTACGAGGGACTAGGAAGAAGGGGGGCCAAACTCGTAGCCGACGATAGGCTATGCCCCCTGTTCTTGGTTAGACTGCGAGGTTTGCGGCGGTTGAGACTGGTGGAGAGTTTCCACAGACAACCTGATCTCATGACGGATCCCAGTGACTAAAGGTCGTTAACACGTTAAAAATTTCCGGATGCTACTTTGAATGCAGGATTACCTGCATACTACTCCCAGTGCATTGATCCGACTGAGCGGTTCTCAAGTCTGTTTTCCAGTTTTCACCATTCCTCCTCGTTCTTGTATCCTCCGGGCTCATCTCCTCTACATTCTCTACATCCCAAAGCCGTCTAGTTCAGCTGGCAAGATCCAAATTTGGTATCAACTCAACTGCAAACCCATCAAACCCTCGTGAACGAGCTCAACATGGCACCGACTCGCATAATCCTAGACACCGACCTCTCCATGGGCGCTGGGGCAGACGTCGACGACGGCTTCGCCCTGGCCCTCGCCCACGCCGACCCCGATATCCAACTCGACCTAGTGACGACGGTAAACGGCAACACAGATGTCGAGAGCGCCACCATCCTCACCGGCGTCCTCATGGACCGCTTAAACGTCAACGCCCAAGACACACCTCTCGTCCGTGGTGCGGAGACACCAATGATGTACTCAGAGAAGCGCCGCATCCCAGCGGCACACGTCAGCGCCATGAAGAACACAGCGCGGCCACCGGTCGAGGGCAAGTACGCAGCCGTGGCCATGGTAGAACACATCATGGCCAACCCGGGCGAGATCACAGTCGTGGCCATCGGACCGCTGACCAACATCGCCACGGCGATCCTGCTCGAGCCCCGCATCAAGACGGCCATCAAGGAGCTCGTCATCATGGGCGGCGTCTTCTTCGGCAGCATGTACAGCCACAACAAGCCCGGCGAGTTCAACGTGTTCACGGACCCCGAGGCCGCCCGCGCGGTGCTATACAGTGGCATCACGCAGCGTTGGATCGGGCTGGACGTCACGCTGCAGGTGCGTTTGACGATGGAGGACGCCGATAGCCTGAAAAAGTCGCCGTCCAAGTTCGCCCAGTTCGCGGGGCAGGCGTCGGCGACATACATCGATTACCAGGCCGTGAGATTCCCCGGCAGGCCGAAGATGACCTCGGTGCCAATGCACGACCCCCTGGCGGTGGCGTGTGTGTCGAAGCCGGAGTTGTGCGAATACAGAGATATGGCTGTTGATATTGTGACGGGCGACGTGAAGGGCCGGGGCATGATGATTGGGGATCGGTTAGAGCTGCCTGACCCCCCGAAGCCCAACTGTCGGGTGGCAGTTGGGGTAAATGCCGAGGGGTTCAGGAACCATTTCTTGTCGTTTATTCAGACACTATAGATACCGGCCTCGAGGGCCAAGGAATTAGAGTATATACTTGATGATAGATATAATGCGATCCTATGTCGAAGCGGGCATCGACACTCGCGCTGGCTTCTCTGGCTGGCTCGACGCCGTTAGACTCTCGTCATACTCACATCCCCACTCTGCCTCCAGATCTTGCAATCGCCACCAGGCACCCCAGCCTGTCTTGCGACTGATGGTTCTCAGTAGCCGCGCGATCTCCATACGTTCCGAGACGTGCGTGAACAAGCGTCCTGCAATGTACAAAGGCTGGATGGCATCAATCCTACTACCGTTGTGCGGGTTTGAACACGAAATGCCACAGATACGGCGGGCGTGCCAAACAGGGAATGATTCGGGAGCCGAGGTCTGTCCTGGGGCGAAACCCGGTGGGCGTATCTCCAACATGAGGATACACGCTGTATGGTAGAGCTGATTGCCGGAGATGGCAGAATTATGAGAGAAAAGGATGGTGGGAAAGGGGCTGTCTTTCTGCTGCTGCTGTTCACTCAAAATATTCGGCACCGGAAGCATAGCCGGCGGCCTCTCTTCCACCCAGCGTCGTAGTTCCCTCCATAGCTGATGCCATTTCTCCGAGAAGGGGCGACTGTCCTGCGCATCAGGCTTTCCGAGCTCGAGGTGCTGCGTGCGTCTGAAACGCAGATCGCAAACCTTGGCGCAGAGATACGTGGCCCAGTTGGCATGCATGTCAGGGTGCCATTCGCGCCCGTAGTGGTGCAACAGTGCTCTAGCAAACTCAGGCTGGTCGTCTGGTGCCAATGTAGAGGGCGTAGAAGATTCAGCGGGAATCCATTTGGATACTTGATATACCGCCGTTTCTGTCCCGTCAGAGATGATGGCGCCACATACTTCCATCCGTGCATAGCACCAGAACATGGCCTGGGCAATCCCGCCCGTGAAGCCGTTCACACCAAAGAACCCCAAGATTGCGGCACAGCCTTCAAGATGCCGCCTCCAGTCAGTCGAGTTCCACGACATTAATTCAAACATGGCGAGAATGCAGACCGCCACGAGGACGTTGGAGTCCTTGGCCTGGAGGGCAGGAGTCAAAAGTCTAATGCTCTCTTGATACAGTTCGGGACTGTCGTAGCACCCCGTCACCTCCGCTGCACCTCGCCTCTCCATCTGCCGTGACGAGAACGTGAGCATGGCATACAGCACGGCGGGTGAGCTGCGCGCGATCAGCGGCACCTGGATCTGAAACTGACGATTCGTGTCAAACTTGTCAAGGATGGGCGCACATTCCGTCACCCAATTCTGCAAGTACCGGATCAGCCGTGACTGCGGTATCTTGAGCGCGGTAAAGTCGAGGCTGGGGCCATCAAAGACGGCGTTCGCGGCTGGTGCTGCAGAGTCAGCCGGCTCCGGCGAGGGCCACCGACTCGGACTCAGGCTGATGATGCCGGACAACACAACGTGCCGGAGCTCCTCTTGGAGCTCGAGGAATCGGGGGTCCACGGGGAAGTGGTCGGTCTCGCTCATTGGTGCGTCCATCTTAGGCTCGTATGGGACATCGATGTGATACGACCCAAATATGCGTCTGACAGTGATGACCACCGCCTCGGGTTCCTGCTCGTCGACGGTGGCATGGGTGGGTTGAATAGAGGTGGCTACGCGTTGCCACTCGGTGGACCTGGTTCGAGCATCCTGTAGGCTACGTGAGAATGGAGCTTGGCGCGGAGGTCTAGCCTAATCTGGGGGACGTAGGCACTCAACAATGCGACTACCGATGCTTGGCTTGCGGCCGTAGTCCAATTCATGCGGGGAAGAGTGAGTCGATGGTATGACTTTAGTTGCTTTGGTGCTTGGCTTCCAAAACCTTCCCCAGACGAAGACGAGATATTTCGGTGTCGGAACAGACGTTTCTCCGATGAGGTCTGTTCTTTCACCGCTTTTGAGACACACCGGCAGAATAGGGCACTAAAGTTACAGGGGATCGACCGTTACGGGCCAGTGGGCAGAAAACACGGGCAATTAATTTGATGTAAAATGTGACCAAGATGACTTTTCAAATCAACCAAGTCAGCCCTCAAACCAACCCGGAATTCTTACTAAATTGATACAACTAGATATGAGATATATATGATTTATACGTTCAATTTACACTGTTTATCTTGATCCCCTCTCCTTATTGGCTGAATCCTGGCCGAATATCGTGGGTGCTGCTATCATGACCGTAGGGTAGGCACCTAGGTAGACGCGCACACTGTCAATTGAAATCAAATCAATCCGTCCTCGAGTAGTAGAAGCAATAGAACGAAGTTGGAATCGCCGAAATGGCTTGATGGGTTATATTCGGCTTCTTTGTTTGATTTGATTTCTGGCTTTGGTATTTTGGTCAAACGAACTTCAAGGATGTAATTTTTGATAGAGGCTCGGGAAGAGTCCATCACGAATTCTACTTTGGATTTCGTACGTACGAACGTTCCTACTGCACCATCGGATTTGAGTGAATCGACAAGAACTTCATTAAACTTTTGTTGAGTAATAGATATCAATCGCTAAAATAGGAGTTTTCCACCGATATGTCCCAAATTCCCTCCATTCCAACCTTCCATGATTCATGTCCTTGTAAAAGCAGCAAACGTAGACGTTTTGTCATGAACCCTCCCGAAATTTACCATGTTGTGCAAATATGCCAACCTCTTACAAAACTTCGTGGCCTTGGCGGAAAGTCTGCCAGATCCTTTCTAGCCTCGCAATCTGATCATCCAACACGATGCCCATCTTGCGTTCGATATCTCGAAAGGCCTTCAAAAGAGCCACTTGCTGCGACTCGTGCGTCATCTTCTCTGCCGCCAGCAGCAGTGCTGCTACAAAGAGAGGGTCGAACTGCTCCTGGAAATGATTCCAGGCGGCCATCCCCGCAATCTTCTGTGCGTGCCAGCTCTCCGAGCCAAGGCGGACCTCTGACCGTGAGAGCTTGAGCAGCCGCGGCTTGTGGGCTATCAGGACGATGAACGACAGATGGATGGCCATGTTGGCCTGGAGAGCAATGGGCGTGGAGTATATCTCAATCGGAAACGAGGCCGAGCTCTCCGCAGACGGCTCGCCGATGGAGAACCCAAAGATTGGCTCCATCTCGAGCGGTCGGGCTTGATACCAGTTTATGCAGCGCGTCCATAGGGCGTGCCATGATGACCAGGCCTCAGCAGCTTTGCTGGCTGCATCTGCTCCTGTTGGTGAACCTCCCTGGGGCTCCCCAGATCTGGCCGTCAGTTGCGCGAGAGAAGAGTAGGTCAGATGTAGACATTGCGCAAGCTGAGACAGGCACGCCAGGTATGATGTTCTGATCGCCGAGTTTGGAGCAGAGACGCTTTGTTCGAGGTAGGTTACGAGCGACACCGACGGTGGTTTTTCCGTCAGTATACAGGATGCTAACTCTGGTGACGAGTTTCCGGGTTATTTTATGGTCACAACCGTTATGGGGGCCTGAGGGACTTACCGATCTTTCCTTGCATCTGCAACAGATACCGCAGAGGCTCCTCCAAACCCTCTTTTGAATGTAGGTAAATACCCCCGACTTTACTCCAATATGTTGGGCGCGACCCGAATAGCCTCGTAACGGATAGGAGGGTCCTAGCGACATGTACTGCCAAGGTGTCTTCCACCCGGCCAAGCTCTCGTTCAACGGCGACTGCGGAGATGCTTCCATGTTCTCCGAAGTCTTTCTTGCCATTTGTAGAGTTCAAGGCCTCCTCTCGTGTCCTGACGAGCGCAATCATAGCATTACGGACTGTTGGTTGATGCGACGCTAGACCGATGACGGAATTCGCAAATCTCGAACCGGGACAAGTTGAGACGATCCATGGCACGATGTCGGCTACGAAGCTCGTGAGAAGCTCCGCCCCGCCTGCACTGATACTGACTGCAGGACGGCTGCTTGCAGGTGTGTCTGGCTTTGGCCTGGCAGGTATCTCTGTCGAAGAAGGTGTGCTATCGACTCGGTCCTCGAAATGTGATTGCTGGGTCGTCGTAGCATAGAAAGGTAGCGAAGGCGAGGGTTCCCGACCCCTTGCATCGGGCTGCTGGACAGCCAAATCTACTAGCTGCCCGAAGCGACCGAACATAGGGGCTGCTGGAATATCAGTATTCGCATCGGGGCTGGCAGAATCGACTCGAGCCGCATCATTCTCGAGACCGGATGTAGAGCCAGAGACGGATCCTTTACCCCTCTGGCTCTCGAAGACGAAGGTCGGTTGCGGGTAGACACAGCTAACGTTCCTGGCCGTGCAACTGCCACATTCCGGCTTCTGTTCGTCGCCTGGAGATTGGAAGCCGGCGGGTCAGCGAAAGCTTGGACGAGCGACGGCTAAAATCAAACCACTCACATTTGCGGCGGCGTTTACGACAAGGTAAACAGCCTCTCCGCGATCGCCTCTTACTGTCGGGGATGTGCCTTATCGAAGGCATCGGGCGGATTTGTGGGCGACGCGGTGGATGATGGAGATGCGCGAATGATGGGTGGAGGCTCTATCCTGACCGGGGCAGTAGACTACATACCCAGAAAGAGAACAAGGGCCCGAGTCGCTCCATGTCACAGGACGCGAGCGGGGACTGGGCCAACGTTGCCGGCTCTTGGCTAATCACGCGCCCAGACTAGCGACATGGATCTGGATTCATCAACTCTACACTACTTGACTACTACCGGTAACTAATATGTATGGAGAAGATTGGAGTGGAGCCTCGTGTTGAACCGGAGCGTCAGTCCAAGGCCAAGAGTCTCGCGAGAGAATAAAGAAATTAAACCTACAGAAACTATTACTTTTTTTTTTTTTTTTTTTTACATCATATGAATCTAGAACATGTTACGGGTAGCCATTCCTGAAAAACAGTCGTCTCCATTTTCTATATCAGGTTAGTCTGAGTTGGCTCGTTATATCAGCAAAACGTTGCTGGCTTAACTTCAGCTCAGTTTCAGTTAGCTAGATTAATAAAACTCGTGAAGCTGTCTAACTGTAGTAAGATGCATCCTCGACCATAGTAGGGAAGAAGGTTGATGAAATTGTTCAGTCCGTGGAGTATTAGTAGAGAATGCGGTTTTCATTGCTCATGATTCCGAGATTTATCTTCCCGAAACATTTCGCAATACCACCAGACAACGATCTTCTCTAAGATGTGGTAAATTACGCTCCCTGCCAAAGATCTTCTGTGGTCGACAAAATAAATTGACATTTCGCATGAACTTGCAAATAGGTACTTTGCCCCAGAATCCAACCCAAGAATTGCTGTGAACAAATCTCTCCTTGCCGTCAAAGAAGGAAAGATCCTGCTTTCGTCTACAGTTATAATGTTCCCGATATATCAAGTCAGGCGTATATCGATGGTTAAGTCGTCGTCCGAGGAAGTAACGATCTGGAAGATCCTTCCTAGGATTAATCAGGAAGATGCGGGTCCAAAGAGGAACCTCGCCCACACTCCACGCCCAGTGTAGTCTCAGAATGAGACCTCGGACTGAGTCTTCACCAAGATGCGCACGCACCGACTCCAGAGTGTCCAGCCCCCTTTCCCAACCATCCTCAAACTCAAAACCAAGATTCAATGCCGAAGCTTGAGGAAGTTGATAAAAAGGCAGACGGGTGAGGAGTTGCCGCCAATCCAGCAATTTGCAAGCAGCCAGGTGTTCTGGCGCGAATCGAAAACAAACAATATCCCTGGGAGAATAGTCCATATAGATGGTTGATGAACCTTCTTTGATCGGGACGATTGTGCGCCCTGCGGCGATATCCCTCCTCCTCTTCCTAATTTGACGCTGAGTGAGTTTTTTCCCTTCCATTGGAGCAGGTTTCTTCGCTGCTGTAAGCTTGCTGTTTGCCACACGGCGCCTTTTCTTCACCAAAGATTGCTCTTTTTCCAGCAAGTCCTTTAATATTGGCCCCCAAGCCTTGCTCAAAGCAATACGTGATTCCCAACAAGCTGTTCGAAGTCCCGCATTCCAGTAGTACCCCAATCTATTGTGCTCAGTCCAAGACAACTGAGAGCGATCGGTTGTCATTATGGATTGTTGTGTCCCTTCTGACTTTGAACGCCGCCTAAATTCACGCACGAACCAGGGGAGATGGCTGGTTCGATGCCCTGTTCGATCTTCGTTGAACAACGAATAGTAGTGAATCCGCGCGGGGAGATGATGAATAATAGCCATCTCCCAGATTATAAGTCGTAACTCGACGGGCAGTCCCGTGAAAAGATGAAATTCGGTCAAAGGTTTTCTCGTCACTGGTTGCCTGTATATTGGTTCCTTGACTCTGTGGCTGTGGCCACCGTGCGGTTTTGGCTCTCCCATGGCTTTGATGTCTTGGGAGCTGCAATAGACGGTAATAAATCTGGGTTGGTGGATGCTAAAGGCTTTTTATAATTGGTAAATTTGCGGTGGAACGCCGCTTGGATTAGAAGCTTGAATACGTGTCGGTGCAAGCGCTCTGGCCAAGGGGCTACTGGTCCTCACTGGGTTGGTATCTGGAGGCTTTGAGCTTGTTGTTCTCGTGAGCGACGGATAGAAGATTGATGAAGGAAGCTGTGTGGTGTGGAACTGCAGCATGCTGGGAAGTAGGCGAAGCACGACAGTTTATACAGGGATCTAACAAGCTCTGGTCCTGACGGTGAAGGAGTTAATGATCTGAAGGTTTACAGAGTTTTGCGCTGTAGCGTTGGACTAACAGAACTTATTTTTGCCCCTTTGTCTTTATTCTGTTGAGAGGGCGAGATGTGGCATCTTCCATTGCTGTGTTTTACTCTGTGGGTTTAAGCCACTCAAACTCACAGCCGAACCTAAATACAAAATACTCGTTGCAACCGAGTGACATAAAGCATGGCACACAAAAGCTCTGTTCACGCGAGTCAAAGACCTTATTTCCTTATGAATAATACTAAACACAATAATAAGAAAATTAGTAATTGATATTCTGCAGTATTTAGCTTGATATTCTGATCAATATTGATTGGTTGTTTTGATATTGTGTTAATATTGTGCTGCAATTCAATGCTGGAGGCTCCGAGTGTGGCATGTTTTATAGCAGTCGCGTGCTCATTTCTTGAAAAGCCCTCACCTCAATTTGACTAGTTAAAGGATCAATAATCTTGAGATAGTACTGGCAGCCATCATTTGGAATTTTGGAAAATCATGAACCCCTTTGTATTTAACTCGGTGCCTATGATACCGGCTACAGCCAAGCTGGTTGTGGTATATGCGGCTTATCGCATCAATACCTTGTCGTTGTTGCCAAGAAGCTACACATAGAGGGAAAGATGGATGAGATGAGTCTGACCAAGATGTAGATGGATTGTGATGATGATGCGCATGTTAAATTGCCTTAATTATCTGTGTGTGTGGCCTGAGGCTTCTTCTCTAGCACGGAAGGTGCGATGACCCATAACAAGGTACCTACTTAGACGAACCTTCCGTTGGTTTGAACAGAAAACTTTTTCCTCCAGACATCATACGATTGCTTCAGTCAATCGCTCGCTTTTACCACAATACAGCTGTATCCGCTTGTCAACCCACACGGATATCGAGGGAGGTCAAGATAGCCAAAGCCAAGGGTGGTCTTCCAGGTTGTCTCCTTCCTTCAGGCTCGATAAGCGACAGGAAAACAAAAAAAAAAACCCTAGACAGCACAGCGTTTTTTGCCGTACCTTTTCCTTCTTTTCTCTCCCCAGCTTCATCATCATCAACGTCCAGCCAGTATGTCTGCCAAGCCCATGAGTCCCTACCTACTATCTAATAGCTAATTCTGCTTACAGAAGAGCACAGACCAGTACGTTAGACACCACAGACCCAGCGACAAGAGACTTCTTGACCTCTCAAGCTAACCCAGGTCCAGCGTTAGGAAGACTACACAGCTTGTCTTGGCGATCCATGATTAAAGAACTGCCTACTATATCATCATCGAGGACTCCCCCGCGGTAAGCCCCTCCCGGACGAGTTGATTTTGATCATCAACTAAATTACCGAAAGCATTTATTTAGTCCAAAACCTTCCTCCCGCCACCGCCACCGCCGCCACCGTCGCCATGGTATGTTTCCAAAAAGAAAATATTGTTCGAGGTATCGTGAATACTTGAGTTAACGTGGTGACGAGCCCGATACCACCGTCGCGCCCCTGCCCCCTCCGGGCTCCCAAGCTGCCGTCTCCTCCAAGGATTTTACTGTGCGTTTCCAAATTCGATATTAGTTTGAGCCAGACAAGCAAGTGTAGGCTAACAATTAATTAGTGGTGGCTGCGTCGGGCGCAAGTAAGTTCAGTTTGACAAAAATCAAAAACGAGAATAAATGGTTAATAAATTCAATAGACTGCGCGGTCGAAAATTGCTGTAAGTCAAGGTGGTTGTGAATTTCCGGAAACTGCGTTAATTAGAAATCTATTATAGGCCACAAGGACAAGATTGAGGGTAAGTTTAACATTTATCGTAACCTTGGTGGATTTTCAATACTAACGAAGTGATAGAATGCGAGAGCCCTAGTGCGGGTAAGAAGCCTGTTGAAGTTAGATTGTACATGTTGTAATGCTGATAGAGAGGCTTTGATAGAGAAAGCAAATCCAAATCCGGGTAAAGTTCTCTAGCCGTGCTGTTGGTTAATACATAATAATACTAAAACTAACATCAACAATAGCAAATGGAGCACGAGCTGGCGGTAAGTTCGAATTATCCCAACTGCTTTATTTCCAAGGCCAAAACTGACACCGCGAACCTATAGAGACTCGAGCAGTATGCCGAGGTTTGTATAGTCCCCTAGTTCATGTAATGAAATCAGACTAACATTGGGGCTGAATAAAGGACGCTGAGCTGGAGGCTGAGGGTTTTCATGCTTGATAGACATATCAAGATGTTCACTTGCTAAGTACATGACATCGGCAAGTGGGTGTCAGAATAATGGGGACCGTGAATGTGTTTTGCCCAAGTTCCCAATATGGGTCACAATATTAATGGACAATAGTTAGTAACAACAACAATAATAAATTATGAGGCAATTATTAGGGATTATTATATGTTTACTATTACACAATAGGAGGTATTCAATATAAGACTCCACCATAATCACTCTGTCGATGTGACTTTGCAGTCCCTGTTTTTCTGAGTCACTTGGTCAGCTACAACACGCCAAGCCGACGCTTCAGGATAATAGAAATTTGTCTTTGTGTTATTGTAATACATTAGTCTAGAACTGTTCACATAACATATTGTGTAGGTCGAATATGCCTTTGCTTTTTCCTTTATAACCTTTGGATTCATGAAATGTCTTTCTGACATGAGCGTATACAAGGGAGTGATAGTCTTGAAGATATCAGGTTGACGAACCAGTTTTCTATCTCTGGAGTATAGCTGATGGGTGTAATGTAAAAGTGAACCGCAGTAATGACGGTCGACGTTAGACGACGAGACTTTTGTCCATCCACTTGGACAGCCATACCGAGGATAAAGAGTCTGTCCCATTGGAAGGGTTGTCCCATTAGAAGGCTATCACATCAGAAGGGTTATCCACAACTCGGTTGGCCTCAGTTAGGCTCAGAACTCGCTCGGGTTTTACAATCATCGATCGATTTCATGAATGGAAGTAGGCTTTAGTGAGATTGTTTTGCAGGATAGTTTTTAGTTGTCAACGAGGACTTGAAAAGGTCAAGAAAGGCGTCAGCTTTGGGTTGCTCACGGCGGGAGGAATGGGCTCGCAACTTACTTGGAGTGTTGGATTTGTTATTGATATTCTAGAATTTACTATTAGCTTTCGTTTTACGTTTGGAGCATACAGTGTGGAGGCCGTGGTTTTGCAATACGATTTTTATCAAATAGGTTCTACCTTAAATTGCATATGCTATCGAATAATATTGTTCTGCCCCTATCTTGCTAACGGAGGCCTTAATGACAGAGTGATATGCGAACCGTTCTTAGGCCAATATGGCGACAAGCTAAGGCAGACATGAGCCACCCAAGAAGACTAGGACAAAGCCATGTGATATATTTTTAGACGTCTACTCGATGCACACCATGCATGTGTTCATCTTCATTCCTAACTGAGCAAACAGATCTTTGACTTGTATGTACGCATAAGGAAATGGCTTATGGTTTGGAAGACTAACAAATCGAAGATCAGGATCAAGTTCTGATTCATCCACGACCAACGACCACAAGTCGTCTCCTATCGTCCCGAAATGACCTGACAACATGTCCATCTCTTTGAACAACAACTTTGAAATGCGCCAAAAGGGATTGGTGAACAAAGATTGAAAAACCCACGACATTGGGAACCGGATCTCCAGCCGACGCTCTACGCTGGAACCTAATAAATTGTCGTAGACGGAAGGTGAGAGGTAGGGAGACTCCCAGGCAGGTCCGGAATCCTTGATTCTGTATTCCCAGGTTTTATGCTGATTATCTGAAAAATGTTTTTCGGTGCTTCTAAAGAGGTATATGTGACAGATCTCCCACCGCGTTGACATGGAGATGGTGACATATGTGTTGTCCAATCGAGGGGAGAGTTTCCGGTCAACGCACTGGATAAACGCTTCGCTAATCGAGTGTTCGAAACGTCGAATTTTTGCTTCTCTGACGTTTTTGGGCCAATGGAGACCCATATCTCGTTGCGATCGTTGTTGCGATCGTTGTTGGTACAACTGCTTGAGGACAGGCACAAAGTCACGTATTGCCGTGATCCCAACCAAGATACCTCTGTCCCGCCGTTCCAGTCGATAGTCCATGAGTTTAATGTCAAGAAAGTGCCTACAGTTTTCGATAGCATCATAAACGCTGCATTGCAGATCTCCAAGCCTTAACTCTCCAAAATTTGGGATATGGTGCGAGGTATTTCGCTGGACGAGTATCAAAATTTGCACGCGGGGGCAAGCCGAAATGAGTTTATATGTCACGGCTCCATGCTCGTCCGTCTGACGCCTTAGTAGGAGGTATATGATTGAAAAGCCATTTATGTTCAAGATGAACAACTCCTCGTTCCCCCTTCCCGTAAGGACTCTATCCAGTCTCTTCTCAGAGACCATGTAGACGCTGAAACAATCGTATCGCATACAGAATAGGTGCAGCTCGTCGATGGTCCCAACTCGTTCCAATGGACGGGAAATGGTCATATATTGGGTCAGATTGACGTTCAAACTTGCAGTAGAGGCATCGATAAAGGCTCCTTTCCTCCAGTGGCGTTCCTTTTCGATATACGTGGAACCAGGTCCCCGGAGCTCATATATATCGAAGGCCACTCTGTACTGCAGGAAATACCCCTCCTTATCCACAAGCAGGTATTCTGGCAAATTTTTAATTCCTTTGAATAAGGCGTCGCTCGTTAATTTGGGTTCCTGGAACAGAGTCTTCCAAGGGGTCGCCGATTCCCAGTTCGGCGCCCATGTAGGATAACCGGGCTTACTCTGCGAAAGGCACGAGGCGCGGTAGAGGATATTTGGTTGATCCTTATTTAGTAGGTAAAAAGCAAAGAAGCCGATAAAAATTTGTTGACACGAGAGCGAATAGTCAGCCTGAATCTCCCCTCTGATGCTCAAAAGGCTTTCATTGGTTCTGGATCTCTGGAACGGGCTCTGAGTCTCCATCTCGGGAAAAATGCCTAATAGCCCGAAAATGCGGTCCCGAGGATCAGTAGACCGTGACGCTGAGGACATCTCGAGAAGTTCCCCAAGATTCATCTCTGTTGAGGTTCTTTGCGAGGTAAACTGCACCCAAGTTGCCGCAGTGGTCTCCCAATCCCATCCAGGGACCTTCAACGAGAAATGCGTGGCCGTGGTAGAGTCAGCCCAGAAATCGATGTCTCCAATGCGCAAGACAACGCGCTGTGACAGAAGAAACTCTTGGATAACCCAGATCCGAGAAAAGTATCGGAGCTTGAGGATATCACGCAGGCTGCTCGGTGAAAACTGCGAGCCGCTACCGTGATTTGGAAAACACGGTTTGATTTCCTCGGTCTCAAACTCATGTAACATCCTCCTCCGCGGATGTCTATCAAATAACGGCATAGCAATATGAGGACCCAAGTACACGACCACGCGGCTACACGCGGAGTAAATGTTTCCCATATTTACGACTTGCATACTCCTTTCGAGGGTATCGCCCTGGTTGATGCAGATAGCATCGACCCATATCATTCGGGGTATTCGCAGTGGTCGCATGAACTGGAGCATCGCCCAACAGTTTTTCGTTTGCAAGAGAATGTCCCAAAATGGACCAACATAGATAGGTTGGCTGAGTGTATTGTCTCCGTTCTCCCCTGCCCAAGTGTAGGACACCGCCTCATATTCGGGGCAATCGTCTAGATTATATACCTCCAGCGTTAGATGCACCGGGCTATCAGGAGTCTCTGCAGGCTCTAGAAAAATCAGCCGGAATTCGTCTGATTTAAGAGTGGTTCCATAGGGTGCAGCTGGTAGTGAAGATTTCTCGCTCTTTTCTTTTGCTGCCGTCGGTGCGCTTAGATGTTGAGAGCCTGCCTCCGAATTTGTTGTCATTGAGGTTGAGTAAGGGACGGCGCGAGGCCACCAAAGATCCATCTGGCCCGAAGGCAGGTCCGGAGGTACAAGTGGTACGGAGCTTGTAGATGCCTTACTCGATATCAGTTGTTCAATCTGAGGTCTGCTATGACACGCTTGACATCGAGGTACTTTATCTGCGAGAGTTACCACATCGGGCTTTGTGCAATCTGTCTTGTGCCAGCGCTGCATGTTGTAAGCGGGTAAACACGGAAATCCTGAACATGTGATGGAGCTGATATTCCGAGATCCTATAGACCTGAGTTTGATGTGTGCACTTTTGTCGTCGGTGCGATAGATTCAGTGATTCTCACCGAACATTTTCTTCTCAATGACGGGAGTTTAGAGAGATTGTGCATTGATGAATCGCTCATAGGACCACACTTGACGGTTTGATTTATCAGATCAGAAGGAACATGCAGTCATGGACATGCCACGTCGACATTGCGGGGTTGTCAGCCGTCCAAGGCTTTCTGGCAGCAATGGTCAGCCCAGCCTGTCACGCAGCCGAGCCGTGAATCGTGAGGCAGTGTACATGCAGCATGGTTGGAATGGAACTAAATACGCAGCAACTCTTGCAGTGGTATATTGCGGTCTTCTGATCCTCAAGTAAACTACTAAATCTACTAAGGCGATGATATTTCGGTGCTTCAGGATTCCTGTCAATAAGATGTTCAACACTCATTGTGACCCATATCGTTCCTTGTCCATATCCGCAAAAAGGTATCAAGTGAGACGGAAGAGAGATCAGAAGAAGACTGCACATTTATGCATATCCGTTACTGGGCATTACGTTTGAGATTTAGTCGGTTATTGGCTATCATGATATAAGATTGATATTAATGTCTTGGGATCTGAAACTTACTGGGACATTTAGCATGAAATCGCAGCCTGTTACTACCTGGGTATTTATATTGAACGACAATTAAATTCTGACTACTTCCGGGACGCTCTGAAAGAACTAGTTGACTTATTATGGGCAATAATAGAGTGAATTTAGCCTTGAAACCTTCTTCTTCTGCTTTCCAAAGCTTTAGAACCCGTACTCATGGGCGCAACACGTGCCTCTAGGAGGGACATCGTAGTGGTATAGGGTAAGCTATAGCAACGGAAATGCTAATTTTAGTGATGGGATGATCTCATCGCTCAGAGCAAGGATGTGATGTTACTGCGGCGCAGCGTATAATTATTTGCCTGACTAATTCATGAGTCAATCTTTTGGCTGATTCTCTTGAATTAAAGACGGGCGCACCCAGCCCTGACTTTATTCCGGCCTCAAACTCCTCACTTGTTCGAATCTTGGAGGCATTTCACCTAAATCGCTCTCTTCAGTATGGCCAAGGAAACCTCCTTGCTCGTGAGTTGCCTAGAGCGACCTCGTTTCCTCTCTATATTGATTTGATTGATTCTAACGAGTCCTCTCTAGCCTACTACGGAGCCTAAGAACCCTGCCACGGGGAAGAAGCAATCTGCGACCGAAAAGAAGGCGACGCTCCTCGAACGCATCGCGAAGAACCGATTGTCGATCTTCTTTACGTTCTGCGCCCTATCGACTGCCTTCATCCCGCCGTCCTGCGCCTTCTTTTTCTGGGCCAAGTCCATCCCCGAGCCGTACTTCGACGCTACACTATGGTCTGTCCACGGGTTCTTGATCTCCCAGCTGCCCATTGCAACCTGGAGCATCGCGACCGTGCTCTCGACGGAGAATAGAATCGCCGTTTTCTCTAGTGCGCGATACACCGTCCCTTCGTCCATCGTCCGAGCTGTGATGGTAGCGCTGTCTATGGCTTCGTTCCTGCATTGGCATACACTCTTCAGCCATAGCCCGCTGCACAGCAGATTGCACGATGCATCGTTACTGGCATGGTGCTTCCTTGCGGTGGTGTTTCTGCCTCGAGGCCGGTGGTTACTGGTGGCCAAGGCGTTATTTCACGTAACGGTAGCCGTGTTCTTTATTTCAGTGTGTCTGAAGATTAAATACGAGACGGTATGTCGGTCTGGGGTGGCTGAGGTCAATGATGTCCATCACGAATAACGGATAGACAAGGGAATTCTGGGTTTATGGCGGATCATGACAATGACCTCCTTGTGCAGTCTATGGAATCAACATTTTGGATTACTACACACAATCACGGCACTTTGATTTGACATATTGTCTTCGTATTGCTTATTGGGATTCTTGAACGGAAATGATTTGTATCCTCAACTTATTGAGGTTTGTTAATCTATTTCCGCGCGTGAGAAGGGTTCCATCCCGTAATTCATGACACCTTAGTAGCTCAAAGGAAGTTGGCAATTGGAAATACACAACACATGATCTTGCCTAGCGATGAAGGCTAATGCCCGAAGAAACATCGAGCAGTATCCGAGCTAGCAAGCTCTTCGACTTGCAGAAATATCAATCATCCTTGTTTTGGAAAGTCTGGGCCCTGATGATGGAGCGGAGAGGCTTGAAGAGGCGGCAAGAAGACCCCCGTTGAGAGGATGTCGACTGTCAGTCGAATAATAACCGCAACCCATCATCCAGCTGGTAGTGTAGGATCTGCAGAAGTAAAGGAAGTAGCGGAGTCTGTGGCATCTTGTTATTGGCCGTATAAAATGAGGCTTTCTGAGGCTATCGGTAACCGTTGACTTAGGAGTGAGGTATGTGATAATATGGGCTGGGAAAAGTGGACATACCGGCATGCGAACGGTTATCTCATGGACAACATGTTTGAGTGGCAAATTATTTTGAAGGTGATGTTGTGAATGTGATAAGAATACGAGTTTACAATTACTCCGGCGACGAAGGAGAGTGTTAAGATAGGTGCTAGTGATGGATTTGCCTTCGCTCCAGAGCGGAGTGTAGCTCTTAAGAGAATGGAAAGAATGAGCATTAGATTGAAGACATTCGAGGAGAATTTAGGTCGGCTTGTCCTTCAAAGAACTTGAAAGAGATGGGATTTGTAAAGCGGGTTTGAGCCAAGTATGGTGAAAGCATTATAGGATACATCTAGATGCAGCTTCATGCTCACACTTGCGTGAGATGTTTTTTTGTTCTCGCAAACCCGAAGAGCCCTTCGACGAAATCAACTTTAAACCTATGTGACCCACTGGGTAGCTTCTTAAATCAGAGAAATTAATTCATTACACCTTTGTTTGATTCAAAAGGGGGCCTACTTGATTAGCGCTTGACGTTCAGAACATTCTACACCATTCCGAGGATAAACGCAGCTTGGCCCTGGTTGCACATTTCGGCGGCACCGAATCCAGCCTGGTGTAACCAATCTGAACAATGGCAGAAGGGAGGAGGCTGGTGATCGGGCACACGTGGTTACAACGTCATCGCTGAGCACGGTCATATGTCATATGATGCAACATCATCATCGAGTAGCCTTTCTGTGACCTGACAGATCAAAGGTAGGAATTGACCGGGTCTTTTCATCGTAACGATTTATTAAAAGCCTCTAGAAGACCGTATTCATCAAGAAAATGGTCGGTGATCTACTGGCCTTCCACTAAATTCAGGGGTGTCTCAGTCTCCGAGATGAATGTTGCAAACGGCAGAACCCGAACTCTATTTGCTTATGGTTGTTTACGGCGAATTGCATATCCCAATGGGGACTGATGTGTCGCATTTCAAAAGCCATGGCCAAACCATCACCAATCAGAACGAAAGCTTATCGAGTGGTGACATAGACGACTCAAAGTCACATGTCATCCATTATGCCACTCCCCCAAACGTTTAACCGCTCATTTCCCCAAATTGTTTTATGTTGAGCTCCGTCATCTCATTCCCCACGACGCTGCTGCATACCTGTCGTGACAGCCGTTGACCTTACCCCGACTGTACGTTGTGCTCCCACAGGAGGTCGGAGCGAGACAATCATGACACACACCGGACCAGACCCTGGAGGGGACAGGAAGCTCGCGGGCTCCCCATCTCACGCGGAGGGCATTGAAAATCGTAGCCAGCGCTCGAGCCTCGAGTCGCTCCGGCTCAACACCCGCACCATCCAGGAGAAGAAATGCAGGCTCGTGAACCAGGAGATTGACCGCCAGGGAATGGGCAAGTATCAGTGGTACATTTGGGGATTGTGCGGATTCGGCTACATGGTCGACTTGATATGGGCGCACGCGTTCGCTCTCGTCCTCAGCCCTCTGCAGCAGGAGTTGGGATTCGGCAACGGCCAGTCGGGGAACATCAGCACGAGCTTCAATGCCGGACTAACTGCAGGCGCCTTCGTTTGGGGATACTTGTCGGACGTGATTGGTGAACATTAACAATCCTTTCTGCTCGAATCCGTCATTTTCACTGGATAATTTTAACCTTGTCTGGAGTTAGGACGTCGATGGGCATTCAACCTCACATGTCTCATCTCCTCCTTGTTCGGGCTTTGCCTTGGTGCATCGCACAATTACACCACATTTCTCGTCTTGACAGCCTTTGTAGGCTTTGGAGTGGGCGGAAATGCGAGTACATCTGCTCCTCTTACAGACTGCATCTGATACTGACACTTTATTCTAGGTGCCTATTGATACCACCATTACACTTGAATTTCTTCCTCAGGTAACACAAGATTCCCCGATTTCAATCCTTTTCCAGGACAAGACAAACCTAACGCTCTTCCTCTACAGAATAGAAGATTTCTCCTTGCCTGCCTCTCGGTATTCCAACCCATCGGCGTCATCATCAGCAGCGTTGTCGCACTCGCCTTCATCCCGACATATTCTTGCTCCCCGAACTTCTCTGAAGAAGGCTCGCTGCCTTCCTGTGTAGGACTTTCATCTGAAGATGTCAAATGCTGCACTCGATCGAGCAATATGGGTTGGCGATATCTGTTGTTTACACTCGGGGCTATTACCATCGTCGTCTTCTTCATCCGATTCTTCGTCTTCAAATTCCACGAATCGCCCAAGTTTCTAATTTACCAAGGTCGAGATGCCGCGGCGATCCGAACGATCCAAGCGATGGCCAAAATGAACGGCCAAATAGCTCAGCTGAGACTTGAGGATTTGACTGCGCTTGACGAGACAAGCCACGAATCTTTTGGTAGTGATCCCCAGCTGAGGGGATTGATCGAGACCAAGGCTTCGTGGAAAGAGGGCTTGGCTCACGAGACGTCTCGATACCAGATGCTCTTCAGCAGTTTTAGGATGACACGGTTGACCATCTTCACTTGGTTGACCTATATCATGGACTTTTGGGGATTCACAGTGGCAGGTGAGTATTTGCACTCGAACTGAAGGAGTGGTCTTCGTGGCTAACGTTGGTGAATGTATAGGTCTCTACTTGCCTCGCATCTTGGCCCTGAAGAACGGCGCAGCATCCGTCAGCCTGAAATCGACATACACTGCCTACGTTTATACTTACTCCCCCGGCATAATCGGCGTTCTCGCTGGCGCAGCCATGTACCGCATACCCTCCATCGGCCGTAAATGGACCATGATGTTCTCGGCCGGGCTCATGGGAGTATCCATCTTCCTATTCTCCATCGTTGACACCGTGGCTAAGAACGAAGGCATGTTCGCGATGGAGTATTTCTTCCAGTCCATGTTCAACGCGGTGCTGTACGGATGGACGCCACAGGCTTTCCCTGCAGCTGTGCGTGGAACAGCATGTGGTGTCGCGAGCTTCTGGGGAAGACTGGCTGGGATTGTGAGCCCCTTGATTGCACAGCATTTATACGGCCGGGCGGAGAATGGGAATGGTGACGGGGATATAAATAGCGTGTTGTATCTTGCCGGTGGCGTTACTCTGGGATGTGTGATCAGCGTGAGTCTTTTGCCGAATGACTTGATGGAGGCGAGGGACGAGGAGTCATGAGATTTGCGGTATCGTTCTGTGGTTCGTAGATTTTCGAGCATATCTTCTTAGAGATATACAAGAAATAGTCTAGATGAGAATAAGAGTTCTAGAAAATCGGTATTAATTTTCGAGGATGGAGGGTCGGCAACTCGTAAACACACTTGTGAGGCTTTGCATGAGGCGCATAAGCGGGCTGGCGGGCTGAGGAGATGCATATAGATATTCCTAGAATGCAAAGTTATAGAGCAAACCGGGGAGCCATGAAGGCACATGGGATATGGTCTGTCCGGCAGATTGAGCGGGGTAGATCTGATCAGAATGTGCCGTGGAGGCGCAGCAAGGCAGATATCGCTCGCTTCTCATGCCCGTGCGAAGAATACATTGCCCGCTATTCTTGCGGCATCTTCCTCGTCTGAATAGTTATTGGGGCCTATTTCTTCATCTTCATTTATACAAAAGGGAGCACTGACTCCAACCGGTAGTGACGGAGGTAAGGCACGCGGGAATAGAGATGCATGTACTCAGTACCTTGCGAGCGTCTATCCATGACGCTAGAACAGATACGAACTCTGAAGCCAGTTCGGACAGGAATCAACTTTCTTTGGCGATTAAAGACGCGCGCATACCATTCACCAGTACACCATCACTAGTTGATGATGTGTGTAGCTTGCTGACCTCCCGCACCAAGTTGTGCCATGTCTGCCAGTCATTCTCATCGCAGCTATCATCATGGATAAGAAAGCCAACGTTTGATGAGTTACTACAGTGGCCGGAGCGAGATTACGCAAATGATCGCATGGCTGCTCTCTCAGACGGTTACCGTCTCCTCCCTCCAGAACGCGTTGATCCAACCACACCACTACCAAGCAATGTCTTTAAGCATCATAGTGCTGCTCGAGATTTGCTGAAGTCAGCCAAGAACTGTCGATTCTGCGAATTGCTCAAACTGGCTATCGTCCTGGACTCGAATCGAAGGCGCGGTTTTCCATACGACAAGACCACAACGCCACTGGGAGAAGTTCTGGTGCAATATAAGAGTAGATCAGGCGGGCCTGATGTTACCAACATTATTGAAGGATTGCGGGCTAGCGAAGATTCAATTTACTTGATGGTAGAACCATATCCGATGGGCGGTTACATCAACAGTGCTGGTTATAAGTCTGCTCTTGGAAATATTCGTGTGATTTGGCAAAAGCCAAAAAGATTGTTGACAGCAGATGCTCGAGCTGTTATTTTCACTCGATTGAATATATACACGACACAGAATGGTACGTCTTTTTTTTTTCTTTAATTTGCCTTGGTCGCGCCAATATTGACAGAATCCTAGATTCGGCCTTACAGCCGTTTATTTCTACACGACAGCCATTACATAACTCTGGATCTCCGGACGCGATGGATTTGATCAGAGAATGGTTGAGCGGGTGCCGATCCCTCCACGGTGAATGCTGCAGACGAACAGTATCACGTCAAGTTATTCCGGAAGACGAGCTTCATGTCTTGCCAAGTCGAGTGATTGACGTAGGACTTGACAACCCCAACCAAGACCCTCATCTTGTTGAAAATGAAGGCGAGAAAGTAGGACAATGGGTCGCACTTAGTCATTGCTGGGGAAAAGAAGAGAATCATCCGTTAAAGACCACTCGACGGACTTTGGCTCAGTATCTCAAGGCTATTCCCATGTCGTCGATGCCGAAGACTTTTGCAGATGCCGTCGCGGTTTGCAGATCGCTCGAGATACGTTTTCTTTGGATTGATTCTCTCTGCATCGTACAAGATGACGAAGACGAATGGGAAAAGGAATCGCAGATGATGGGAACAGTGTATGAGCATGCAGTTCTTACGCTCGCCGCTTCAGAGGCTATTGATTCGACACGCGGCTTATTTCTTGAGCGGCCATATGCCGATATCAAATTTCCATCAGTCCAGCTTCCGCTTCTCACAGCAGAGTCGGAGTCAGACAACGGGCGCCAGACGACACTCGGCAGCTACTCAGTCGGAATCGATTGGCGCCAGGAGCCCTTCATGACGCATTTGCATCCTCACTGGACCCCGCTGGCGAGAAGAGGATGGTGTACGCAGGAACTGATTCTGTCACGGCGCGTAGTGCATTTTCTAACAGAGGGCATGCTGTGGGTATGCAGAGACAAAGCAGAAGATGAAAATGGGCAGATGGTTTACGGCCGGCTAACCGAGCGTGATTGGAGTACCGAATGGGGTAAAATAATTTTGGAACACTCTCAGCGGGAATTTACCTTTGAGAAGGATCGTCTGCGATCTCTGGACGGTTTGGCGAAGGAGCTCAGCAAAGTCAAGAACAATAGTTGCAACCCCGGGGAATATTTCTACGGAACCTGGCTGGCTGACATCCCGGAATACATCCTTTGGGCGTCTTATCGGGTTGGAAAGAAGAATACACGTTGTCCGTCGTGGACATGGGCATCTTGTGACGGTGCTGTATGGTTTCGATTCCGAGATTTCGACAACCTAAGGCAGGATGATTTCTCCCAATGTTGCAAAGTGCTCGGAGTAAGTAACACGAGTGGTGTCTTGACCATAGAAGGTAAGGTGGCAGATATTAGCCACCTAATCTTGCATCCAATGCGACGAAATACCACCGAGGACCTTATGGGACAGAATGCAAATGCCACATACCGGCAGCCCCTCATACAAGGGTATGCTGTAGGCTCTAAATATGAGGAGCCATATGGCTGGATCGAGTTTGATGACGACCGAGATGCACTCGTCCTATCAGAACCAGTTTATTTCGTTCACTTAGCTGATGGAGAGTACTACATACCGCCTCTTATACAACACTGGGGACTCATCTTGGTGAGGGAGAATGGATATGATAACAGATACAGCCGCGTTGGAATGGGTTCGTTATGGGATTCAGAGCTGTTTGCGAACTCAATAGTCTCAAAAGTGGAAATAATTTAAAAGTATAGCTGTCAACGTTACAGTTAATAAGTGAATACAAGTACCGATACTGCAAAAATCAAATTTTAAATGTCTACTTGATTGCAAGGGCAAATAAAACCAAAGGTAATGTTATGACCAACGCAGGAGTAGAGTTACTACACTCAGCATGATTGATTCCTTCTCGTTGAAGCTACTAGATTCTCGAGTGCCCGCATATCTTCCTCATATGTTTCTGCCCCTCGGTCAAGTATTCGCTTTTTGCTGTATGAGGTTGAGGCTGAATCTATACCAATTGGCTCAGGATCATTGTTGCCAAAGGTCATATGGCTCTCGTCATCAATCCAGCCCGAACAGTCTCCGGTATCGAAGGTAAAGTAACGAGCCAGATGGGGCTCCTCATTGTCCATCAGATCTGGCCGCCAAAGGAAAAGGGTATGAGAGCACCGGGAAAATCGAAACTCTAACAAGTCAGGAAGCGACCCACGAATCGCATTGAATACGTCCGCCCATGTTCCTTCGAAGGTGTAGATTTCGTCATCTTCGCCATTGAAACCGAACGCCCCTCTCGGATGTTTTGTCCAGTCCGTGTCCTGTACATCCCAAAGCTGCCTGTGGCCACCGCCAATCCGAAGGTGTGAGGCAATAGCACACCTGTCAAGACGCAAAGTCTGCAAGGTCTTTTGTCTCAATACCCAGTCAAGCTGATTGTGGCGAGCAATGATATAAGACCCCAAGTGCAGGGTCCTAAGGTTGGGAAAATTGAGATCGCGGGTATCAAACTTGCCAGGCATGACACCCCAGCCACAATGGAAGAGTAACGAAAGAGAAGTGAGCTGCTCGGCAATGGGATCAAGCCAGACCTGACGGAGATGGGGCTCGAAGTTTCGACGCTCAGGGCGATACAAATCAGCCTCACGCTCGCCGTCCAAGGTATTTTCCTCATCAGCTACCAAAACATGTAGGCCCTTCAAACCCTGCATTACCTGCTGAAACTCATCGGAACTGGTAAAATCGTCTAGAATGAAGTTTTGAAGATTCTCGATAGTTAGAGACCGAATGGCAGCGGCACCAGGAGAGTCGTTTTTGCGCTTAGCCATAGCATGGAAGACGGCATGGAGAGTACGCTTCCGAGTGGAAAGGGGCTCGCCTCGTTCCGAATCATACTCATACTCTCCGGTGCGACATTCCCTACCAAAGTGCAAGACGAGCGATGTCACATTCTGCAGCTCACTCATGCGATCAAGAGAATCCAGGAATTCTGGGTATTCCCCCTCATCCTCCCATAGATCCCAGTCGCATTCATCATTGCGATCTTCGAACGGGAGGGGACTGCTGTCAATATGGACCCCCCTGACGCTCGATCTTATCGTTTCGTTGTCAAGCATCGAATTCCACTTTTTAAACCCTTCAGACCCGTGATGTAGGTGAACTGAGGAGAAGAGATGCCGAGAGGCCAGTTCGTTCCATTGCCGACACACAAGGCGAGCATTGGCAAGATGCTCTGGGTTTTGATCGACTTCGCTCTCCTCGTACTCAGCAGCAAATTCGAAGAGATGACTTATGATGAGATCTAGAGTCTCATTTGGGAAGTCTTTGAGCTCCATGATGTGGGACTCTGGATCTTCAACTCGTTTGTCGTGTTTGATTGAACTTACGGAAAATGTTCACGGTGTGGATTCATTAGGTGCCAAGAGTCATGGTCTCCTTCTTGGACCGTTGGCAGGATTCAACCCACACCGCCAAAAGCGAGATACGCAGCGGAAATAAGATATTACCGGACAACGTCAATCCTACGGTCCAAGGGTGTCACACGACTTCTCAGTGGGCTTCCGACGGCTAAGTTTGACAAGCTTCAAGGCGCCTCTGTATCTTATACGAGGGACTCAAGTTATGAATCATGACCCCTTTACAAAAATTGAACTAGAATAGAGCTTTCATATTTCATTTCAATCCATCAAGGATTTGCTTTCGTTGTTTGAGGTTCTATTTCCACAAACCTCTCTTCGGCATACAACTATTTAGCCATCCACAATATCTCCGACAACATCCAGCAGCTCCGTGTCGATGAATCGAACCTGCCATTGAGGAGTCTTCCCACTTGGGGTTGACACATTGACATTCTCGGCTCGTACGTTGCGACAGCTCTGGGAAATAGTTAGTCGTGGACTTGAAACAAACAGTGATGAAGCTTATTCGCGAATTACTGACCTGATCGTCGCTGCAAATGAGCGAGCCCACAACTGGGTCTCCCTTCTTCGACGTGGTGCCCCAGAAATTCTTGAAAACGACGTCTTCGATGATCATCTGGGAAGGATTCTCTTCGCACGTCGAGGCATTGACAGTTCCATAGCATTGGTCGATCTTGAGAACCGCATCGTTCCCTTTTACGTGGAATCCATCATAAGTCACATTAAGGACATGGCCTGTGCCGCCTCCGCCGATCCACCCAGGCTTTGTGACGGCATGCTCGCCGGCCCAGATCTTGATGCGCGCGCTGTCTGTGGCGTTGCTAAGTGTGTTGTTGTAGATGTACAGGTTCTCTATGACGTCGAAAACGCCCGGGTACTGAGCGAGGGAGCCCACTGATATGCCGTGCGAAGAGTTGCAGACAAGACCTTGAACCACAATGTTGGTGCTGTTGGGCTTGAAAGAGACGCAGTCATCGTCGTGGTCAATGTACGAGTTTTGGATAACGATGTTGTCGGATCGGTACGTGTCCCAACCGTCGAGATTCTTAGCCTCATGTTCAGACGTGGACCGAGAGTAAATATCAATGTCGGAGATGAGAAGATCCGAGCTGTTGGCGATGAGATTGTGCCACTGTTATTGACGATTAGCTTCCCTGACCTTAATACGCCTTGAATTAGACGGCCTTTTACCTGGGGAGAATTCCGCAGCTTTAGGCCAGTGATAGATCCCCCAACCCACCCGTCGGTAACGAAAAGCAAAGGCCGCTGGACATTGGAAGTAGCATGTGCATCATACCAGACCTGTCCATTGCCATCAATGGTTCCCGTGCCCGCTCCGTACAGGTTGATATCCTCTCCTCCCCACAACCACCAAGTCCCCTGATCTTGGAATGGGAAGTTGAAAAAGGTTGGCACCCATTTCTCTATATCCTCGCAGAATTTGACTGTGCCAGTGAGGGCAATGTCAATGTGCTTGAGGAAGCGCAGGTCAAGTGGGCTGCAGATAGTGTATTCTTTATCCAGTACGACGGTGCCGCCATTGTTGCACTCCTTGATGGCTGCGAGAATCTTTGGGGCATCGTCCCGTCCGGGTGTGCAGCTCGGTTTCACGAAGCATGATTTCGTTCGTGGAGAGGAGGACGGGAATGGCTTGAAAGGTTGGATAGGAGCGGGCACAATCTTGGGCCGCTCTGGGACCTGTCGAGCCTGGGCTATACTGCTGATTGCAATGCCTGCCGCAGCTAGGAAAGTAGGGGAAACCATCTTGTGAGCTTGGTCAGATACAGTTCAGGTCTATAACCGAATGATCACAGATGAAGCCGTTCGTTTTCAAGGCGCCGGGCTACATTTATCTATCTAACGCAACGAAGTGCTCATACAGGGTCCAGGCTGTCGGTAACAGGGAGTCGCACGTTTCCCCAATCAACCCGCGGCTTCTCGTGGTTAACGTTTAGCCTGAAGTCATCATTAGCTCGTGCAAGGGGTTTCAAAGCTTGGCATGGGGAGGAGAACGCAATTAACAGGCATCATCATCGTCCGGAGGGCATAATGTGGGCCGTAACCAACCACCAATATTCCTCCAATGAGAAATTCGCCATGCTTCACATCCAGTGTGCGATTTTCGGGTATGCAATTAGAGTACTTCATGGAGGTGTACTAGTTATGAGGCTCGGCGTCATTATAGTCGCAATATACTCACAGATTATTCAAGCTGGGGCTTGATCCGAAAGAGATACTTTGGTTTCGTCTCAGTAGCATACAAATTTTAACGAAAGTGAACATCAGGGATATTGTTCAAGGATCTCTCAACTCCTCAGTATTTACCATATTATCTCGATTAGTTCGTTGTCACTGGGAATTGGCCGTCAACCCTGTGTGATTTTCCCGGCTCTGCTTGTGAGTGCTGTCCGTGTGCCAAATTAAGTCAATGCATGGGATATAGAGTTGTTCAAATATCAATAGATCATAACGTATAAGATTTGAGAGAATCAAAAACGATGGTGACAATCAACTATGTCTGATTTAAGATAGGCAATGAATCTGCTGGCGGTTGCAGAGCTTCACACACTGTAAATGACGTCAAATAAACTCAAGGGCAAGCAAACTTGATGCGCGTGGATTTTAGTATATCGACGATGAATTTAGAAAGATTATGCTAATTTGCACGTTGAACCTATCGATCTGACACAATCACAGGATTTTCAACCACTTCTTCTCTCAGGCTAAGCGCTGAGAGACGCCCACATAGAACTCTTTGGACCCTGAGGCGCCTTAAAGTGAATTTTAACGACCGTTTATTGATGTTCATTTTAGTTACGTCGATCAATTCTTCCTGAGAACTACCAAACCACCTAGAAACAACAAGATGTATTCGTCTTTCGATATTGCGGAATGCCGTTGATAGGAGCAGGCATCTCTCCTACATCAGTTTTATTCTTGGTGACATCTTTTTCGAATTCGACAGCTTCACACTGACTCTATATTACTGATTTACAACCGAAACTCGTCTAGCTTTGACTAGGTATTAACCGCATGGTGACTTGAAATTCACAAATGTAACGCCTTGCTTACAAAATCTCATCATGAAATTCCCATCACGCTATCTCGACCAGGCACCGTGTATCGTCAGTTTTGATTCCTGAACTCTTCCCATGCCTCTTTCGTGTAATATCGTAAACATGTCTCACAGATCCCGCAACCGCCGCACCCTGGGGCTGTCCAGGACCCTGTGAAAGGATCAAAAGTCCACGTGGGGTCCCTGGCTGGAAACGGTCCGGTCTCGAGATCATACTTGTCTGGCATTTTGGGAAAACCAAGCTCAGGAATCAGTTCGTGCTGATTTGATAATGTACGGACATAAACACCCCGCCCCTTTGCAGCTGTCATTGCTTTTTGAAAAGATATTTGGGTTCTAGGCATTGGGGCTTGCTTCTCGACTTGTTCGAGGTAGATGGCCCTCAGGTTTGGGAATGACCGCGAATTGATGAGCGACACAATCGCATCGTCTAAAGCCTCATTCACCTCGTAATCCCCTCGGTCATACCAGGCCTCATCCTCCGATCCCCAAAGAAGTAAAACTTCGAGAGTTGGCGGAAGGCACTTAGCAAAATGAGTGACAACGTCATCATGCTTTATAGTCCCGTCGGCGGAGTCGTCGTCTGTCGTCTCCCTGTCCACCTCTGGCATGTCGGGAGGTGTGTCAAGGAAATCGCTCTCGTCATTATCACGGCCAAATGGCTCTTGATTGTAAAAATCGTACATCCCGGACCCATCACGACAGACATCGTTGAGCGAGCAGAAGCAATCAATCAAAATGTCCTCCACACAAAGTTGTATCATGCGGATGTTTCGCATTGACGATAGCTCACTCGGCTCGTAATTACGACATCGATCGCTGAACATGCGATTTGGTCGATAAAGGAGGAGCTGGCGAAGAGACCGTTGGGAAACCGAAGAGTTGAGCTCTTCGATAAATGTATTAACCGAGTCTAATCGCTCCCCACACTGTGCACGGATGACTATTGTATCAAGGCCGATCGACGTCTGGACCAGTGCCCCTCGGAGGTCGATATTGTCTTCTCTGATTCTGTCAAGAACTAGGGTTCTGACGGTCGAAGTTTCAAGGGGAAGTAACCAACCCCCATCGGATTCCAACGGACCACTTGAATCCAAATTCCGGTAGTAGATCTCCTCAATGGAAGGAAGGCGCAGTAGAGCACAGAGGCTGGTGGAGTCTGACATGGCTTCAAGCTCGGGACGATCGAGGACGGGGACTCCAACAGATACCTTGCGAAGGGAATTGAATCCAGGGGGCCAAGGGAAGTCGCCACCCAAGCTCCATTGGATCATTTGCACCAACCAATCCAGGGTCTCATTTGGAACATGAGGAGTAACGAATACAAGGTTATTCAGTCGAGGTAACATGGAAACTATCATGGCCTTGAAGTAGCCATCTTCTCCATCTTCAAAGGCGGCTGCGATGATCTCATGATCATGGCAGGGGTGAAATATCAGTTCCATCTCTTTGACGTGATCAGTCACCTCGTGGGGGCTAAACGGCGAGGGCAGCGGTTCTTCGTGGGCGGCAAGGGAGACAGTTCCGTCAGCACCAATTTCCCAACTTTTCCATTCGTCCCATGTCTTTCTGGATCCCCATATTTCAAATTTCCTGACGTGCCATGCCTCGATGGCTTTAGGGCCAACAGAAGCCTGGGCGCTGCGATACACGCGGACGAGAAGCTCAAGCGAGCAATCGGAGATGACGCGGTTGTCTCGATGAGCATTTCGATGGAGCTCGAGGATGGGTTTTGATCGAGCGTAGATGAGCTTGCATGTCGTGGCAAGCGCAAAATGGTCAGACGGTTCGAGTTCGTCGTAGATGTTGAAGAGGAGCTCGGTCGGCAGCTTGGCCAACAGGCCTCGCGCCTCAGCTACCCTTGCCGCCATGGGTGCGGTGGGGTGCGGGTAGCTAAACGAGTCTGAAATGAGGGTAGGGAAAAAAGGCTGCGGATTGCAGACAAGAGCTCTGCTTTATTTGAGATGGAATTCTCAGGGTAACCATCGCAGAGATGGTGGCTGCCTGATCGTTGAAGGTGCAAAATCTCAGGCTTGGAGAAGGTCAGGCAAAAGTGAGTCGAGTCCGAAGTTCAAACTCAGGGCAGGAGCGAGCCAGGTGATTAGTCAGCCTCCCCATCACTCGACCACAGCCATCACTCGCATTCGATGTAACTTTGATACTGAGGCAATGAAAAGCATTGATCTAGGGGCGATAAGATATCACATTGCTATACGGAAAAATTCTACCTAGAATCAGATTTACTTAGTTACCTAGCTACTGGTGAAGCTCTGTCGCAGGAGCTGATGAATGTTATCTCCCCATTCGTGTCCGGCTCTAGGGCTCCTCATGCTACAAATTAGTGGTGATCTCAGTGAAGAGACCCCTGGAAAATAACCCAATATTGGCCGCCAATGTCCGCAACGACAGAGGACCTGTAACTTCCATCCAGTCATCAATTTTGTCCTCATCGTCATTTGGACTCTTTCACAACCTGACTGTTATCGAAATCTAGTACGGATTCTTCTATTAGCTTAGTATAGATAATTCAGGCAACGCGATGGCCATTCGTCCGGCCGGTTACCTCTCCCGATGGCCTATCCCCAATCGCTTTAGTGCAACGGTTAGCTGAAGTCGAGGCCAGCCACCAGCTAATCGTTTGCCCTTCTCCCACGTTGACAACACGAATATGAGGTGATTACGACTACATATATTGTGTCCAGTGACAAAAAGACGACAGATTACTTCCCACCTACCTCTAGCGTTTTCACCCCAACAACCTCGCTACACAAGAGGAGCGTCATGGCACAATCCCTTTCATCCCACTACATCATCACTAAGGACGGCGCTCGGTTGAGTTACTACAGCATCGGAAATGGGCCAGGACTCATCATCCTGCATGGATCTGCTGGCTATGCGCTCACCCATCAGGAGCTCGCGCTTAAGCTTAGCCCATTTTATACTGTGTACCTCCCATCTCGAAGGTGTCGCGGCCTGTCTGACCCATACCCGGAGTCTCTCGACAGAGACGGTCCACTTGTGGAACACAAGGACAACGATGATCCAGATCAAAATTCCCACATGATTCGCATCGGAGAAAGGAGCTACCGGGAAACCTATCGGCCAAGCTTTAAATCATCGCTGCTAGAGGTGGAAGTCTTTGATTTGGAGTCTCTCATCGCAAGCACCGGGGCATCGTATCTCATCGGTGTCTCAAGCGGCGCGTTGATTGTTCTTCACTCTTTGCTCAGCGCCGAGACTCTTCCTTGGATCAACCAGATCCAGAGAATAATCCTCTTCGAACCCCCTCTGATCTGTAGCGATGTTCACCCGTCACTTGACGTCAACGGAATTGGCCAATATGAGCGTGATCTTGCCGAAAAAGGGGAAGTGAGCGCTTTGGTTACGGCCATGTACACTGTGCAGCTGGGACCCACGTGGATCCCAAGAAGGATCATGGAGGTTCTGGCTTGGATTGGATTCACAATCGCTGGACGATCTGGAAAAGGCCCCAAGGGACCAAACGGAGAGGATCTTGGAAAATGCACGCTGAAGGATATGGCACATATAATTCGCTATGACTTTGCCGTCGTGGAGGGGATGATACAGGACTCAAAGAACTTTCAAGCTTTGAACAGCCGTGGAGAGAAAATCATGCTACTTCAAGGAGAGAAAACCATGGAGTATATGAAGGAGGCCATGTCAATTTTGAGGAAGTCTGCCCCCAACACGACCCACCTTGATATTCCTGGGGTTGGCCATGAACTTCTTGTCAACTCGGATATGAGAGGTCGGCCGAAAAGAGCTACTACGATTATTAAAGAATTCTTTTCTCCCCATGCCAGTAACTAAGCGTTATTTGAAAATTTCAGCATTCAACATGTTATCCCTTTTTTGATTGCTCCTGTTTCTCCCGGATTTTGATTAGTTATCCTCAAGAGACGATCCATGGCACATTCGTATGCTCATCGTTGCGATATCCGTTTTTCCATTTTTCTATTTGTAATTTAGATGATTATTCTTAGAATAATTAGTATATAAAGTATTTAAAAAATGTATCGAGGGTGCCATTTGGATCAAGTATACCCTGCTGTTCGCATTATCTTCTTAATCTTCTCCCGATATTTTAGCCTGTTCTCTTCCTCGTTGCCTCCTTGATTCATTGTTTCTCTCTTGCTCTTCCCTTTGCGGCTGCATAACCTCAATTCGCTCTGCCTCTTATCTGCTTCCCTCTTCTCTCCTCCGTTCTCTTTCCCACTCCACTGTTCTCTTGTCTATCAATACGAAATTCAGATAAGTCATATAATCAGCGGCTTCGTGTTTTTCCGCGCCAGCGATTATTTCTTATCGCCCCATTGGCTCTGGATTTGCAACAATTACACTTGTGGAGCTTGCTAGTACTCCGTAAGAAGTTGTAGTGTCTCAGGGCCGATGCTCATAGAGCCCGGAGAATGTACACGAACATGAACTTGTTGCCTATTTCACTATTTCATGATGTCCTCACTACTGATTTGAATTGATTAAATCCAATATCTGATGACCTCGAGGTTGACTCGTACCCGTAGCCTCTTAGAATCTTCAGAAGATTGCATCTGACAGACTTTCCAGGTGATAAACAGGCGCACTTCCATCAGGTTGCAGAATTTTACAAAGTCCACCGGGGTTCAGCGAGCGAGTGAGCCTACCCGGATCGATTAGGATGACTCCTTGACTAAGAAGATTTTCGAAAGACATTCGGTCCTTATTTGTCGTCGCCTTGGCTGCTATGGTCTGAAAGCCAAGACAACGTGACGGGATACGTGACGGGTGTCATTCATCAAACTTTAGACCCTCCCTTGTGATCACACTGCTGATGCTCTCATAAGTCGCCCTGCGAGAAGGAAGAGGTAAATCCTTTCTAGATCGTCAATTTACTGACGTGGAAAGCATCACTGGATGAAATTATCCTGTAAGTATGACTTCGAGAGAATTCTAGTGGGGGCCACAAACAGTCTAGTATGGCGAAGGGATTGGCACCTCTACACATTGTCAATAGACTTATGCATTCGTCTCGACTCGCATTGGTTATTGTGATACAGCAGCTACCCATTAAGTCTAACCGATTTATCTCCCCCATCATCTAAGCTATTCCAAGACGAAACTCATTTACTGACTTAGAATTCCTCAGGGGCTACATTAAAGTATTTAACAGGAAGAGATGGGATCAGCAGTCACGGTAGCAACAAGCTACTGGAAGCGAACAAGTCTACCTTACTGAAACAGAACAGGATGAAATCTAGTCTTCAATTAGTAAGCCCTGACAAAGTCTGGCAATAAATGCACTAATCTATTTAAATTTATCAGAGTGTGACTGATATGAATAACGACTTACTTAATTAGTCGTAATATGCAAAGGCGTTGCAATTCTATCTCCCATCACACGTGTGACCACTTCTTTACCTTAGCATCCTTCTTTCAAAAAGCCTTCCTTGGAAATCGAACGCTGGAAGTCGAGTCCATATCAATCGCTGCTATTGTGGATACGTTCTAGTCCAACAAGCTCTGAAGAAATTTCCCAAAGCTTCACTGCGTCGGGTTCATTGAAAGCCCAACTGGCGTAACCCTGATCTTGGGTGTCTAGCGGATTTTGAGACTTAGTCGGCCCCTGCTGTGAGCATTCTGCGAGATAGATAGCGCCACGCCCCTCCCACTCTCGGCCGATAGCTACATATATAGCTGTGGCTGCACCTTGTTCGGGGCTTTTAAAATACGACATCAGTTCTGTGTTTTTTTTCGCGTCTTCAATAGTTTGCTGGTCCAGGTACTGGTCCAGGATCGTGGTCGAGTTGCCCGGATTCATCGATATCCTATGTACACCTTTTGTCCCGTATCGTCTCTCTAGTTCGTTGGCAAAGTAGATGTTAGCCGTCTTCGACTGGATATAAGAGACCCAGGGATCGTATGAGTCCTGCTCCTCGAATCAGGTCATGGAAGCGAACATTTCCAACGCGATGAGCCATGGATGATAAAGAGATTACTCTCAATATGAATTGTGGAGTGCTACTCTGTATGAGTGTGGGGATCAACAAATTTGCGAGCAGGAAGTGTCCTAGGTGGATGATGCCAAATTGAGTTTCGAATCCGTCTTTCGTCTTGCTAAGTGGTGTGGCCATGACTCCAGTATTGAGAATGAGAAGGTTGAGTTGCTTACTTTTCGTAAGAAATGTCTCAGTGGCTTTCCTGACCGATTCCAGTGAGTCGAGCGATAGTTCAACTGCCTGTAAAGTATTTGGGAATTTATGGTCGCTGGTTGATAAGATCTTGGCTATTGCTTCCTGGCCTTTGTTTAGATCCCTGACTCTAAGGAAAACAGTAGCCCTAGTGACGTAAAGTGCCCGGGCGATTTCGAGGCTAATCCCCTGGTTGGCACCAGTGACAAATGCAACTTTGTCCGTCAGTTTACCGATGAGCTCTTCGTCCTGTACAATTTGGACAGCCGTTGGTCGAGTATCACCAGGACCCGAGGGATTCGCATGTTGGGCTTCGTATTTCGCCATAGCTTGGGCACTGAGGAAATAAAATGAAGTTCAATTAGAGTTAGAAAGCGTTAACAATTAGTTTAATGAAAATGAAAACCCTGTCGAGTCCAAACTAGGCCTTGATTTATACCGGAGTCATGGATGGAGTATCGCTTTCCTCGGGCGGCCCCGTGAAACGGCCATCCTGAACACCGCACAGTAACTCCGCAACCTTTTCAGGCCTGAACTCTAGGGAAGGTACTTTAGCATTGGACACTCGAAACGCACCAACCACTTATTCTCATTGACCATTCATACAATCATCCGCTGCCCTCTGAGCGGGTACCCGCATATTTATCAAGTAATATGTTACCATTCTCGGAATCCAGTGGCCGACTGCGTAGCTCTGTCTGTGGACAGATGGCTTTGACCAACACTACTTGGATTTGTCAACCGTCCCTGCAACCTCGGGTTTCGCAGACCGAGATGGGTTCATAAAACAGCAGAGCCGGATCGGCAGAAAGCATTCTAGTACAACCCTTTATTGCACTTGGTTAATCCAAAAATATCTGTTTTAAACATGAGTTTCGATATGCGCGTGGCAGACCTTGGAGATGATATCCGTATTGCATACGTCGATGAGCTGTCACAAGGTCAGGAAAGCAAGGGAGTGATCCTCTTGATTCACGGCTTTCCTCAAACTTCATATCAATTTCGCAAAGTCATCCCTGGTCTTGTGGCATCAGGGTAGGTAGATTCTTGGTCTTGAAAGCTTATATCTGACATGGTCCAAGGTATCGTGTGATTGCTCCTGACTATCGCGGTGCAGGAATGTCGTCCAAACCTGTGACAGGATATACAAAATCAACCATGGCGACCGACCTGAGAAACCTACTTACACATCTTTTAATTGTTGAGAAAGTACATGTCGTTGGGCACGATATTGGTGGCATGATTGCGTGGGCCTTTGCAACTCGCTTTCCAGATCACACAGCATCAGTCATTTGGGGCGAGTGCCCGCTCCCAGGCACGCGATTCATGTACGAGTGTCGTACTGTTAACGCGGTTCAAAAATTCCACTTCGCCTTCCATGCCGTGAGTGATCTTCCTGAAGCGCTCGTTGCTGGTCGCGAAGACATCTATTTGAAACACTTTTACGGAAACGAAGGGTATAAAGTCAGCGCTATCGACGAGGATGATGTCAATCATTACGCGCAAATGTATCGCCGGCCAGGGGCTTTACGATCCGCCTTTAACGTTTATAGAGCTTTCGCCGAGGATATACGGGAGAACCAAGAATGGATAGATAAAAATAAGAAGTGTAGCGTGAGGGCATTATCCTTATCTGGTGCCCTCAGCACCCATACAGCCGCTGCCGAGGGAATGATGTATGACGCTCACGAGGCAGGAACATTTTCAGTCGCTGAACTCCCTGAAACCGGTCACTATTTGGCGGAGGAAAGCCCCGAGGCATTCAACAAAGCAGTATTAGAATTCATCGAGCAGAAGCAGGCGATCCATAGTTAATCTGAGTGGTCTGTTCTAACTCTGATGACATCCCAAGAGCTGCTTGACTATCTATAGCGGTATTGGAATTGTTATTTATGAAGCGCGCGGCTGATCTTATGTAGAATCACTGTAGTGAGATCTGGTAACATATTTCATGAGATACTTGCAGTATTTGTATTCTTGAAGTGGCGCAATGTATTGCATCATAGATATAAATCTTAATCAAATTATTATTCTAGATGAAAGTTTGCTATTGTAGTACTATGAGCCTTGAAACCTATGAATAGGATTAGTCCTTCAAATAGGATTGGAAATAGAATAACAGGAAGTACGACGATAGAAAGAATATTAACTGCCGTGATAACTAAGAACAAAACCGACAATGTATTATCTGTACGGACCTTGCTCCGTAGTATTTTTTTTCCCAAGTCCTTTAGGCAATTTCGCAAGCGAGAAAGATATGGTAAATGAAGGCCATGTGGCAGGTTCATTATAATAGTGATCTAACAGAGTAATAAGGAGAGCAATTGGTCTCAAGGCAAATAGCCGAGGGTTATAAGACAGTAGGTGAGTTTCACTATATTAGTTAAAGAGCTACATAAGTAGTGATTAACAAGCCATATATAAATAGAAGCTATAGTAGAACTGGGAAGTATAGTTAGTTTAATGATAAATATTGCTCTAGATATATAAGTAATCGTGTTTATAAGATGGTTTATATTGAAGTGCTTGCTGTTGAATCAGGCCTTAATCTACCATGGTATAGGAGTGCCATCATAATTCAGATACTTTACATCACTCTCAAGCTTCAGCCCCAAGATAACCTTCTTCAAGCCTTCCACAGATTGAGCCACTGGCATTCCCCCATCACCCGCCGAATTGCCCATGTCCGTTGCAACCCAGCCAGGATGCAAAGCTGCCACACAAATTCCCTCGCCTCGAAGTTCGTTCTGATACTGCACCACCAACATGTTTCCCGCTGCTTTGCTGACCGAATAAGGGCCTGCAAAGCCTGGGTGTGCTTCGACTTGTCTCGCCAAAGACCCCGATGCTGATGAGAGGAGAATGATCTTCTTTAGCGAACCTTTTCTCAATGCTGGCAAGAATTCTCTAATGACTCGATGAGGGCCAACAACATTACTTGCGAGATATTCCAGGAGTCGCTCGTCCGACGTGGTTGCCATGTACTCTTCACCTCCAATTGCTGCGTTGAGGATCAGGATATCGACCGAGTCGACATGTTTGGCCGCGGCGGCCACTGACTCTGGGGATGTCTGATCTAATTGGATACGCCCGTAATTCGAACTGATGTCTGCATTGGTGTCTGTAGGTAAGGTACGAACTGCCGCAATGACGTTGTATTTTGGGACCGCGGCGAATTGTTTGGCAAGCTCCGCGCCAATGCCACGAGACGCTCCCACAATCAACACATTGATAGTCATTTTTTCTCTGAGCATGTAAAGCCTTGTCAACCTAGAAGCACCCCATAATCCAGAAAGTCTTTAAATACATCACATGCTTGTCTCGCGCCTATACAAACGATGGCCGACGGGATATAAATTCCGATGGTATGACTAAACTACGATACTATGACTAATAAGCCGGAACTCAACACCGAGGAGACATGACCGAGCTAAAGGTTCGAGACATGTCCAGCTGAAGCCTAGACCAAATAATAGCAGAACATGATGAAGACGGAACGATGACAACTGTGGATGTCTATTTGATTCTCTTCCTCGATTTTAGCTGGACTTACATCGCATGTTACGGCGTTGGATCAGCATGTGAAGTATGTTCACGAGGCCCGAGCCGTCTCATATATGTGCAATGTGCTACAATGTGCTAGTAACAGCTGATATCCTGCTCTGGACACTCACGGCTCACTTTAGATCCTACTGGTAACTGGTATAACTCGTTGGAGGGCGGTTATGCGACCTATTGCTGTATATTATGATTTTACTGCTGCTCTAATTGAACATATTCTTGATCATCTGGACTATATACTCCTCACCACGAGGCTTGATGCCTAGTAATTCATTATCAGTCCTAAGAAAGCGAGTGCCGAACGCAGGGTCAAATGTAACAGTATTAATGAACCCCTTAATAGTGTCGTCGTTGAAGATCCCCTGTTGCAGGTTGCTGTAGGCTATGGCTAGGTAATCGGCGAGGGAACGATCCTCAGGGACAGCCTCCCAGTTTCTCTCTGGCACGGCCTTTTTGGCTAGCTCGATGATCTTGTTTTGCGTCAGGACTAGGTCGTGAATACGAACAGAGCGGTTTTTAGTCTCCTCAGGGTGCTGCAGAATGCCGACAATGGCATCGCCGACCGTGGGTAGGGAAGTGGCGCTGAACTCAAGATCGCCATCGCCAAATACGGACGGGTGGTCGGTCTTTCGGTCAATAAGACCCTGCTTCTCGATTCCCCATTCGATAAAAGCTGCGTTGAAGACGAGAGTATAGGTCAAGTTGGAAGTCTTGGCTTTGTCTGCGAGGTATCCCTGGATTTCGAGCTTTGAGCCCAAGATGGGAATGGTACGGACCCGAGGGTTTTCAAGGTCACCGCCAAACTCGGATGGGATATAACGTTTGACGCCAACGGAAGCGGCAGCGTCAATTATGGGTTTCTGAGATTCGATCGCCGTTGCCGAAAGGGTCGCCACGATGGCATCTTGGCCTTTAAGAGCAGACTCGACAGCCGTTTGCGAGGACAGGTCAACTTCGACAACCTTAGCGGAGCCCGAGCCAGTGTAGTAAGTTGCCACTGATCCAATTCGTTTGAAGGTGGTCACATTGAACAACCCAGAATCAATGACCTGTTTAGCCACGTGAGGACCCAGAGTGCCTGAGGCACCAATGAGGACGACATTCTTGATGGTGGACATGATGGTGACAAGTGGTTTTCGATAAGGCTTTGAGTAGGAACTTTGCTTCAGCTGTCGAAGATAACATTATGACCACTACTGCTGTATTTATATTGATTATTAGGAATCTCAACTTCGCAAAACTCTTACCTCTACCTGTGAGACACTTCAATAAACTCCGCCCTCTGACAAATCAAGGTCCATCTATCACAGTAGAATAATTTAGACTTAAAACTTAGCATTTGTCAGGATATCTACTCTCTGCGGACTTGCGGGTTAATATTGGTCCCGGCGGGATTAAGAGCACAGCCGATAACCCGATAATGTTGGTGCAAGACTAAGAAACGCAAGTCTGATGTCTTATGTTGTTATCGTGGTCTAATCCCATATAGAATTCTACGATATCCTACTCACTGGCTCGACCGCCTACATGTAAGTGTCGGAAAATACGCCCATGGGATGCTCTGATTTTAATAATAATATCTTAGTGGTGGGTCTAGATGTAAGAGAAAAGAGAATAAAGTTGAACAGCAATGGAAGCTGGTAGAGCCCGATAACTCAACGCAATGAATAGTGGCATTTCGGCTGCTGAGGTCGATGAAGCCATCAATTAGGTGCCTCTGCCCTTGGACAGCGTTTAGATCAAACCGATCTACCACCCAAGCAGGGTGTTGAGCTTATTGTATCCAGGGACCTTGACGGGATCGATCTTCTCCGACAGACAGCAGGTATTTCACTACCTCGACAAGGCTAAAATGAAAGACTGAACTGCCACCGCGATGTTAATGAATCTGCCATGAATACGTACATAAAGCTGTTCTCTCTACTTTGGGTTTGCATCTCCTGTTGGGCTGCTAAGGCTGAGAAGAGTTCTCATTGCATATTAATGAGAACTTGTGACCAGATGCCATCAAAAGGATGACACAGGTCCAAGGTGCGACGTTTTCGCAGAGCCAAATGTTTCCAGGAGTCCAAGCGGAGTTACCTAGACTACTTGGCAGGTCGGAGGGCCGGCTGGTTAATTTCGGACTACCAAGTATGGCCGATGGGCATCATTTCTCAATATCTTCAATGTCTCCACAACATGCATTCAATCTCCTTACGTGACCAAATAGAGATGGCAACGAGATCAAATGATGTCTTGTGCCGGGGCCTGGGGACAATGTCACAGGTGGCGCGTTCGGCAAACTTCTTACCTACGCCGTATTCTATGTCTCTGCTTCTGTTGACTTTTTGAACCATTGTGACAGGGTTCCAATACTTTCGGTGAAGATGGAGGCAAAAGATGGGGCTATTATGATGCGTTTAACAGTTGGGGCGTAGCGATGAAGCCGCGAAAAGCCATGATCGTGGTAATTAGATGGGGGGGGTGGGGGTCAATATTTGATTGGATTAACCTTGTCCCTTGTCCCACTCAGGAAGCCCGGTATAACTATTCGGGAAATTTCATGTTGACATTAGGACCAACAAGTTCTTTCCGGGAATCAAGTCCGAGAGGCATTGATCTCTTTCAGCATAGAGTAGGTAAACTTGCCAGAATCATTAAAGAATGGCGATGCAGTGTGCAGCACCACGCCCTCGTTCTGAGGCATCTCGTTGAAGGCACCTTTGATCACCATGCCGCGCACGATCAAGAATTCAATACCATTTCCCCCCGCACTCTTGCTCGCGTCGCGAACAGCCCGCTCTTCTTCTTTTGACCGAACAGTGGTGAGTACTTTGTGGCCACGCTCGAGAAGCTGGCTCATGATGTGGGCTAGATGCAAACCCGACCAGTATTAGTGGCTACCCTAGATTAACGCGACGGGGTGATAGTTTCTTTTACTACGGTAGCGATAAAGCCGGTACCACCTTATGTTCTATCAGTAATTGTATGCCGCGCGGGTGAGGTGAATGATTGTTATCTGTGAGAAAGACTTTTGTGATTATGATATTTTGAAGCGGCTGCTAATCATGACTTTCAATCGAACCGGACTAAGTGTTTGTAAAGCAAAAAGAGAAATTGCTATACTTGGGTACTTGTAATATCAAGCAGTAGTTCAGCTAAATTCGGACTCTCCGCAATCCTTGACTATCTTGCGATGAGTTATACGCCCGGAACACCAGGCTATGCTTGCAACCTAAACTCTTACTCCTAGTTGAGGGCTAGCCTCAATCTAGCTCCGGAATTTCATTCCGCGGCTACACGCGGATAGCCATCCCACAACTGCAGCACTGATCCGTCCAACAAGCAGCCTCGGAGATGCTATCAGGTGTGGAGGAGGCGGCTAAATTGCCAACTTGGGACTGGTCTAGCCTCAGTGTCACCTAAAGGGCGTACGCCTTCTTGCGAGAGCGAGAGCTCGCTCTACGAACAACCAATCACATCGATGGTGCCACTCAGAACCATTACAAATTGGTTCTCAGCTGGGTTCTTATGCGTAAGAAAAGTCTTCAAGAGCATCTTTACTTTTCTCTCTTTTAATTTTATGTCTATAAAAAGAGTAACACATCAGAAAATACTCAAAAGCCTCTTCAGTCAGCAATCATTTCCTATCTACCTCATCTTCTACGTCAACAATCACTTTCCACATCGGCTCAGCTATGTCTGCAGAATCAAAACACCCAGGAGAACTCTCTCTGGCCAAACTCCTAGCCACACTCTCCACGAAACTACACCCGACAACCTATGTATTTGCCGTCATCAAGGACGAATCCAAGCTGCCGCCCTTCTCCGAGGTGGATATGCTATTCCGCGAAGCCGACTCAGAAGGCATTACCGTTATCGCGTCTCGCGAATATGCAGAGGCCCATGGCATAGAATACTTCTTCCCCTGTAGGAAAATTACGCTCGATGTCACATCTAGCCTCGAAGCAGTTGGGTTTATTGCCGTTGTGGCTACGAGACTTGCTGCGAGTAATATGGGAGTGAATCCTATAAGTGGCTTCTACCACGATCACCTCTACGTGCCCGATGGAAGAGAGGAGGATGCGGTTAGGATTATTGCAGAGTTGGCTGAAGAGAAGAAAGGGGAAACTGGAATTAATTAGGATTAAGACAAAGATAAATCTTAGTAGATGTATATCAAGACATCCACCTAATTAAATAGGGTGTATCGGGTGCATTCAATTGTACTCCATATTCTACACGTGTTGCGACTTATTTTAGCTTCAGTACTGTAAACAGAAGAAAGAAATAGTTTAAGTATTCTTCTATATTAATATATATAGCTGGGCACTATAATTACCATGAATCGCACTTATACAATCCTATTCTCGCCTGCTTGAGCTCCCTGTAGAGAGAGACTACATTTTTTATTCACCCTCCTTGAGTTCTTCCCCGCTGGCCCGGTAGCCTAAATCCTCTCTGGTGCCTCCCGATGAAGATTTCCCGACTTTGATCAATTCATGGAAATTGACAATCAAGAGAGGTGAATTTACAGTTTAATCCCATTGAGTTTGTTTAATGATCTATTGCTGTCGTAAGGTGCAAGGGAAATGAGCATGCTAGTCTCCACCTGCACTAACCAACGGCTAGTATTGTAGAGCAGTATAGGGGAAGGGCATCCGGGGAGACATGTGACTCGTTCTATTATATAAGCACTCTATCGTGAGAAACTCTCCCTGCCGTTTTCTTCTAGTTCCACTACCATTAATCTTGGCTCAACAGAGGCTCCTAGGCCTAGGTGTTCCATTCATGGCTTCACCGATGGATGCGAGTCAATGGAAACGACATATTGCCTCTAAAGCATGTGATCTTTGCCGAGCGCGGAAAAGCCAGGTAAGTTCCAGTATCTCACCAATAGACAAAACCCAACGAATCTCCGGAGGGTGGTTTAACATTGGTGCAGTGTGTCTTTGATTCGAGCGAGTCAAACCAATGTAGAAGTCGTACAAGGCAAAATGCAGAGTGCACTTTTCTCAGAGGTCACAAGACTCGTGGGCCTCGTAGCCAGTATGAATATAACCCCCACGCCATGCCTTGCGCAATCCAATATGCCCATAGAAGTTCGAACTGATATGTATATACTAGTCGGTCTCCCGATCAGAATATCCCTCCGCTGTCTAAGGTAGAGGTTGAACATTTGTGTTCTGTGGACTTACTTCACCGCCTCATTCGCGGCTTCGATGAATTTGTCTACCCCCTCTTCCCTCTAGTTCACCAGGCTACCTGCCACCATATGCTTCAAGAGGGAATGTACAATACGGATCCCGCTTTTCTTCGGCGATGCATTTCTCTGTGCGCTATAACTGTGGCCTCTGTCCCCAACAAGGAAGCTGAGTACTGCCCTGGGGGATATCCTACATGTTACAAATTTGTGAATCGGGCGTGCGATCTCGTCCTGATGAGTAGGCTCTCAACGCAACCAGCCTGGGAAGACAATCCGTCATTAGAAACGGCCATAGACTCCGTCATACTCTCAATGGCTGCTCACTATGTCGGATGCACGAGGCGTGGGTGGGCGCTCGCCAATGAGGCTGTCCTTATTACGAGAGATTTACGTCTTCAACGGGGAGAAGGGCTCGCTGAGATTAACGCAATGCAGGCAGAGTATTGCAAGCGGGCTTTCTGGATCCTCCATTTGACACAGATGTTTGTTGGAGCCCATGTCTCGCTTGCCCTTTGTGCTGAGTAAACTAATTCTTTTTGCTTCCAGGCATGACTCTTTTATCTCGCCTACACCACATATGCTGCCCGGTTTTCCGCCCAGGAATACGGATTGGGCAGTGATGCGACCAAGAGATATTTTGGAATACGAACTGTCCCAGGAGAATCTGGTTTCTGGTACTCGCCTGGGGACCTCGGAATCTACTGTTACTGGCTTTGTTTCCCTGGCCAAGGTCGGTCAATGCATGAGAAACATACTCGCAACAGAGGAGTACCGGCCTTGCTTGACGAGCTTGTCGCCACATTTCGCCTCGCTTGGGCTTCCTCCATTACGATATGATATTGGAAATACCCTCTCAAGGCCATCTTTCTCCCGACGCTTGGCGGTCTCTCGAGATATTTCTACGCAGTTCCACGCAACTACTGAAGGTCTTCCGTATCAAGATTCCTTCGAGACATTCAGTGACGGCATCGAGGTGACAGTAGCCACAGTTCAGATCAGTGCCTTGTATTTCACCAACGCCATAATTGATGCCATTTTCGACTCGTCTGATAGCTACCGTGGCGAAGTGGTAGATTTAGCCATCGAGGCCCATGACTCTGGTCGCTTGCCTGGTGGGTTGGACGACAAGATCGAGCTGTGGAGGATCCGGGAATCCATCGCACTGAGACTCTTGGCCATTTTAAAGACAACGTCGCCGCTAAGACTTCAACTCAACGGATTTTCTTTGGTTTGTCCCCCTTTCCTCCTCCTTGTATAAATTACATTGCAAAATGTGTGGAAATTAACCCTTCGCTTGTAGATTCATCAGATTCGGAAGATAGCTGCGAGTCTACTTGACTGTGGAGAGGATCCCGAACTCGCTTCAGTATTGGATGGCCGACCTGAGGAGTACTTGAGGGAATTTACGCAAATTCTTGCCAGTCTGGATTTGAACGCCGCCGTCAGTGCCATGCTTCACAAGAGATATGCAGATGATACGTCGCATTCATTCTAAGAAAGCCTAGCAAAATAATGATTATTTGGTTAAGTATGATTGTCCATTTGATTGCAGGCCGCATGGTTCTCAAAATTCTGCATTCCCTGTTTCCTCGGAAGGATTCAGTAAACGGATGCAAGACGCTTTGCGGTTCAAGGAAGAACTATTCATAAAATTACTTTATTCACCATCTGCATCCTTTCCCGTATTGGTGTTTTCAATAACGACGATCTCATGCTGAGACCACTTTCGTGGAAGCACACCAAGCTCCCAGAGTTGGTCAATCTCGGAGTACGTCCTACCCTTTGTCTCAGGCACGAAGAAGTAGATGAAAACAATGGAGAGTAGGAGAAGTGCAGCGTAAATGAAGCCAATCTTGCCCTGCATGTTGCCCTGGTCAGGGTTAACGGCATATGGCAGGGACAGACCCCAGATGGATGCGGTTAAAGCGTTGACAATAGTGCAAAGAGCCTGCGTGGGTGTGCGTAGAGACGATGTCGCATTCTCTGAGGCGATGGGCCAGGCTACTGCTCCCACAGTACCCTGATACGCTGCGAAGGTTCTCGTGTTAGCTATCTGTGTTCGTGAGCGTGATGTAGACAAGCGGATCAAACTCACTGAAACCCCATGCACCCATCAGTACGATCTGTGCTGTCAAACCACTCTGGCTCGTCACTGTGACCGCCAAAATAGCAATTATGAGAAGCGAAACGAAGAGAATGCTGGAGCCGCAGAGCAGCGTGCCTCGACGACCAAGATACTCGACAAGGAACCAACTGCACATATTCCCCACAACCATAACGCCCGAGATTATAACTGTCATATCGAAGGACCTCGAAGCGGACATGCCCGCCAGCTGCAGGAAGTAGCTCATGTAGCCAACCACCCAGCCCATGCCAGAAAAGTTTTGAATGACAAACGCCATGACCGCGACGAGTGTTCGCCTCCAATTTTGGGCATTGAAGCAATCCTTGAAGCTTCCCTGGCTCTGCTGGGTCTCAGTCTCTTGTTGCAAAGCGGACTTGATCTCGGCAATACGGCCGTCGACGTCGTAGGAGGGGCTGTGTAGTTTGTCGAGGATAGCGCGAGCTTTGTCCTCCTGGCCATGGGTAATGAACCAGTATGGAGATCTATGATACACAGGTTAGATTGTTAACAGAGAGCAATAGATAGGAGAGGAGACTCACTCGGGCAAGAATGGTAAAATGGCAAGGCAAACCCCAACAAAACCCCATTGCACAGCGAACAAGATGCGGTAGGTTGCCTTACCCATGTAATGGCCCGCCTCACGCAGCACTCCGTATCCGATCGTATTTCCGAGCACAATGGCAAGATTCATGCCCCCTGTAATGGCTCCTCGAACGGCAAGAGGTGACATTTCGGAGGCGTAGGTTGGAGCAATCGTGGCGAATGCACCAAGAGGAAAACCAGTCAAGAGCTTACTCCCGAGGAACTGCGCTGGTGTTGTACAGAAGTATTGGAGGAAGACGCCTGCAATGTTGATAATGTAGGCGCCTGCAATTGTCCATTTTCTTCCGAAACGTCCGACGACAGGCCCGACGGCAATACCGCCAAGAGCAAGGCCTGCAGGAGGGGGAAGAAGATATCAGCATCAAGAAATAGCACGTGGGATCATATTCTGTATCCCAGCATGAGGACACGAGGAGGCTTACCAGCAAAGAACCCAGCCTGGAAACCCAGTTGCCAGTCTGCGCCGACAACGTACTCGTTTCCATAGAGGTATCCAAAGTCCTTGCGGAACTGGGCGATGGAAATGACGACGCTACTGACCAAAGCATCATAGCCGTACATGATGCAAACGAAGAACATGTATGCGCCTGTGGGGTATTGGGTAAGTCCGGGGTTAAACTTGGGGATGTACAGAAAACGCAACTCACACCAGAGGAGTGGCTTGTAATTTTCTTTGAGAGCCTCATAGATAGTCAAGGAGTGTTGATGTTTCTGGAAGCGAGCAAGAGACTGGTTTGCAGTGACGACGAATTTGCCCTTGCCATTCATGGACTCTGGATCTGGCGCCATTTCGGCGTGGGCCACCGTGCCTCTGTCCTTCAGTTGAGACATGGTGCAAATAGTCTAAAGAAGATGTGACTGATGAGCAAAGATGAGGGTTCCGGAAAACGGCGACGAACGACGAGAGAAAAAGGCAAGTTTCAGTGTCGATGAGACTCCCTTGCCGCATTCTTGGGGAGAGATCGAAGGGTTTTAAATCCTCATGACCACAACGCCCAATCTAAGGCTCTTCTCCAGCATGACCCCGGATTTGCCATGTTATCATGGGATAGGGGAAAGGGCCTCGGCGAACTCGGACGACACAAGGGCTCCGGGTGTGGAGAGTGGAGGGGTCTGGGGAATGGAGTTTCACTAGCACGAGGAGAATTGACGGCGAAATAATGGATACCCTAATTGTCCAATCATTATCAAGGATGGTGACTGTGGAGGTCGGAGTTTCTGACGGACAAAATATGGAGATGAGCCATGTGGAGTGAAGACTCCTTGGTTCCCATGATCTCTCTACCAGGAAAACACTTGGTAATTAGTTTGTTCTCCAGTATCTCATACTAACATTGTAGACAGGGTGAGATGCTCAACCGAGAAAATATCTCACCGGGAGCAATGGGCCTGGGCATAAAAGAGTGGTTGACGCTCCAACTGTGTTCGTAATCCGTACACCATGTTTTCAATTTACTAGTTTGTCCGATTTCAGAGCCTCCACAAAGCGAACCTATCCTTGTGTTTACCCTCCCCGTACCCATTGCAGGTTGTGGCGGTTTTTAGTCTCTGACAATGGGTGCCACTAATGTCGACTCCCTTGTTGGTCAGCTGACCCTAGATGAGAAGATTTTGCTTCTGGCAGGCAAGAATTTCTGGGAAACACACGAGATTCCTCGTCTGGGAATACCCTCCCTCAAAGTGACAGATGGTCCCAGCGGCGCGAGAGGCGCCACTTTCATTGATGGTACACCTGCCGCATGCTTTCCAGCCTGTGTATCCCTGGCCGCGACCTTTGATCGGGAGCTGGCAAGGAGAATTGGCACGGCACTTGCCCAAGAGACGCAGTCCAAAGGGTGCTATGTGCTATTGGGTCCTACAGTCTGTATTCACAGATCCCCTCTTGGTGGTCGAAACTTTGAGTCGTTTTCAGAAGACCCCTTGTTGGCTGGCGTTTTGGCCACGGAATACGTGAAAGGGCTGCAGGATGAGAGAGTTGCGGCCTCTGTCAAGCATTTTTTCGCCAATGAGCAAGATACGCGGCGGTTCGTCCTGAATGAGACCATCTCAGAAAGGGCTCTTCGGTAAGCTTGACATGCTTGAATGATATTGGTTGAGATTGAGACTAACTATGCAGCTGCAGCGAGATATACCTGAAACCTTTCGAAATTGTGGTCAAGGAGGCCAGGCCATGGACTCTGATGTCAGCATACCCCAAAATTAACGGTAGTTACATTGATGCAACTTCTACTTGGTTGACTCAAGTCCTTCGAGACGAATGGAAATTTGACGGTCTCACAATGAGTGACTGGGGAGCTGCCTCTACCGTGGCTTGTGTAGCGAATGGGCACGTATCCCCGTTTCCAGCCATCGATTGTCCAGCATGCTAACATGATGATATCACAAAGACTGGATCTAGAAATGCCTGGCCCTGCTAGACAAACCGCATCTGAGAATGTGTACAAGGAATTAAAGGAGGGCAGATTGACCGAGGCTGACATTGACGCTCGAGTTCGTGCGTCGCTTGTGCTGCTTGAGAGAGTGGGCAAGTTTGCCGACCGTGGACCAACGCCTGCTGAGCGTGCCATCGACCGTCCAGAGCACCGTGCCTTGATACGGGAGGCAGGGGCATCAGCAATCGTTCTTCTCAAGAATGAACACGAGGTTCTCCCTATCGACGTCAAGCAGACCAAACGAATTGCTTTGCTGGGACCGCTTGCGAATCACGCCTCTGCACACGGCGGTGGAAGCTCATTCCTCACTTGCCATTACAAGATTGACCCTTTGCAAGCTTTCACAGAGCGCTTTGGAGGTCAGGTGGAACTCACCTACTCAAAAGGTAGATGCGTCGTCGCCCCTTTTTCAAGCCCTGAATTCGTCGCTGACAAAAGCTTAGGATGTGAGATATACCGCTCACTGCCCGACTTCACCGCTGGTATTGTCAACCGGGAAGGAAAACAAGGTTTTGATGTTGATTATTTTCCTTCATACGATGCTACCGGCAAGTCACTGAAGACGGAGCAGACGCAGCGCAGTTACTTCACAACGCACGATCAGATTGACATCAAGACCACGGCCATGAGTGCGAGAATGAGCGCGCTCTATCGCCCAACAGAAACAGGGTCGCACTATCTCAGTCTATCAGGTGCAGGAGAGACGAAACTTCTAATAGATGATCATTTGGTCATCAAACAGGATGGCTCGATTCCCGATGCTATGGCTTTCATCGCCGGATGCCAAGATGAGTTGAAGGCACAGCACTATTTTGAAGCTGGCAAGACATACAGGATCGAGGTATTGACAACAATGCCGAGTGTGAGCATTTCAGACAGTCATATCCTCGACAAGCAGCTGTGCGCTCACGTGGGTTTCGTTCCCCAAGCCCAGATGGAACACGATCTGCAAAAAGAAGCCGTAGAGCTCGCCAAAGAGGCGGATGTTACTCTCGTTTTCGTCGGTAACACCTATCAGTGGGAGTCAGAAGGCCAGGACATGAACGCCATGGTTCTTCCGCCGTACGAGACGAGAAGCCAGGATGCTCTTGTCTCGGCTGTTGCTGCCGTGAACCCCAAGACGGTCGTGATGATCAATACAGGTGTCCCTGTGGAGCTTCCATGGCTGGACGAGGTGGCGGGCTTGCTGCAGGGATGGTATGCTGGCCAGGAGGTCGGCAACGCACTCGTTGATGTCCTTGTTGGGGACGTCAATCCGTCCGGGAGGCTGCCTATGTCGTGGCCCCGTAAGTACGAGCATACGGCTTGCTATGGTAACTTCGGGCTTGATTCACATTATTCCAAGGAGGTTGAATATGTGGAAGGTGTCTTTGTTGGGTACCGCCATTTCGATCGTCACTGGAAAGAGGAGAAAGAGGTTCTTTTCCCATTTGGCTACGGTCTCAGCTATACTGACTTTGGCATCAATCATTTTTCAGTTTCTGGGACGTTTTCAAAAGACGCTCAAACGCCTTTGGTGGAGATGACTGTGACAGTCAAGAATCTGGGCAGCCGAGCCGGCGCTCAAGTCTTGCAGGTCTTCGTAGTACCTCCGTTGACAGAAGGACTAGAGAGACCAGTCAAGGAACTGGCGGGATTTACAAAAATTTATCTAGCACCAGGAGAGGAAAGACAGGTTCGGATGGAGATAAGTAATAATGCGGCCGCGTTTTGGGATGAGAGTATCAGGAAGTGGAGGGTGGTTGCGGGATCATATAGTATCCTGTGCGCAACAAGCTCTCATCCTGATCATGTTATTGATCAGTCGGTAATTGTTATAGAAGAGGAGTTTACAATGAATGCTTGAACTTTTATTTCTATATAGTTTTATATTATATATAGAATATAGAGACAAGAGAATAAGTAGTTATTGTATTTAGATATTTTCTTAAATTTATCCAATTTAATATATTGGTACTATAAGATATAGACTAACAGATATAGCCTTCCTAAGTATTTAGTTATAACCTGGAAATAGACCTATTCCTTAACTCGGCGACACTCCCAGTTGAATCTCCAAACTTGACCGCCATGCGACCCCTTGCCTCATGATTTTGCATCTTTTTCACCATTAGTGGCAACTCATCGAGTGTAAAGCATTCTAGGCGAGAATAAATATTGTGTTTCGCGCTGAACTCAATAGCAGCCCGCATGTTGTAGCCGGTACCGTTATTAGAGCCCATGACTCTGAATTTCCCCAGCGCGATGTCGTATGCGTTGAGCTCAATGGGCTCGGCAGGGATTCCCACAACCATTAATATGCCTCGTCCAGGGCGGATAATGGCAGGCATGGCACTGTATGCCTTCTTGCTCGCAGTGAAGTTGACTGCTGCGTCAACGCCACCGCCGGTGATCTCAAGAACACGCTCAAGATATTTATCCGTCGCTGCGGAGTGGAACACATATTCGGCACCCAATGACTTTGCCTCTTCTCTCGCCGCGGCTGAGATGTCGAGTCCGATGACACGGTACTTCATAGCCCTCGCATACTGAACTGCCAATGCGCCGAGCCCACCACAGCCGACGATAGCTACCCAGCTACCAGCAGGAAGTTTCAGGTCATCGATGGCGTGAAATGCAGTCACTCCAGCGCAGAACAAGGGTGCTGCCACAACTGGGTCAAGATTCTCTGGAAGGACCATGGAGCTTCGGTAATCAACAACCGCATATTCGGCGAAATATCCGTCTGACGCAAAGCCTTGCATCACTGGTTGGCTCTTCTCGCACCACATGTTATGCCTGTGCAGATTAAGCATAACGTTATTTAGCAAGGGGAATGGGGGATACATACACTTGCTTACAAGGGATGCAGTTGAAACAAACATTTGTCGCAGGGAGGAAGCCAATGTTGTCGCCTTTCTTGAAGCCCTTCACATTGGAGCCCATTTCAATTACTTGGCCCGTAGCCTCATGTCCCATGGTGGTTGGCTTTTCGGGGTATACCATCTCGTCATTGGGCTCAAATATCATGATGTCCGAGTGACAGAGAGAGGCGCAGTGAATTTTAACGAGTATCTCATGCTCGTTTGGTTTGGGAATAGGCACATCATTAATCTCGACCTTCAAGCTCTGGGGGTTTATCCTGATCCATGTAAGTTTGGTGATGCATTTTATTGATTGCCCGACTTTCAACATACTGTCCTGCTTTCATTGTTCCCTGTCTTGGTCTGATGAGAGGCCCTGTCCACCTTGTTGATGACATGGTCTTTGAGTCGTGTGATGTTGGGGAGCCGGCTTTAGCTATTAGTGACTTTCTCATTCATGAAATTGATAGACAATATGTCAATGCAATGAAAGGTTGTGAATGTTTAGATTCTACACACAACAACTCGAGGCAGTGGGAAAGTGGCAATATTGTCTCATTTGGGGGAATTAAAAGAGGATATTTGGGAAACCAACTTCCGGAAGGCACTGGAAAACTCCCTTTGTGCAATGGACTCCCCAATCCGTTGGGTAACGAAGACGGCCATTCTGTCGCGGCTTCTTACCGCGCGGCCCAAACACTAGCCGCTTCTCACAAGGAACATCTCAGCCGTGGGCGGAAAACAACTACCGAGCATCAAGGCATGATCATTTAATCTGCATGGCGCTTGTTGACTGTAATATACCAGCTTCAGATTGGCGCCAGTTTCTTCTTCCTTTTTCTTCTCCATCTTGGAATGTGCTCAAGCACTCCTTGAACCACAAACCACAAACCTACCCAGCTTTTGAGAATTAAACAACGTGTGAGTGGGCGCACCGTGTGTACATGTATGTGAGACAGCCATTTGATTGGGGAAATTGAGCGATCTTTAATCGCTCCCTCATAGGATGGGCGATATTCGTTGTGAGCTAAGCAGCATAAGTGATGAAGGTGGCTAACAAAGTTGATAAGGCTGTAAACGGAGACTATGCGTGAGCTTTCGCTCATTACGCCATCCGCCTTCTCCTCCGCAGATGGTGTGGGATGCGGGTTAGACTTTAAAGAAATCTTGCTCTTGACGAGCGAGTGAGATTACGTATGGGTCGGTCCCCTGAAGGCAAGATTACCTGGAACAGGAGGATGAGACCTTGAGCTTCACATGTCAAAGGAAGGGCGTGCACAAACCTCATTTTTTGGTTCTGCAAATGATGGACAAAAATCCTAGTAATTTGTCAGCACTGACAGATGGTGTGACTGCGATTGCACAATTTCAAACTCCACTAGCACAAGATTAGAAACTCTTCACTGTTCTTCTTCATTCATCTTCGCAAGCCATAACTTTATTATCTCTCGAAATCGCCAGTCATAGACAACATGACTTCTCTTCTATCTGCACGTGAAATAGGGGAGGGATTCCCAATCCTCATTGTCCACGGATGGGAAATGCGGGGAGAGGTTGAAGAGCGAGATTTCGAGCCAGTCTTCAGCAAAATACCAGGACTTCGCCGTATCTACGTGGACCTTCCGGGCATGGGCGCAACACCGGCGAACGGTGTCAAGAACCAGGACGAGATGTACCATCGACTCGTGGAATTCATAGATTCTCGACTCGGCAGCTCAAAGTTCGCAGTGGCAGGCTCATCATGCGGCGCCTATCTTGCGCGCGCCGTAGCCCAGAAATATCCAGACCAAGTCGATGGCTTGCTATTGCGGGTGCCGCTCATCGAGCCAGCCGACAGCAATCGCGACGTCGATTCTTTCAAACCGTTGATTGAAGACGAGAAATTCTTGTCCAGCATCCCAGCCGAGGAAAGGGCAAGCCTTGGCAACATTCTGATCCAGACGCCTGAGTATGTTGAGGCCTTGAAGAAAAAGTACCAAGAGGTTTATGCTCCGGCCATGAAGGCAGCAGACAGCAGCGTTCTGGATCCGATTCGTGAAGACCCAACTCGATACGGGCTGTCTTTCTCGCTGGCCAAGGCCAAGTTCTTTGCACCCACACTCATCGTCTGCGGCCAGCAGGATACGGGCGTGGGCTATCGAGATAGCCTTCGATTACTAGAGCTCTACCCGCGATCAACCTATGCGGTTCTCGATCGTGGTACGCATGGTCTGCCTATAGGTGACCCTAGCCTCTTTGAGGCCCTGGTTCGGGATTGGGTCTCTCGTGTGAATGAATGGCGAGGTCGCACGGAAAGCTAGGACTTCTTTCAAAAGAAATCTGTATCGAGAATAAAAGCAGGCAGCGATGTGGTCGGGTTTTGAAGTGACCAGATAATGGAATGAAATCACTCTTGTTTTGCTGACAGCCCTATGTTCCTCCTTTCGCCCTCCGTCATGCATTACCACATAATTAAGGGTAGAGTCTTTGTATCCAAATCTAGTCGGTAAATAGAAGCAGCATAACGTTAGCCTTGTTCCGAGATTTGCAGTGGTATGGATTGCCAGATTCTCGGGCGGATATTTATTTCATTGGCCGGAACATTCCACACCCACGATGGACGATGGGGATGATTTCATGCACCACAAATACAAATCAACATGATGCCGAAATGGATTCGACTTGATCATTTCTTGACACTAATATAACTGAATTATACTCTTAGCAGCACACAATGAGCCTCATCACACTGACCGGCGCCGGAGGGAGGCAAATTCAAGGTACGGGAAGCGCTCCCCATCCATAACTTGGACATTTGCCCTACAAAGCTGGGAACTAACCAAAGCCGTGCTACTAAGTCAATACGGGGCTCTTTATAAACAATAAATTCATTGCAGCAGAGGGAAATGAGGTTTTGGAGGTCGAGAACCCGTACAATGGCAAGATATTAGCATCATGCTCGGCAGCAACCAAGAGGGATGTTGATGCAGCTGTCGCATCTGCCGAGACTGCATTTTATAAGTCTTGGAAGGACATCCGTCCATCGACCCGAGGATCGCTACTCAACAAGCTAGCAGACCTGATCGAGAGAGATGCCGATGATTTGGCAAGCTTGGAAGCCTTGGAGGCAGGAATTCTCTTCTCCGACTCAAAGGCACTACACATAACCCAGGCCACGGAAACACTGAGATATTTTGCGGGCTGGGTAGACAAAATCACAGGGCAGTCGCTCAACATTCCACAAGGATATGCTTATACAACTCGAGTTCCGATTGGAGTCTGTGCTGCCATCGTACCCTGGAATGCACCTCTGTAAGTCTCATAACCTGGTGGCCATGGCTTTATTTATCAGTGCGCCTGACTGACGGCTGCAGGATGATTACTATCTGGAAACTGGCTCCTGCTATTGCTGCGGGCAATGTGCTTATTATTAAGACACCGGAGTTGACGCCACTGTATGGCCAAAAGCTAGCTAGCTTAATCCAAGAAGCCGGTTTTCCCTCGGGTGTTATCAATATCCTCTGTGGTCATGGCCCAGTTGCTGGCCAAGCACTAGCTGAGCATCCAAGAGTCAGGAAACTGGCATTCACAGGAAGCTCGCCCGTTGGCCGTCAGATTCTCCGTGCAGCTGCTGATTCCAACCTTAAAAAGGTTACCCTCGAGCTTGGAGGAAAGAGTCCGTCTATTGTCTTTTCTGATGCCGACCTAGACAACGCAGTGTTCTGGACAAGTATCGGCATCACGGCAAATAATGGCCAGGTTTGTGCCGCTGGATCTCGGTTGTACATCGAAGAGAGCATATTCGATAAATTTATATCGGCGTTTGCTGCGAAGCTGAACCAGACTAGTTACGGTGACCCTCTGCTTCCGGAGACGACCAAAGGGCCAGTCATTAGTCATGGCCAGAAGGATAAGATCAACAAGTACATTGAACAGGCCAAGCAGACGGGCTTAAAGCAGATTGAAGGCAACGGAATTCAACAAACTCCCACGGGCCATTTTGTTGCCAACACCGCGTTCCTAAATGTACCCGGCGATGCACAGATCATGAAGGAAGAGATATTCGGCCCTGTTGCGGTACGTATATCTGGTTAATGATTCTGACTGTGTCTCTAGTCACTAACAAGCGAGAAAATAAGTCAATATCAACTTTCAAAACCGAGGAGGAGGTGATCGAAAAGGCAAATGACAACGAACACGGCCTAAGTTCAGCGGTTTTTACCAAAGATGTCGATAAGGCGTATCGGGTAGGCACAGCATTGGAAGCTGGACAAGTGACCATTAACTATTGGGGTGGAATCAATGCCAACACGCCCTTCGGGGGGATCAAACAGTCCGGGTTTGGTAGAGATATGGGAGAAGAGGCCCTCGATGGTTGGTTGGTGTCCAAAACGCTGAAGTATAGCATCCCGCCGTCCAAACTATAGCGTAGGCACTTTTATAGACATCGTTGCTGTAGTACTATAACGCAAGGTTTCCGTTGCTCGGGTTTCTATAAGTAGAATATTGAATGGTGATTTGATATCGGTTAATAAAAAAACTACTTATCAGAAGCTGGCAACTTAGCATTTGTTTCATTTAGATGACTTCCTAGTACCATGACGATATGAAATACTACGATGTCAAGCCATGGACTAGATTCTCCTATATAAACTGGCCTGAAGATACAACTAAGAGACCAATAACCAAAATCAGTTTCTTGAGAGAGATTGATCTTCTAATTCGAAGGGGCAAAATCCACCAACTGCTTTTGCTTCCACCCCGCAAGGCCGGCCCGACGAGCCGTGATTCGGCACTAGACTCTCTCGAAATAGGTAAAAGGTCTCAAATAAGACCACTTTATGGGCATCAAAATAGATATACAGCCGTTGACAATTTGTCAAACGAATACGAGAGCGAGGTATTTGAACCTATTTCGACCCACACGACTCAGGTGAGGTTGAGCGACATTATTAATCAGATCGAGTTGTGCCGAGTTAAAAGACTATCTTACCCCTCTATTTAAATCATATCGTCAAAATGCCAGTCCCCCACTCCGCAAATAGTTTGTCGTCAGTCACAATGAAGTCCGATTTCGTCCTCGACTCCGCCCAATTTTCTCCTCGTAATGCTAGCGAGGGTGCAAAGAAGGCATGTGAAGTTCTACGAAAAGGAGATGAAGAAAACAAAGACAGCCTTGTAAGTCAAATTTCAGGACCTTCAGACATTCAAACCAATCTCTTTATAGTAAATTGATGGCCCTACACATTCTAACCGGACATTTGAAGGGTAACATGGAGAGAATGAGAGCAAGGCCTGGAAAAACTGTTCTTGAAGGCGAAAATATCGAGATTCAGTCAAGAGATCGTGGCCGTACTATCCCTTGCCGGGTCGTTCTACCAAAGGCCGGACCAACCAGCGTCACTGGTGTTTTCCTCCATTTTCACGGGGGAGGCCTTTGTGAAGGCGGCCACGACGAGTCAGTGTCTCTCGTAAAATCCATTGTCGTTATGAAATAGTTCCTAATTTGTGCAAATTTAGAGTCGACCCTCTTCTACATCGATTTGCCAATGCCTCTCGATGCGCCGTGGTCTCTGTAGGCTATAGACTCGCTCCGGAGAACCCATATCCTAGCTGCATACACGACTGCTTTGATGTTGCGGATTATGTTTTTGACCATGCAGTGGAACGTTTTGGGGGCCCTTTGCAATTTATCGGGGGAGAGGTGAGAATCGATCTTCTTCATCAACAAAGTGGTATCTTTCTGGTTCGTTCAACTAACTTTGTGAAACCAACTAGTCTGCTGGCGGATATCTTACTATGCAGACCTTCCTGCATTTGGCGGGGGCCCATGAGGACTGGAATTCCCTGAAAGGGTTGGTTTTAACATACGGAGTGTTTTCGCTCTCATATCTCCCAACGGTGTTCACTACTCCGAATCCCGTATGCGTTGATGCCAAGAAAATACTTTGGTATTACAAGGCCACATTCCCTGTGAGTGAAGAACAGCACTGGGAGGTGTGCAGGGAACTGGAAAAAGAATTCGGCGTTCTTGCACAGCCTGGGATGTTATACGACGCACCTCCAAAGCATCCAGCCATATCTCCACTATATCGAAGCTTGGAGAAGCTACGCTCACGGCTACCAACTGCATTCTTTCTCTGCGGTACGGCGGATCCTATTCTTGACGACACTATTTTGATGTCAGCTCACTGGCAGATTGCTGGTGGCCGGGCGGTTGTGAAATTTGTCACTGGTGCTCCCCATGCTTTCGTCGAACTGCCACTCGAGCTTGCGGACTGTTGCGTAAAGGGAAACGAACTGATCCAGGAATTTCTTGAGGAATCTAGCTTATCTACATAAATAGCTTACTTCGTAACTATTTGTCAACGCTCTAGATAGCGATATTTTTGAACATATTATTTGGTCAAAAACAGTCTACCTTATTTCACACTTGTTGAACAACAGGTTGGTCAGAAAAAGAAAAAAAGAATGCGTTGAACGATGAGGTTAATCGATACTCTGAATTTCTTTTTGACATTCAACGCGAAGAACAAATATCTTAACGCAGCCCAGATGTGCGCAGATTGATAAAAGAGTAAGGCTGGGTGTATATTCAGTTAGAAGGGGCTTAACGAGGGGAGAATTTGACTTTACACCTTAAGATTTAAGATAAAATGATCGATCCATTGGACGGGAATATCTTTATCAGTAGAGGTATGATCACATGGAATTTTGGCAACAATATTCGGTACGTATCATGTCCCACTGAGGGCAAGGTTATATTACATTCAACCCATTTGTTTTCAATTATCTAGGCTTAAAGTAAACTAGGGGTAATAGCCCAATCCCTATGGCGGGCAGCACTTTTGAATGCAACTGCATAGCGAGGAGTAGAGAAAGTGATGGTGCTGCCTCGGTGAATGAAGAAAGTATCACCAGGCTGCAACTTGGCGGAATTGCCCTTTTCATCTACAATGTGTAGCTCGCCTAAACATTAAGAGTTAGCCACTACCATGCTAAACTTGTTTTGAAAGACATCACATATCAAGTTTTTACCTTTGAGTACGACTCCAGTTTCGTCGTAAGAGTAGGTTGGTGCTGGCTCCGGCTTGTCGATTTTTTCGAGGTAGAAAAAGCTTGATGTCAACGGATTGGAGGCGTCACTTGAAGCAGTGCCGTAGATGTCACCTGGAAGAAGATTAGACTAGATTCTGATAAGTAAACTGTCTGTTTTCTTACCAAACCACACATTTCGTGGGCCAGGATCCAGTTTTGGAACCCTGTGGAGCTTTCCTTCATCATGCCACTCGAAACCCATTTTGCTCGCAGGGATCTATTAAACTTAACGATAAAGGTGTTCCAAGACCGTCTATAACTCAGAAATGAATTGGCAATTCAAATGGAAAAGACAACCAATATGGATCTTTCATATAGAGTTCAGAGATAAGCAACTAGACCCGTTGAGGGGTGGTAGATCGCTGGAAAAACCTGGCCAATCACAAGTTGATCCTGGCAATGGGCACTCCCTAATCTACACACATGGCGAGGAAGATTACAGCCTTCGTTTCGACCTTGCAGTTTCCTGCAAGTTGCACAGCCTGACCAAATACCCATGTTACAGGCATTGTAACGCCGTTGGACCGAGAGTGGTATCGAACCTAGATGGGCTTGAGTATCACTTGTGCATAAAACAAAGAACTGTCCACCAACATCAAGAAACCCCATATCCCACTTCAAATCGACATCACGCTGAGGAATTCTAATTTATCCAAAGCAAGATTCTTGACAATAATTACTGGTTCATTTGAGCGCCACAATGGCACTAACTCGCCCTCTCGATGTCATCATTGTTGGCGCCGGTTTCGGTGGCCTCACTGCCGCCATTGAGTGCAAACTACGGGGCATGAATGTGACCCTAGTTGAGACATATCCGACAAGTCTAAACTATGGCGACATTATTGACTTCTTTCCCAACGGTGGCCGCATCATCGAGAATTGGGAGAACGGCCAAGTCGGACGTGACCTGATGAAAATATGCATCAACCAGGGAGACCAGTTTCAGTACTTCAAGGCTGACGGCACCAAGATCTACACAGAGGACTGGATCTTGGAGCCCCATCACTACTGGAAGCAGTATGCAGGCCACCGAGGACAGATGCACAAAGTCGTTCTAGATTATGCCGAGAAGGTCGGTGTCAATATGCAGTTTGGCCACCGTGTTACTCAATACCACGATGGCGATAAGCCTAGTGTCACTACTGCCGAGGGGAAAGTCTTCGCTGGCGATGTGGTCGTGGCTGCAGATGGGCCTCGTTCTATTGCCCGACAGCAGGTTCTTGGACTCCCTGATACCAAGGTGAACAGCGGCTATGCCATCTTTCGCGCCTACTTCACCCTCACCGAGGAGCACGCCAAACATCCTTTATTGAAGGAATTCTGCGACCAAACTGTTGATAAAACTTTGCTGTGGACAACAAAGGATCTCCACATGATTATTTACACATGGAACAAGGGCAAGGATCTCGGATGGGTTCTGACTCACAAGGTATAAGTTGACTTGCCAACAATTGCTAAGCAGTAGCACTAACATGGTTTTTGTAGGATACGGAAGATATTGGTGAATCGTGGTCTTTCCCGGGTCGGAAGCAAGACGTCCTAGACTGTTTGGCACAGGGCAAGTTTGAGAAGCGTCTTGTTGAAGTCGTCAACGCAACTCCCGAAAAGAACATCGTCGATTACAAGCTCGTGTGGCGTGATCCTCTGGAGACCTGGCTCAGCCCCTCAGCTCATACTGTGCTGATTGGGGACGCCGCTCACTGTCACCTTCCAACTTCTGCTCAAGGCGGATCCCAAGCCATGGAAGATGGAGTTGCCTTGGCCGTTGCCTTGGATCGCAGCCAGGGCGACGTCGCTCTGGGGCTGCGGGTGTTTGAAAGAATCAGATTCAACCGCTCCCATGTCACTCACATGGCATCCATTGCCGTGCGAGATGGCTATCATAACGTCGACTGGGATGGTGATTTCATTCGGGAGAACCCGCATATTCTGGCACTTCCTCGGCCTGAGTGGGTTATCGAGTATGATATTGAGAAGGAGTCAGAGAAGTACTTTGAAAGACTGGCTGCTGATGTGAGAAATGGAAGGAAAGGGACAATTCAGGAGTTGGCGCTCCCCGCTGGGGGCGATTATGAACCGAAGACATTGAAAAGAAAGGGCCCTCGATCAAAGTTTTGAGGCTGCGAGCATCGCTAAATGTAATGTACAAGGATGGATTTATTTAGAATTATTTATGGACTACTTGAATCGAGAAATCAAATATTTTTCATATATCACACCAAACCTAGACTCGGGTAGAGTTAGATAATATTCTCAAATAAAAATACTCTAGTATATAGCCTATGGCAATCGTAACTTGAGAATAAATGATGTCTCAGCGTGCTACATTCTGCGTGATATTTCTGCTTGCTTCGCCTTAGGATGCACAGAAAGACATGCCTCCAGCCGGTTCTGAATGGCAGGTTGGAATTCCCAATGTATTCCTCCATAGTCATACCTTCATAAGAACCAACCTAGATCTCATGCCCGGATAGACGGGATGTGGACCCAGAAGTCTCTGCTTATTGGAGTCTATTCACGTAGAGGATTCTGCAATATTAGATGTGGATTATACATGAACCTTGGCCGGCTATGGATACCCTACAATATAAGTAAGGGTAGGGTAGTAGACGTTTTACGTGCGGTCCGGTGGTTCTGCGTCATTGGTAGGATTGTGTGATACGAGTTTTAGAGAAATAATCTGTATTCTAAGAGCTTAGTGACCCTTGGCGTGGGCTGATCTTGCTCTCTCTCTTCAAATATGTGTCTCGTTCAGTCACTGGTGACTCTTGATTACTTATGATCTACAGGCAGCTTGCACGGCCTCAAGTCGTACAACAAAGATGAGCCAGCATGGTGAATTTTTCTTTATCTTTTGATCCATGAAACAATTCTATATTGACAATCAGATACTCACCATTCTTGCCATTGCTGTTAAACTTTCATAACTAGAGACACATTTCTGTCAAATCTTCGCCCAGATTCTGCTCGTATTGAAGGTAGTAGTTGCATGAAGAGAACGTTGATGATGCTGCAGTCAGCAACTTAACGCATGTATCCGGTGACTTCTCGCTTCTCCTCACAACCAGGGGTCTTAATGAGGGAATTTCCGGCCATTACACCGGTCCTAAACGCTGCTTTCGCTTTACTCATGGCATATTCCTCAATTGCCAAGACACGATGACAGCAGGCCGTAGGCAAGAAATAGGAAGGCTTAGACGCTGTCACCAGAAGTTCCTGCATTGTGATATCGACTTTTGTCTTCGTATTGTGACGATTAGCAGGGGTGCATAATGAAGATCACGCGCGGGGAGCCATCTGATAGGCCCTGCAAATGCACTTCGCCTCGTGTCATCCTCCGCCATTATTAACCCGCCATGCTTAACAATGTACTGCCGTGGTCTTGGCTCCTGGGATCGCTCAATCGCCCGCACAACAGTCACTGGTTTAGGCAGGTTCTTTTGGGACCGTACATTAGCGTAGGATGTCAGCATAGGAAGGGCAAGAGTGTGCTCATCGTCCCTGTATACCGAGGCCGACTTGGATACTACCTGCCGCCGATCAGTGACATGGGTATGCTCATCCTTGGACGTTAGACGGAGCTTTCTCACGCGAGGTGAGCCTAAGGCTCTTTTCCCAGAGTTCACTAATCGCGATAGGAAACGATTGTCCCTCCCGTGCTCAACAGGTCTGAGCCTCAGATGAACCGTATACAGCACAATAAACCAGATGTTTTATAAAGAAAGTTTTTTGGGTTGTATTGACGACAGGAGCCTTTTTTGTATGCAGTGTTCACAATCAGTAATAGACGGCTATTGGCCAACATAAACCTCACAAGAGGCGGCATATTGACCGCATTTCACCAACCGACCTGCCTCGCTACGCCTTATCTGACTACTCTATGGAGAACTATCCCTCCACTTTCATTGTAGCCCACCGAATTGAGTGAGTGTGATTCGTATTAAGCTTCACCCCGGTTACGGCACGGCAGCTTCCCTGTCAGGAAGGTGAGTGAGCCTACTAGTGTCGAACGGATAACTAATACTGATCTTGAGGCGGGACGTTGAGATGATAAATAGGACTCAAGTCTCCCGATCAAAGTGCCAGTCTCTAGACTTTGGACATCCATTGTAGCATAAGGAACAAGTAGTCGTCAACACTACCATTTCTTTATCTTTCTTAGTTGGCAAGTTTATACTGTCAACAGTTCCGCCTACCAAGATGCGTACCTCTTTGCTCCTCGCGGTCCTTCCGTCGGTTCTGTCGGCCCCCGCCGGGCGATCTGAGCCTGCCCGACTCCTGTCCAGAGGTGAAGGTGCAGACGTCGTTCCTAACAAGTACATCGTCAAGTTCAAGGACTCTGGCGCAGGTGCATCTGTGGACAGTGTGTTGAGCACTATTTCCGCATCTGCCGATCATGTCTTCGAGCATGTATTCAAGGGATTTGCCGGTGAGCTCACGGCAGAAGCTCTAGAGAGTCTTCGCAACCACCCAGATGTCCGTTATTGCTCACTCTGTCTGAGAATATTGTTTCGTTTCTAACATTTAGCTTCTTAGGTCGACTACATTGAGCCAGACACTGTTGTCACTGTCGATGGCTTTGTCAGTCAAGAGAATGCTACATGGGGTCTTGGTCGCATCTCACACCGCGCACATGACGGTTCTACAACATATGTATATGATGAGAGCGCCGGAGCCGGCACTTGTGCATATGTCATCGACACTGGAATTGATGTCAACCACCCTGTAGGCTTACCACCTTCCTTATTGTCTCAAGAGTTGTTCCAAAATGTGACTAACGATACGTAGGAGTTTGAAGGCAGAGCCACTTGGTTGGTCAACTTCGGAGATGATGAGGACACCGACGGATTCGGCCACGGCACCCATGTCGCAGGAACAATCGGCTCCAAGTCATACGGCGTTGCCAAGAAGACTTCTCTATTCGCCGTCAAGGTTCTAGACAGGAACGGTAGCGGTACCACGGCCACTATGATCGCTGGTCTGGACTTTGTCGTGTCTGACGCAGCCACGCGTGACTGTCCTAACGGCTCAGTGGCCAACATGTCTCTGCGCGATACTCCTTCGGACGCTCTCAACGCAGCCGCTGCTGCCCTGGTCACTAACAATGTCTTCCTGGCTGTCTCTGCCGGCAATGCCAACCGCGATACCTCCAGCCAGTCTCCTGCGGCTGAGCCCACCGTGTGCACTATTGGTGCCACTGACATCAATGATGTCCGCTCAACATTCTCCAACTTCGGACCAGGAGTCGATGTCTTCGCCCCGGGTACTAACATTCTTTCTACTCTTCCCAACAACGCTACAGTATGTTTATCTCAGAGAACACTTCCAAAGCCGTATTAAAACTAACTGTTCTTGCAGGGATTCAACTCTGGCACATCAATGGCTACCCCTCACGCTGCCGGCCTGGCTGCTTACCTCGCCGGTCTTGAAGGCTTCCCTGGTGCGGATGCTCTCTGCACACGCCTCAAGGACCTTGCTACCCCTGATATCTTGACCGGCATCCCCAGTGATACCACCAACAAGTTGATCTTCAATGGAAACCCCAGCAGCAAATAATTGAGATATCTCTGCAGCTGATCCCTATTGGAACCTCATCATTTATCGAAGATTAATATACTTAAATAGATAAAGATAGAGTAATCAGATATGAACATGCAATATAGGCCACCAAATAAGACTGTCAAATGCAGACTTCGTGTTCTTGCACGTGCTCTTAGGCTTTCGTCTCCTTCGGATCCAGCTCAGTTGATGAATAGATGACGAAGATTAATCACTGCCGCAATCAATGTCAAATACTGTGTTCAAGAAAAACAACAACCAAAGTCACATATACCGAGGGTCCAGACATTGGTGAGCATCTATATATCATATAAATTCGGGGCTTGTCTTCAAGGTTCATTCGTTAGATCAAATGCTTCATGAATGCCGGTTTTCGCTTCCTTTTCACTCAAGAAGCCTCAAAAACACGGAGGGAGCTCACTTTCCAAAGGTGGGCATTTTCAAAAGAGAACTCGATTCAAGGCAAAGGTTATGTGAAATTTCTAACTACGAAATCTAGCTTCTTATACAGGTCTTTCCTCGGGTGCCAGGCGGTTCCCAATCCAATGCATTCTGCTCCATTGTGGCGCAATAAAGTCCTTCTTATGATGGCTTGCTTTCAAAGAAGAGTGCTTCTTATGCCATTCCAATCTAACAAATTAAGGCAAACGGACTGTACATTGCTCAGCCTGAGATTCATGGGCAAGTTTCATAACCCTCAGTCCTTATCCTTACGCCACCTGATTTACTCCTTCTTCCACGCCTTAGATATCAACTCAGCAATTGTCATGGGCTTGACCTCAGGATACCGATCATTGAGGCGTCCCTCCTTAGGTAGCTCCAGCTCTCCCTTGATGAGTTGCAATCCAATCATAGACATCATAATTCTCGGATCCATTCCGCCGTAACTTGAATCATCAAGTAAAGTAGTTTCATTCTTCTCTAGCTTCTCTTTGCTGTCATATGTTACGCTGAAATCTTCACCTATGGTGTTGTTAGGCTCTTGTTTTCTCTTAGCAGCTTACGTCTATACTTACCTGTATACTCCTGAGCGAGAGCGAGGATCTGGTTGAACGACGTATCGGATCCTGAGATAATGCTATACTCAGGCCAATCTCCGTCCTCAAGTAGGCGTTCAATGAACCGAGCGACATCTTTCGAGTATGTCATTGATATAATTTCATCTCCGGAACCAGGTATTGCAGCACGGCGTTTAGCAATGTTAACACCCCAGATAAAGGGGCTAAGGTGAGAGGGAATGTTGGGAGTGCCAAAGTAATCCATGAAGACACCAATAGCAAAGCGTGTATACTGCAAACCCGATTCACGGAGTGCGTCTACTGCGCGTAAGACCCCGGCAGTGAACTCGTTCTCCTCAGCGCTATTGAACCAGGTAAGCATATGAGCGTCCTTATATATATACAATGCATCCAGGGTTAACCTACTCAGGAGGAGTATACGCTGCATACTCGCTTGGGATGAATCTTCTGGTACTTGAAGCTTTCTTCGCCCCAGCAATTAGCTTCAGCTGCCCCTCCCCACCAGCTGGTCCCAGTGCGGAGATGACAGTATCAACTGCCTTGGCGTTAAGAGTTTCCGCAATAGCATCAGCGTCGTTATAGTCGATAACGAGAAGCTCGGCGCCAGGGACGGGCGATTCACCTTGCTTTGACCCAATGTTAGAGAAGAACGCTTTTTAAAGGAGTTATAGACCTTTGTAGATGTACCTTTCGGGATAGTATATATATAGTGTGCTTTCCAGACCCAGCCAGATGCTCAGTGATAGTCCGACCGACATCGCCGGTACCACCTGCTACTGCAACGACACCCATGGCAATTAAATAGCAGTGAATTTGACCATGGTGATTTGGTTTATGACAATGGTGATCTGGTTTTGCTTTGATTGGCGCCTCGGATTATATTTATATAATACGTACCTTACAGTCGTGCGGACTTTGAAGTCAGGATCTATTCACCTACGCATGTATCTCCGCGCGCTACAAGTAAATACTCGGGTCCCGCGGGTACCGAACCGCGCGCGTAGGACTGTGATTATGAATCGCAAGCCAGCTTCACGTCCCTCTGCGATGTCACTTCTCCACGGTCCTGTGGACCTTGGTCAACTCTCGGTTTACGGGTGGAATAACTCCGAGCACACATTGTAAGTATTGCAAAGGGCATCAGAGATTAAACCACGGCATGATATTTCAGTCTAGGCTTTGTGGCTCCTCGAGAGACTTTAGAAATTAAGTTCAAAGGCATTTCGCTTCTCAGAAGTAGCTATAAGCTTCCCTTTACTTCTCAAGCGGCTGGAATAAAACATGACACACCAGAGCTCTTTTTGAGCAAGCCAGGGACCTCATTTTGTTATTAATAATATTTCAAATAATAACAGTAAACACTATATTATTTTATACCATTCATTGTATATTATGTCGAAATCTGAAGCTGTATGCAGGCTTTAGCATGTCATGTTTATTTCAGCCACTTGCTTATGCCTTCTACGAGACTATAGCGCGCTCCGATCTCTGAAACCAATTCATATTTTGAATAGTATTACTTTTAAACTGGAGTCAAACCTACTTCACATTCTCTGAAGTTACCAGCAGGTAATTGTCAGTTGAATTTGCTACCATAATCATTACCACCTCCCAGGGGGGCTTCGCTGGTCCGTTAACAATCATATGGGATGTAAGGACGGGAATGATAACATTTCATAGAAAAGCCATAGTGCCCTCGATAGAACTTATGTTTATTCTATCGCCCAGTGAACTTAGTGAAAGGAAGCAACCTTCAAGCTCGTCAGTGCGCTGCGACGAATTGAAAGAAAAAAGTAATATCGCTTCAGTAGCCCCAAACCTACAAAATGACTGGCAGCCCTCATGGAGACCCCATGCGCAATATAAAGAGGCCATATCCGCATACACCCTCCTCTAGTTCTTCTCTGCTAGCGCCCCAGCCCAAATCCTCTCTAGTGACTCCTGGTGAAGAGTACGCGAATCTCACAGCGTAAAACCTATTTAGTCAATCCGCTCTCTATAAACCCGGTCCGAGGTATCGAATTCCACAGAATTGTACTCCGGGTAGTATGCATCTATCAGGTGGCCATGTGACATTGTGACGTGACATCAACGATGGCAGGGCTACAGCTGTGGCGTAACTCCCTCCCCAAACAGGGATATAGCATAGAATACGCTCAGCATTTGGGCACTTTGGCGGGGTTTCAAGGCTGATTTTTGTCCTGTTGGCCCTTTGTCCTGTTGGTCCTGTGGGGACTTCTAGGCAGCTTCGACATGGCTTTCATAAGGTAAGCAGCATTAGGAAACATGAACCGAGGAGCACCAACGAAGTAGAATGGAACATTTATTTAAAGAGGCAAGTTGCCGCCGTGAGAAAATAGAAAGAGCCTTGATTGAAGGCTGATTATTCCTCTCCCTAGCGATCAAGTTACCTTGTTTTACTCATCCTTCGTAAAGCACCATGGCTTTTCAGAGACGTCTAGCCCTTCTCTTTCTACCTCTCTTATGGCAGTCCTTAGCCATTTCTGCACTGCCGCACTCTCTCACCTCTACCATCTCTGACCTGTCAAAGCGCGACTCAAGCCCCAACGGAGATCATTCATTTGGGGTTGGGTGCATAATTGCCGTCGTCTTGGTTTCGACCTCTGTACTAATTACCCTTACATGCACCTGCATGTGCCTGCCATGCTGCCAGTCCCAACGAACAGCAGAAAGCGTTCACTGCGAGCCAAGGCCTTGGTCTACATCAGAATCCAGTGGGATGCCTCTAGAGCCTCCGCCTGCTTATACACCATCCGCTAACGGTACAAACGGGCCGAAACGAAACACGATCTGAGACAAGAGTGTTGAGAAAGCCGTTGTAGCGCCTTTTCCCGAGATACAATACAGGCAACCCGGGAACCTTGTCGTCCCATGCGACAGACAATTTTCCCAACCGAAGCTAAAAAAAGAAAAGAAAAAAATTGAGTTCGTGGGAGGGTTCGAGAAGCAGCTCATCGTCCACCATCCCGAGGTGCTACCCTAGACCACCCATTGTACAACGAAGAGTGGTGGTGAAAAAAGCGCGCGGAGTCGACTTTTCAAGCATAATATCTCAAGCCGCGAGCCTTGTTTACATTAATTTTCTTTAAGAATTGATAGACCATTGCAGACTTTGTAAAAGAGCAATGTGTATTCAACTCCAGACCTGGACTTTGATGATGGTGTCCTAACGTTGGGCTTCACCTACACAAGATTATCACAAACACGTGAATTACTATTCTATTTTTCTAGCGCCAACGCGTCTGTGCCTGGCAGCTATAGAAGTCGATCATTCGGTCTAATTTACTTGTTCATAATAAGTTCCGCCGAAACTGGCGTCAGGACCGATGTCTGCTACTGAAACTTTAACCTGGCAAAATACTCGCGTGACACGAACAAGGATTGATGTGTGAGGCGCGAACTTGTCACTGCGTAAGACGGAGCATTTCATGGAGCAGAGTTTGGCCTTACCCGTCCAGGTACACTTTTATGACGACATGACCAAGATCTGCCGAGTTCCAACTTCGGTCGTATCACGGCTTGGGCGTGGCTCGTCGTGGTCTCCGGGATGGTGAATTAATGGGTGATTGGATGCCACAGGGAACGGCCAGGGGCGTCTGAGTGCACGAGCAGCCATGCGGTCCCAGTACGCGTAGACGGGCATTAATCCAGGGCAGGAAAAAGCAAAGAGCCATCGTCTTTCTTCTCCTGTGATCTGCGCACCGCCCCTGTCGCTGTGGCGCGGGTTGAAGTGTGACAGGCGGGTCTAGACTCTGGATCATCAGCGGTGTACGCGATGGTCTGGGTGAATCAGTTACGCCACATGCTGCAACGCAACCCATTCCGCTCCCCTTCATTTCCTGCTTCATGCAGTGATCAAGAGCAATGATGATCAAGAGCAATGATCATGGATTTGATTGCTGCAACCGAATCGTGCCGCTTCGGTAAGAAGTCTAGCAATACGGAGTAATTGATACTTCCAGTCGTCATGGCGGCATCCCTCGAGCCGAGCTGGGTGTAAGACAATTGAATTAAACCAAACGAACATCACAACATTCACCCTGGGCGCCTGCAGACTACGGTCAAATGAACATAAAACCTGATTGTGCCAAGGTCTCGGCTGGCTGCCGTGTAGGACAGGAACTTGCAGCACGCCATGATGTAATCAGTCACCGAACGTGTCTGCATTTCCTGTAATTTTCTAGGCTAATCTTAGTCTTCTGCGTAGGTTATACATTCCATGATTAACGCGGGGGAAGCAAGTTCGGCGAGAAGGAGCGCACTTGTGTTGATGATCAGTGTTGGTGCCAGTGCTGGTGCAAGGACGCGCGTCAAAGGGCCTGACTGGACACCTGCATCAGCCAAGCGTTTGGCCAGTGGCTGGGCGTTTCCTTGTGCTTGGCATGCGAGGGGATCATTTGTGAGTCGTGACTGACTTGTCTCACCTTGCTGCTCGTCCCTGCCCTGATTGATGAGTGCGTATTGGTTGTTGTCCTACGTGGCTCAGCCTAGAGCCAAGAGAACGGCATTTATGAGCCGGGGGAAGGCACTTGGACTGCTCTAGCTGCATGTCCAGCCGCTATTCCTGTTTGGCGACTTGGCTTGTCGTCGTCATCTCATCACGATCTGTGAATAACAAGGGAGGCCGCGTTGATAAAGCAGACAAGCTCGCAGTCCAGCTCTGCTTCTTTTCGTTCATACATTTATCTTCTCAGCAGTACAATCATATTACGAATTCCAAGCAAGATCGCCCCAACCGCTGTCCCCAGGCACGACCTACGATCCAAGACCAACATGGCTGCCCTCCAATCCAACCTCATCTGCATCGCTGCCCTGCTCCTCAGCGCAGTGAACCAGTCCTATGCCTTCGCCCTCCCAGCGCTCGACGACACCTTCGGCAGCCCTCTCCTGGACGCTCGTGCCAGCAATAACAACACTCACAAGTCCTCCACGGCCAAGAAGCTCGCCAAGGGTGCCATCATCGGTATCGCGGTCGGTGTCGCCGTCTTCGTCCTCATCGTCGTTGCCCTCATTGTCTGCTGCTGCATGCGAAGACGCAAGAGCAAGAAGGCCCGCGAGATCGCCACTTAGATATCCACCCCTCGCTTGGGTAGACGACAACGGAAGTCGACCCCATGGTCTCCAACGAACAAGACGACACTCTGCCTTCTCTCGGCATGGTGGATAACGAATTCCATTTCCTTTGGCAAGATGCATGATGTTGGATGTTGTGTGAAGCACATATCACTCTATACCCGCTTGGATGGACACCAGGCATCACGGTTGGTCGCGCAACCAGGGAGGAGTCGGGCGATTTTTGGCTTTGGGTGCGTAATGATGAGTTGGACTTGGCGGGCTGTTCGATGGAACTCAATACAATCCAAAGAAACCATTTCTTCATGTACTCGGTTTGAAAGCAAACGACACCCCGACGAAGTTCATCACCTATACCCTAATAAAATACAATTAATTTAGTTCCAATTACTGTTGAGTGACATGATACTAGGGGGGGAAAGTTCCTCTTAAGACAATAAAAACACCCAGAACATTGGTTCCCCTCTTGGGGAGGGTATTTCAACAATATGAGTTGTTAGCATGCTGCGCAGCTTTTAATATCTATCGTTTCTTATCCATCAAGCATGGAGCAGAGCGCCATGACGTAGCCCCAAATGTCGAAGAAGCTTTCAGTCTCGTCATTCGTCCCTTTCAACGTCAAGCAAATTCAGCATTAGCGAATCCAACAACGCACAATTATTTTACCAGAACATGTTGCCTCGCTCACTTCAAAGCTATTCAATCGATAAACCTTATAACGAATAGAGCACATATTTCTCGAGTGCAGGGCGAATGGCTTGCTTTTAGGTTTCATGCTTCAACCTTGCTCAGCCTCTTTTGTTGTGACTCATCCAACTGCCTTCCAGCCAAAAAGAAAGAATCATCGCCGGACCGTGAATCGAACACGGGTCTCATGCTACATCACGCATGTATCCTACCACTAGACGATCGGGCCTTTGTTAATGGTATTGGAGTTGAAGTGCTTTGTAAAGGTTTACTCGGGGCCGTCTCCTCCGCTGCACACTGTGTGATGCCCATGGTTCAAGAAGTAAGACAAACAGGAAGTCTAAAAGAAGAGAGATCGGCTGCCGTGACTCATGTAACCAGCTGGATCGCTGGCCATTTGATGTTCTATGATCTAGACGATACTGAGCACTTCTGTCTCCTCCTCCACACCAGGTCTTGTCAGATGATCACCATGCATGATGCTTTCCGAAAAACACTTCCAAATAACCTCAAATTCTGCACTGGCACCTTCCGAACCTGCCTTCTGTCTGAGGAGATATGGGATGTCGCCTCCGTCAAGAAGAACAACGACGTCCCCGGCCTTTGTCATCCAAGGGCAGAGGGCCCACTGCCCATCTTCTGTCACAAAAAAGCACGGCTCGAGGCAGGGTGTGAGCTTCTGGGTCGGCTCATGTTGAACCTCGCCTGCACACGAAGGAAAAAGTGCCTGGAGAGTAGGTTGTGGTAGGTATGCCCAGTGGCTGTTCAAGTGATCGCCGTACTCCCTCTGCTCCCGCTCTCTGGTGTTCTCATTTTCGGAGAATACCGTTCTCAGACTCTAGAACCTAGTGTATCCACAGGGATCCAGGATCTCGTCGATAAAAAGGGGGAAGATCTGGCCGCTCGTCCATGTCTATCGTGTACGGGTTGAATAAATCCATGGGTATGTGCCCGAGTGGATGGATGTCGTGATGTCGCGCAAGACTTGAGAGCTGATATCTTCTGCGAGTTCTTGTTTGCTGTTTTCGTTAGCGCCATAATAGGACCCAGCGGACGATTAGACTCCATCAAGAACTCGTTCGTTGAACTGATATAAGACTTGCTTGTATCTTACCTCCGATTTAACGAACAGGCGCTTTGGCGTTGATCTCACTGCGGAGAGACAATCAGCACCTTGTTCCATAAAATGAGTGGGCATAACTTTGATTTGCTGGAGCACTCACTACGAACGCTACTTCGGATAATAAAAAGTCCCAATGAATTACGCCCTCTGGATACCCTCAAGCCATTATTGTTCTTTCCAGTTTAATTAGTCAAGTATTTCAACCTCTCTCTATGAATGCATGATGCTACGTACGGGAAGTCATGGCTTTGAGAATATCGGGATCCATTGCAATGTACGAGGCAAGCCAAGACTCCTGATGGTTCTTTTGTGACGATCTATGTACCTAATGGGACGGTTTGATTATGCTTAGATTCCCTGGTGGAGAGAAGTGTGAAACAGAATACAGATCACGATGTCAAGCCAAGCTCGTGTCTCAGCCATGTATGATTTAGCACCTCCAAAGATCCAAGCCACTTACTCGTTGTCGCCAATCAAAAGAACGAATGGGGCATCACTGGCATGTATCACAGTTCCAGCAAGCGAATTGCTCCGAAACTAGTCATTTTTCCGCACAAAAGGGCTCTTTCGCGGGCTTCTTAGCAACCCGCTCCGCTTATACCTCAAAGAATTACGGCATGTACGAAAATCAAAGTCTTTCATGACGCAGCTTGCCTTCCGAGAAGGATCAAGTTGAACTCAACTATAAGTGGTAGTGATCTGACATTAAACATCCAGGATAAAGTATAAATTGACAACGATATCCCTCTTCTTTCCCTTAGTCAAACGCATCAGCAGCGTTCACGACACAAACCATCAAATAGATCACAAATTCAGCTACCTTCCATTATCTACCATCTTCTAAGATAGAATTCAATATGCTCTTCACAAGTCTTGCTGCCAACGCCCTTCTCGCTTGCGCTGCCCTCTTGCCATCGGCCATGGCGGATGCCGAGGAGGTTTCCAACGCTGGTCCACTGGATATCACTGTCAAATTCAACAATAACGAGCGTTGTACCGCTCCGGGGCCGGCGCGAGACTATAGCAATGGTGCTTGCATCCCACTGGGCGCTGCGGCCAAAGCAGTTGATATCATTGATCGGAAGGGAAGTTGCAAGCGTAAGTCCCCACGTGTACTATTTACGAAGTCGGTTTGCTCACGAAATTATCTGCGGCTAGTGGTCTCCTATACTGGTGGTGCCTGTTCTGGAAATGGCAGGAACCTTGACAACAACGGATGCTGGACCCTGAGGGGAAGGAAGTCTATTAAGGTCAGATGCTAGGCTGTTAGAAGCTGGTAATGGTTTTCATATCACCCGTAACCAAGTTAGGGCTTTTCCATCTTTGGTTATCTTTTACGTATTCGTCTACTCCCGAGTCAAATACTCAACTTATTTGATGGTAGGGCTGTTTGGAGACTGAACTTTGAGTTGCTAGGTATCTTTTCCTCGCCTTGTGAGCAACTGACTCACATGAAATCAATACAACTCGTTAAATTGGCCTTCTTGAAATTCTCCGTCTCTCTAGCCTAACAAAAATGCTTTCAAGAGTAAGCCATTAGTCTTCTACATCTGAGCCATTGCGTCATGGACACAAGGGTGGGTGGGCTCCTTTCTTCTTGGGTGACGCAATTAAGAGGGCACAAATGACTGTGCTTGATTGTGGCAACGCGTGAGCGGTGCCGAGCATAGAGACATCTCATTGTGATTACTATGCTGCCAGTTGTATAGGACGCTTTAGGTCGAGCTTTGATCTATTCTCATTTTCGTCTCGTTACTTAAGTGATGTTGCCCAAGACATATCCCAACGCTTCAACATGCAGGCACATCATTTTCTAGCCTACATACCCTCCATCTTCACTATTTAGGCCACTGGGGGTTTGAAGTGACGTTTCAGCGGAACCCATGATTCAGAATTGTACTGCCACTGGACCTTACGGCACTCTTCCGCAGCCCACTCGGTCACTCCGATCATGAGCGGGCTCTCAAACATGAACGCCATGCTGCCCTCCCCCACCTTGAAAGGTCTCAACCCAGAATTGCTTGCTTTCTCATGAGTATCCGCATCTGGACCGTGTGCGCTCATCACATTATGCAAACTCGCCCCGGCCGGTTTGAAACCCCCGCCAGCCTTTGCGTCATAGTCGCCCATGATCAACCCCATGAACTCAGACATGGTATTACGGTGGTACCACGGAGGCCGGAACGTGTCCTCTTGCACAAGCCACCGAGGAGGGAAGATGACGAAATCGGCTGTTGGATTTGAGAGGACGGTGTATATGCTGGGGTCTGGATGATCAAAGCTCGTACTTCCAATGACGTTGAAGCGTCCTAAGTCATACTTGTATGGATAATACACCCCATGCCACCCGACTACATCGAATGGCGTATGAGTCTGCTCGGCGGAGAATATCTGGTTGTCGTACTTCGTGAAGATGGTCCATGTCCCTGGCTCCTCAATGTCCTCAAAAGCGGCAACGGGAGCTTGGAAGTCACGCGCATTGGCGAGGCCGTTGGATCCGATAGGCCCTAGCTCTGGCAACTTGAAATGACCGTCGTAAAGTTCGAGGATGTAGCCGCGAACTTGCCCGGAGGGAAGTCCCACTCGGAACTTGATACCTCGTGGGATGACAACAATCTCATTAGGTCGAACCAGAATGTGACCTAGCTCGGTTTGAATATCCATATCTCCAAGCTGCGGAACGATCAACAAGTCGCCATCAGATGAATAGAAGGCGTGTTGCGGAGACATCGAAGCTCCGGCAGCGTAGATGTAAATTCCAAGCCCATTTTTGGTTGCCGGGCTCCCAACACCTCCAACTTGCTTTAAGCCATGAAGCCAGTCTGCATTCTCATCGAGGTCAAATGGATCCCATCTAAATTGTGTAGGAACTTGGCTTATTGTAGTCGTGATGTTAAACTCCTCCCGTTTCTTAAATGGGAGATGGGCCGCAGAGGGGAGAATGCGGTAGAGCCAGCTTTGGAGGTTCTCATGACGAGGCGCGATAAACGAAGTTCCAGACAGCTTTTCAGCATAGAGACCGTGGTTCGGCTTCTGCGGCGAGTTTGCTCCAATGGGCAGTGTATTGGGCACTGCTTCTGATCTATCTACCATTCAGTACGTTGATGTGAGGTGGAAACAGCTATCAGACATACTCATGATAAGATTGAAAGCCGTTGAGATATTTGTACTTCTCGGCTGTTGGAAAGTTCGAGACAGGCATGTTGTTGAAATCAGTCACGAAAAGTAATCAGTCTAGCTTGCTTTCGGTCAAAAGCCAACTTGATACTCAGTAACAGAAGACAGATAACGGATAACTATACTTAATCCCGGCTGCACTATTATATTCAAATTCCGGCTCTTAGAAAACTTCTGTCACGTCAACTGATTGCCTCTAGATCGGGTTCTCCTAGATTTGACTCGCTGAACCGGATTCCATCGTCCAATTTGGTGCTCGGGTGGGAAAATTGGTGCTGGTTGGAGCGGATAAATCGTTCATTGGCGAGACTCCACGCTTGTTATGCCACATGCGGTAATATACAAGAACACCAAGCATCTTGACCATGAACTCGAGAAAGGAAGTCACATGTTGCTTCGGAAACTACATTTGTATCCTGAAAATCGTATCATTATGACTGCTAAATCCTGGCTTCCGATCGCGGGTTCGTCCCACTTCTCCCTAGCCAACATCCCCCTTGGCATCATCTCCACCAAGGCACTACCTAATCCTCGCCCGGCATCCATCATTGGAGCTCATGTGATTGATCTTCAAGCTTTTGCTGAAGGTGGCGGGTTTTCGCCTCTAGAAATACTCAAGCCTCACCTTGGTGTATTCTCGCAGCCTCGACTGAACGCGTTCGCGGCTCTTGGACGTCCTGTTCACTCTCAAGTGCGGTCGTACCTACAGCAAGTATTTTCTGAAGACGGCTCTTATCCTCAGATCCTACGAGACAACATTGAACTCAGGAGCAAGGTACTCATTCTTGCTTCAGAGGCAACCACGCATCTACCCCTCGAGATCGGGGACTACACCGACTTCTTCGCTGGGATCAACCATGCTTTCACAGTTGGCTCCTTGTTCCGAGGGCCTGAAAATGCTTTGCAGCCCAACTACAAGCATCTACCGGTTGCGTATCACAGCCGAGCCTCATCGGTAGTAGTCTCTGGCACTCCGGTCCGGCGACCTTGGGGCCAAATTCTCACTGCGCCTCCGAGTGTCGCGCCTCAAGCGCCAGTTGTCGCCCCTTGCCGACGCCTCGATATCGAGCTCGAACTTGCTGCGTTCATCTGTAAATCAAACCCAATTGGCGAGCCCGTGCCTGTTGACGAAGCCGAGCAAAGTATTTTTGGATACGTTCTCATGAACGACTGGTCAGCCCGAGACATCCAAACCTGGGAGTACGTTCCCCTTGGGCCATTCAATGCAAAGAACTTTGCCACTTCCATCAGCCCATGGGTCGTCCTACCCGATGCACTTGAGCCATTTGCAACGTCCGGGATTGCCAATGATACGGACTATGCTGCCTACCTAAAGGAAAGTCGGGAATTGAACCAATACGATATCCGCCTCAAGGTCGATCTGACAACCAAGAAAGGCACCACCACGACCATCACAGAGACAAGTAGCAAGAACTTAATTTGGTCATTCCCTCAAATGATCGCACATCACACATTTTCGGGGTGCCCGATGCGCCCGGGTGACCTTCTGGGAAGCGGGACGATCAGCGGGACTACGGATTCGTCTCGTGGCAGTTTGCTTGAGCAGAACGGTGGAGGAAAGAAGGTTGTAACACTCAACGGGGGAGAGGAGAGGAAGTTCTTGGAGGATGGAGACACAATTACGATTTATGGGGTTTCAGGCGAGGAGGGAGCTCTCGTGGGATTTGGCGAGTGTAGCGGCCAAATCATCGAGGCGCGTCGATAGTTTTACCTTGAATTTACGACCCCTACTCTCCAATTAAGGTCTAGAAAATATAGAACTACCCTACTAAAAATTTTGGGAAAAGCTCCTGGAAAACATCTCACTCAAAAGCTCTTGCTGTGCAGTAACTGACTTGATTGTGGCATCAGCCTGTGCAGCATTTAGTCAGGGCTTGTTTTCTAGGAGCAAAAACTGTGCTTAAACGTACGTATGATTAACATTTGAGAAGGAAATAAGTTTCACCTTTAATAGCCTTGCCCTGTAATTAATGGTATATAGATTGAAGACAACATATCCTGCTTGATAATAGCGACCTCCATCCATTGGCCCTCTAGGGTAGTCATTTCTGGCAAGCGGATGACCCTCAGGAGTGATGTGCCGCCGGCTGGACGGCCAATTTGCTCCTCGGGAGGAAAGGGGAAACGCAAAAGGACAGGGGATCTAATTCCCCTTCATGCGGAGCTACTGAATGCATTACTCGGCTATCATGATAACCTGCCTCGTTGTTCTTCCAGGACCGGGCCAGACTCCCTGATTGGCTCTAATTTTCCACCCAATTATTCCGCCTGCCTTAGGCTTGAACAGGCCTCAGCAGACCGACATTGTATTAATAATAAATCAAATTGCAGTACATAGAGAAAAGTATGACTGAGAGAAGCGTGGCTCTGTATTCAAATTCTTCTAATTGTTTACTTTGATTTAAGAGAATAGAAAGCAAGATGGTATACACTAGCGAAGGCTTTACCTGGACCCCAAGCGCAGGGGTCAGTCATGGGCTACCAACCATAGGAGCGGTCGATCCTCCAACATTCTTTGCATCCTCCAAGGATCAAATCTACGATGTTATCGTGGTTGGTGCGGGATATGCAGGCCTAGTTGCCTCCCGTGACCTGTCCACACAAGGTGTGTGTCTCGAATGTTAGTCATAATAATTTCCTGATCCGCTAACAATATCATATCAACAGGAAAGAAGACACTGCTTGTTGAAGCTCGTGATCGGCTCGGAGGCCGGACGTGGCATTCAACTATCAATGGATTCAACTACGAGATGGGAGGAACCTGGATCCACTGGCACATGCCACATATCTATCGTGAAGTCTCCCACTACGGACTTCAGGACGACTGGGTTGTGACTCAAGTCCCTGGAGGGAAAGAGGACTACTGCACGTTGACTACCGGAGAGCAACAGAGGAACATTTCTCACGAAGAGGAGGTCAGTACTTCTTCCAGATTTGTTGATCTCACAAAACAAACACTAACATCCGTCGGTTACGCACTAGGCCGACCTTTGCGGTAGAGTTTTCCGGATCTTTTGCAACTTGGATGGCAATGACCTCAGAGAGAAGTGGAAATACGTATTTGGTACTAAGCTTGATCCTCAATTCGCTGCTGAGTGGGACAACCTTAGCTGCAGCGATCGACTGAATCAAATCCGAAATCAGCTGAGCCCAGAAGAGCTAGCAGCACTCGAAGCTCAGCTCGTCCAGATGGGAGGCAACTCTCCAGATAAGATTGGCTTCTTGAACGCTCTTCTATGGTGGTCTCTGGGCTCACATACAGGGACTGGGCTGAACGAAATCGCACTCCATACTCGCCTTGCTAGCGGACAAAGTGAACTTCACCGACGGATTTTTGAGCACGCTGCCAGCACTGGTAACCTCTCCTATGCATTTGGTTATCCTGTCAAGAGCGTCCAGGACAAAAATGGCCTCGTCACCGTTATAGCAAGAGACGGGACAGCCTGGAAAGCAAGGTCTGTGATTTGCACGGTGCCCCTCAACGTCCTCGCCGATGTTCAATTTTCGCCAAGTCTTCCTGTTGAAAAGGTGGAGGCTTCAAAGATGGGCACGGCGAATCTCTGCAACAAAGTCCACATTGACGTCCAGGGACCGGATTATTTATCCTGGGGCTCTCTTGCTAGTCCGGGTAAAGGGCTCGTGTCGGCATTTGCAGATCAACTTACGCCCGCAGACAACACTCATCTTGTGTCGTTTGGCCCGGACCCGAAGTCATCTTTGGGAATAAAGCTGGATAACATCGACAGAATTATTTCTGCTTTCAAACACCTGCTTCCAGCGGAAAAGCGAGATGAAGTTTTGGTGAACAGAATTGTAAGAAGGAAATTAATTGATCGCGAACTATCAGGAGACTGACAGATAGCATAGGTCGCGCATGACTGGAATAACGACGAGTTTGCTAAAGGGACATGGCTTTTTGCGCCTCCCAAGCTTACTACAAAGTATCTAGAGGCTCTACAACGCCCTCACGGTAATGTCTACTTCGCTAGTGCAGACTGGTCTCATGGATGGCGTGGATGGATTGACGGAGGCGTCCAAAGTGGTATGGAAGTAGCTCGGGATGTGATCCAACATCAGAAGGCCGCCAGTAACAATTCGGATGGGAGGGCCCAAAACTCCCGTTCTCAATCGAAGCTTTAAGTGGCGCTCCCGTCCACAGTTGAGTCACTTCAATTACACTCGCATTATAGTTGGTCTCTGTTAGATTAGGTAGTGATAAAGAAGGATGTCTAATATGTTGAATTTGAATATTTTCGTCCAAAAAGCCTCAAATAGTAGAAAGAACCATGCTATAAATTCAAACTAGCAAAGTATCTAAAGGTTGAAATGGAGTGTTTTTACTCATTTCCAAGAACACCATCCAAGGACTGCAGTAATCACTGGTTAAACCACTGAGGGTGCAGATTGCCTACAGAGCATACTCTGACAGCACTATTCAGGCGAAATTGAAATTTGAATTTTGATGTCATTTCTCAGAAGTTAGACGACATATGTGAATACTGATCTTGATATGTGTACACACTAGAGGATCGATTTGAGAAACGAACATACAATAGTATGAGGCAATAAGCTTCAGCCCAAGTAACAACATCTATGTACATGATGTTTAAACACATTCAATTCTCCATTTTCGTCTTTGAGATGGCAGAGTCTAGTCACTAGACACGTAGACTTAGTAATAGAACCTTTTCACATCGACTTGAGCAAGCCCTGGTTGCGAGGCCGCAAGTAGAACTCCACGCCTTCTTGTCGAACAAACCAAGAATCCTGCAGCTTCCATTCAGCGGTCGGATCAACCAAACTGACCTACAATTGTCATGTGCGCATTAGTTATATATTCCAGAAGTAATGTTGATCAAAATATCTGAACGCAACTTCCACTTACATCGTACTTGAGAAAGAAGCTAGGCAGCATCTTGTAAATCTCTAGCAAGCTGATATTCTTGCCGATGCAGGTCCTGTGGCCTTTTCCAAAGGTCATGTTGTTTCCATTCATGGACTTCAGGCGCGCCGTATAGGTCTCTTCACCTTCATCCATATATGGTAACCATCTCTCTGGTCGGAAGATGGCTGCGTCTTCTCCATATACTGACTTATCTCTATGTAAGACCCATGGTGAGGCACCGACAATTGTGCCTGCAGGAAGAAGAGTACCGCACTCGAGTTGCAAACCTTCAGAGGGAACAATTCTTTCTAGTATCATCCCGACTGCCGGATGAAGCCGAAGCGATTCTTTGACCACGCTGTCGAAGTAAGGCAAGGCTTGGCTCTCTCTCCATGTCGCAAGCTGGCTAAGGCGGCCTTCATTCTGGGCTTGGATCAACTCTTCCATGAGCTTCGCGTAGACTCTCGGGTGCTTGACAGTGTAATACACAATGGCTCTCAACGAAATCGCCGTGGTGTCAGACCCTGCAAAGATATTGGTCACCATGTATGAGAAGACTTGCTGGTCATCAACCACTGCGGGATGCGTCTCCTTGGCTTGAAGAAAGCGATCCACGAAGTCTCCGTTACCCGGCGCCGCCCCTCCGCCTTCGCTTCTTTTCATTTCTTGAAGCCTGACATACAGTCTATCTCTCGCAAAACTTGCAACTGGTCCTGTGGGAGAGGCGAACCAAGCCCAGACCGGGTTCTTCTTCAGGACTTTATCAAGCCAGGGGAGCTGGCCCACGATAGCGTGATAATCCATCGAAGTACCGAGAGTGTGCATGATGCCTTCAATATCACGGCCCTGCTCCACGAACCCAAGCGAAGTACTGCATGTGACTTGCCCAATGACATCGAACGCGTAGAACTGGAGCCAGTCGAATAAGGGACAGCTAACACCGGTACTGGCAAAGCGCTGATCAAGTTGCTCAAATAGGCTTTGAATTGTTCGATTCACGAGTGGCTCATAGCTTTGCAGGGTTGTCATGGAATAGGCACTGGCAATGGGGCGTTTGATCTTTGCATGAAAGTCCTCGTTGAGAGTTGTGAAAAGAGTCTGGGTTGGCTTTCCGTTGGCCATCTGTTGCTGTACGGCATAAAAAGGGCTCTAGAGTAGGAGCGATGTTAGGTCATTGCATTTGAAATGAATCAAAAGATGTAGGTGACATGAAACATACTTTGACATAGTGGCTCTTGATCCCATACACTTGGTTTACATCCTTTGGGTTCCTAATACTGACCACACGAGGTCCGAATCTAACGTTGTCGCCATACTTTCGGTGCAGGCTTTCCAAAGATACTTGATTGTCACCCCTTGACACGTTAACGAGCCTGTATAAATTGCTCAGTTTCGCCAGAAATGGCCCTGGGACTCTCGAAATGCCAGTAGCGAAGTAGTTTAAAACTAAATGGAGAGTGACGAGGGCAAATATCGCCCATAGGAGGACGGGTAGAGACACATTTAGAAGCATCGTGATGACTGTTGAATCAATACTGAGTCAGCGTCACCTATGAGATACACAGCCCTTTCTTATACTAGAGGCTTAGAGCACCCCACGGGGAAAGTTTCGGGCTCGGAATCTCGGAAATATGGACAGTTAGTAGGGATTAACTTGCCCAGATATCTGGGGATATCGCTTAACCCCGCTGCACATCTATTTACTGATGCAGCTTCATCCAATGACATTCATCTATTACCAAGAAATGTTTACTAACTCATTCACAACAGCCCACTGAATTAACTACCATGACCGTCAAAGTAGAATGCCGTAGTGGTAGGGTCGGAGGGGGAGGAGGATCCTTGAGTTTTTCCGGCCTTTCTGTAAACGCGTCTATATACTTCCTTCCACCTACGAGTAACTCTTCTCGTAAAATTCGATAAGGGGAAGACGGCAAGCAAGGCGTAGGCATGATTTCAGATTTGACGAGTCCAGTACAGGCATGGCCCAAAAGCATATCCTGACTTGATTTGTACATCATTCGTTGCCTAGCTAGCTCTGTATTTGTGTAACACTTGGTTGATTTTATGATCAGTTTTACTAAGGCGGAGACGTAAGTCTGAACCGCGTGACCCAAATCCCTGAGTCCTAAAACAATCTAATATCCCCACGATACCACCGAGCTTTCCCCGCAATCCACTCTCTCTCGTCTTACCCAATGTTCTTGCTCAAAGTGAAAGTGACAGAGAGCATCCGAGAGATGAGCTCTCGTTGTAGGTCAGCGCTGGAATTGATGCTGTGGTTTGATTGGTCCTATTTTTCCGGATCGACTTGGCTGTTATCGGAAAACGCTCCCCGCAGACAAGGTTTATAAGTTTAGTGTGTCAAGATACGTAATAGTGGTGGGCTAATGCAGCCTCATGACTTGAATATCGCTGTATCGGGGAGCCTCAATCTCAGTATCTGATGCGGGCATGTTTGTGGGGTCTTTAGGAACAGCCAAGAACCTGGCATTGGTAGTAGAGCCAGGAGGCCACTGCGTCTGCGTTGAGAATGTTGATACAGCTAGTTGATGAAGCGAACGCTAGCTACCATCAAGTTGAAGAATCCCTCATCGGGCTGTAGAAGAGATGAGGACTACAGACGCCAGACCGGCGAATGAACCCCCTGTTGTTGGCCACAATAGAACCAAGGTCACCTTGGCATGCGATGCCTGTCGCAAACGCCGGGTAGCTTGCCACTCGCCCATACTATCCACCTATAATCCAAGCCCAGCTGACGATGACCTAGGTGAAATGCACTGGCGCCTTACCGTGCTCATTCTGCTCGGCGAATGGGGAGGTTTGCGTATATGATGAGAAGAGTCGGGGGAGGCGAGGGCCACGGCCTCGCCGCCAGCCTGATAAAATCGTCCATAACATTGCTCCAGCTCCAAAGGCAGCAGAGATATACGCTGGCCAACCCAAAGTGCTCATAAGCGACGGGAGAAGGGGATCGACACATTCAACGGTCGACAGGCCATTGAGCCTAAGTCCAACTGCGGGGCCGCCTTCAAACCCTCGAGGCCTTGAAGAGATCGTGGAAGTAGCTGGTGTTGCTGGAGATGAGCCTGATAGTACGGAGGGCGGAGCTCTGGACACCTCTGACTTGAAGAGCAGCTTGGAACAAATTCTGGTTGCTAGCACGAACCCGAGGTATTCATCCGCTTTTTCTCTTCGTTGATATTGAGAGTGTAAACACCAAGCTAACGAGGAGAAGTTTGTCCCCGGACATGAATGTCGTGATTCATTTACTTGACCTCTTCTATCGCCGTTCCAACAGCAATGTCAAGGAAGTGGTACCTCCCGAGGCCGCTTTCTTTTACATGGTGAGAACAAAGACAGTGTTTTCTGGCCTCATATATGCCATGTGCGCCTGTGCAGTTCAATATTCAACTCATCCCATGGCTCGCACAACTATCACTGGAGGACAACCGAGTCTAGATGAAACCTTTTCGAAGCTGGCAAAGGTGTCGATTTACGACTGGGCAGAGACTGATCGTCACCTGGATTATCTGAGAACATATTGCATTCTCATAGACTATGATGCAGCTAAATGCCACGGAAAACAAGCGTGGGCCAATATCTGTAAGTATCCTGACAGAGATCCACGACGCTTGACGCTCAGACTGTTTTCTTAGCGATATCCAAGGCCTTGCTGCAGCTTTACCGCGCCCAAAGTCAACCTCCGCTTGATGAAATCGGCATCTTGGAACGCATTGAGTTCTATCTTCAGATCAAGGAAGCAACACATTCCTTAGGGCATGGTGCTTTGGAGTCCTCTGTGCTAAGCCAAACAGTTGCATGGGCGTCTCACAATAGTGACTATACTCAAGTCGGGTCTGAGCAACGTCTCCTCGACCTCCTACGGTTCTTCGTGCGAATCCACAACTACAACAATAAAAATATTCCCGAAACGCAAGTTGTGCAGCCTTGGAAATCAGGTTCGGACTTCAGGACGCTGCATACGGAAATGGAGGAGTACACCGTGCATTTCCCGAGTACCCCATCTCTTGACGAGAACGACACTAGCCAAGACGATATTGAGTATACAATCACGGAAGCAATGTGCTCACTGGTGTGTCATTGTTGTGATATTGCGCTGAACCTGAGGTTCCTGCCCATTCCAGAGCCCAACAATAACCAGGGAATCGGGTCTATTTCAACTTGTGTCGAATTCCCAGGGGCACCACCTCTATTCATTCTAGAGAGACGAAGTCGATGCGAGGCAAGCGCTGAAGCAATCTGCCGTATTGCTCAGGATGTTGTACAAGGCGGAGGCTTCTTCCACGTCAGTGTTCTTCCCTGTATCTCAGCTTATGTCATTTCTTACTGACCGATGCGTTACAGTATACTGCTTTGCTGGGCTACTGCTCGGTGCATGCGATATTTGTGCTATTGAATCAATTGCATAGGCAACCCAAACATCAACAACTTGGTAAAGTTGTTGGTAGCCTCAAGTTTGCCTTTACGCTGTTAGCTGCCGTCCGACGATTCTACGCTCCAGCGGCAAGCTGGGTAAGTCTATCAAGCTGATTATTCTTGTTTTTCGACGATCTGACTCGGCGTCGCATAGCTGGAAATTGTTTTTCGTGCACATGATACTTCAACACCATTGACACACCACAGAAGCACAATTGGTGACGCATTTCACTCCTACCTCGGCAGATATGTTGATGTCCCGGAACCGTGCTTCGTGCCATTGATGCCCAGTCCAGACCAGAGCGATATTCTAGGATCAAAGGCCAAGGAGGCTCAAGCATCTCCCAATGTATCGGTGGGGAGGGGTGTTCTTGATGTTAGTGAGAAACAGAACGACGATAGCCAACAGCCGGCATGGGTTCAAAGCTATGCTGGCCATCTTTCTGAGGATATCGAGGCGGAAGAGATAAGGCTGCTACGGGGAGAATCGCCTTCAAATGCCATGTCCCTGATTGGCTCATCGGGCGAGACAGTAGTGGGACATGATGGAAGCATCGACACAGCACATGAACACTCCAAAACTTTGGAGAAAATACAAGAGGCGTCAGGGATAAACTCATTTGGCGAGTTTCCAATGACAGGGCAAAGTTGGGTGGAGGCTGGAGTACCGGCGGTTGAGTCGTGGTCCTCAGGGGTAGCGATAGGGGCGGACGCAGGGACACTGGCACCAGCCCAACCTGCTTTTGCCGAGTTTCTTGCGATGGGAGGTGTGGATTTTGATCTGGATGCGGTCCTGGGCTCGGACCCAATCTTTGGAGACTTTTGGCCCGATATCATGCCGAACTCTCCGTCGTTCCTGTTCCCAGTTGGTGATAAGACTGGCCCACAATGACACGCAAACCAGAGATAGAGAGATAATACAGAGCATCTTGGTACGCGCTATCTTGTTGATCCAGACCAGATATTCACTTAAGGCGTATGAGCGGCGCAAAGACGACCCCAACCTAGCACAACCCCGCTCGCAAGAACCCGGTTACAAGCATTTCAGGGTTCCGAGATAGCAAGGGGCTAGACTCAGACAGGGGAGCTTGTGCCTCAACAAGATTAGCGGTGCCAATATTGGTTGCAAGCCTAACAGTCGTGGCGACTCAGCTGCGTGTGACTACTCCTAGATCGGTGGTTCCCCGCTGCCGTCAGATAAGTGCATGGAAGGTAGTCTGGGGAAGCGCCTCGGCCAATGGCCATTTGATCGATCTTCATCCTCTTCATCCAATTTCTACACGTGTAAGAACAGAGCCGAATCAATTCCCATCCCATACCACTTCACACCACATCTCTAGCTTCGTCACACGGTGTTATATAAAGGGCGTATCAACCCAACGATGATGGAGCGACCCTTGAGAGTCCCAGAGCAGGAGAATGACGGCGGAGCTTGCTGGGCATGTCTCCAGCACAAGAGGGCTTGTGATCGTGCACTTCCATGTAGGCCTCCGAACATCACCACTCAAGCTCATAGCATGGATACAGATTGATCTAACCCGCTTCTCAACGCCAGGGTGCAATGTTTGCAGTGAACAGGGCATTAAATGCACTGGCTACGAGGTCAGATTATCATGGCCAGACGACATCATCGCCAAGAAGAGGCAGCGATCCGATCAAATCCATCACCGACGACAGTCAACATCCAAGTCTACTCACCAATCTCCATCCTCCACTACTAGCTCTACACATTCTACTAAGAGGGCGATGCCCTCCGTGATCTCTGCTTTGAACCTACCCGCCGAGCAGAGCTTTTACATGCAACATTTCCTCCGTACGTGACATAATCTCGACCTGTCGTAGAATTCTTCTGACATCCCCGACCCCACAGAGAACATCGCCAGAATCGCCCTAGCAATAGACCATCAGGGAAATGGCTATCGATCATTGCTGCCCATGGCGCTTGCGGAGCCTGCGGTATTAAACGCAGCGCTGGCCGTCGCGGCGTCGCATCACAGTCGCTGGCAACACACTGGCGATGATGTATCACGCAAATACCTGGGGCTGGCTTGCAAGGCGCTTCGAAATAGGTTCATTGATCCAAAACTAAGAAACAGCCCCGTCACTCTGGCTTCTATGCTACTGCTGGTATCATACGAGGTATGGACGCATCTCATGTCAACTCTGTTCCTATGACTCTAACATCTCCACCTAGGTGTTTTCTGGTTCCTCTCGCTGGAAGGGCCATTACGATGCAATTCGAGGCTGGATACGAGGTCGACAAAGCAGCAAAGATCTCGACTCGTTTCTTATGAATTGGGTGTGCCTCATCGACACCCAGAGCGCGTTGAATCTCGGCACTTCGACCATGCCCGAGCTTGATGAGTGGATGAGCGCCGCCCCAAATAATCAAGGCTATACCGTTGATTCTCTCTTTGGTTGCTCATCGCAGCTACCGAAGCTCATGGTACGAGAAAGCAACAGGTCTCTCTCTGTCACTTCCCCAGCTAACATACCTTTATAGTCAGCAGCCTCCCGGTTGTACGTGGCATCGAAACAGGATCTAGTCGACGAGGATGACATACGCTACCAGGCAGATGACCTACAAAAACGCATTCGATCGACCCAGCTACCGGAAGATTCTCCAATCAAGGTGGGACTTGCTTGCACAAATGCCTCGCATGAGTTCTCTACGACTGTCGGGATGGAAAGGGACGAGCTGCGTCGTCGTGCCACAGCGACGGCCGAGATCTTCCGACACGCGTCTCATATCTACGTTTATCGCATTTCACATGGCCCGATGGAGCCGCTATCTCCCGAGGCACAAGAATCACTAGAGACTGCCTTGACCCTGCTCACACGTGTGCCAGATGCGCTTGGGCCTGGGGCGAACCTTGGCTGGTGTCTGGTAGTGCTGGGTGCTGAGTTGGACCTGGAGGAGCAGCGGGAATACATCAACTCACGGTGGGCAGGGATGCATCTTCTCGGCATCTACAACACGAAGAATGGACAAAGCATTCTCAATGAAGTATGGAATAGGCGGGACCTGGTAAGTTCTGGGTTTGCAGATCCAGAGCGATGGCAGGACACGATGCAGAGGATAGGACAGTCACAAATATTGGTTTGAGCAGCTCATTTTATGTAACAGATTGAATAGTACGCAATATTCCAATACTAAAGGTACTTAAAAATTTGTCTCATTTCTTTCCTTTGAATGCCTGCTCCAGTAACCTTTCTATGGACATCGGCGGCTCCGTCTTATCCTTGAACTCATCTACCAAACTGGTTGCATCTTTGAGAGTGTCAAAGTCATACGCACCAAGCGCAATTGATGCTCCCAAGTCTGCTGCCAGAGCTTTGACCTGCTCGAGCCCTTCGGGGAAGTGGTCCGCAAGGGGAATATTCCTCGGCAGCACCTTATTCTCGTGCTTCTCGAGCGTCTCAATCGATTCATAAGTCACCTCGATCAATTGTCCAAGATTCTTCTCAACCAGGGCCACCAGTTGGTTGGTTGTTAGTGTGCTAGCAGTTGTAGTCAGGACAAGAGGCCATGCTTGCATCTCGAGTGCAAGGGCCGTGTACCGTGCCACATCTTTGGTGTATGTCATTGCCATTTTCGCCTCTCCATCTCCCGGAACGTAGGCAACTCGGTGTGTATTGTCGATTACGATACAGAGCTCACGTAGGTGTGTTTCCAGGTTTGGCATGGCAAAATAGTCCATGAACATGCCCGGGTAGATATAAGTGAATTCCAGACTGGTCTTCTCAAGCTCTCGTCTACCAATGATATGAAATCGCTTATCGGGATACGGCAAAACACTATCTGGGAGATCGTAGTCGACATTGAATTCGGATGGAATGAATCGTTTAACTGTCGAAGCACGTTCGGAGGCCCGAATAAGTGTGACTTGCGAATCGCTGGCTGCCTGGAAATCAAGTGCAAATGTGCAAATGATGGTGTGGATTTTATATTCCTCGAGAGTCTTCGCAAGCTCTGCCTCGGACGAGTAGTCGGATTGTATCACTGGGGAATATTGTGCTCCCGTTATGGGGGATTGCAAAGGTTCAACTTTGTTGGGAACCTAAACATGTAATGGAGCAAAGGAGGTTAATCTGGGGTATTCAGTAGTGGTCTGTCAATTTTCAGGATCTACATACCCGACGGGAAATCACGTAGACTTCATACTTCCCTATTTCCACAAGGGCGGTCGTGATGAGACGCCCCATGTCACCAAGACCTCCTGCAACAGCGACGACAGACATTGTAAATGATGTGATTGCTAGATTTTCGTTTGATAAAAGACTAGAGAAGAAGTCAGTGGACAGGGGATATTCGCCTTGAGGTAGATCGATGACTAGTAATGAGTTGATATAAAATACAACAAGCTTCCTTATTGCAGCGATGATTAGAAAGCTTTCCTAGCCACAAATGTATTGTTTAACGATTTTCCGCTATGTTGACCTAAAGTGAAGTCGTGATTAGATGGTGTGGGGGCGGGATCATTATTTGATTGGATCCTTGTTCCCTTGTCGACAACACATCCCACTCATGAGGCCCGATAGGATTATTCGGGACACTCTTCCTTGCTACATTAAGCACTAGATTTAGCCGGCTTTCATGATCATACCAAAAGAAACATTCCCAGACCTTTCATTCTTCGATCCAAACAGTCCTATTGCATTCAATTTAACCCTTTTCTATCATGTCTTCGTCAAGAATCCACCGTGTTACACTTTTCAAGATCCCGTCTAAGGAGGATCAACAACGGCTAATCGATGTCTACCGGGATATGCCAACAAAAGCACTGAAGAACGGCAAACCATACATTATTTCAGCCACCGTAGGTCCCACCTATGACGACGCGAGGAATCAAGGCTACACGCTTGCCGCACTGTCCGTATTCGAATCGGAGGAGGATATGAAGTTTTACGACAATGAGTGCAGTGCTCACGGAGATCTAAAGAAAGTTGCAAAGACTTTACATCAAGGCGCGATGATGGTGTACTTCTCAAATGCCATATAAGTCTTTCAGGGGCTCAGTGAGGACCATCTATATCAGTAACAATGAAGAGATGATCATAGCACGCAAAAATAGTAGTGTGCTAAGAGAAAGTATGTTCATATAAGCAGTCGACCCAATATAAATGAATTGGTTTCCCAAGGGCACGAGACTATTTATACAGTAAATGTAGTTTGGCCCCTAAGATGTGCAGGCTGTCCTATCTCATTATGTTGAAAAATCGCCGCCTTGGGTTGTTAGATATTTCAGCCAATATGTAAATGATTTTTTGTATAGTGAATAGATCGCGTACTTAATAAATCCTTTTTACAGGGCTTGAGTGAGAAATTTTACAGATGCGGCTAGCTACGGCTCCCAAAGAGCCATCCATCGTCAGTCTCTCCAACATTATTGTTCTTCCCATCAAACTTCAGAACCACTTGGATCAAGCTGTCCCTCAATACCGACAATTGCCATCGGCCCTTGATAGTGCTTGCGTCCGTAACCGAACCAGGAAATCAAAGATATAACGAGAACTCCACCAACCAAGACAGAAGCATAGTTCCTGGAATCTGGTTAGAGAAAGTAAGAAGCATAAAAGGTAGGACTGGCACTTACATGTTTTGTGCTGTGACTGGCTGATAAACGGGGAATGACATGAAAAGAAACATGAAACAACCAAAAAAGAAGGCCAAGACGTGGCAAAAGAAAGAAGCCTTGCCCAAATTAAAAGGGCCTTTAACGGTGTCCTTTTTCCAGGCCCAGTAGAAGATGTAGAGGCCGATAGGTACAACATATGACAGCTGGAAGGCCACCAGTACACCCGCCATGATGCCGTAAAATGCCGTGGTGTTCCAAATGTAGATCATGTAAACCAGTAAAGATGGAACAATAGGCAATAGCATGGCCCGGATGGGGACATTCAATGTCGGGTGGAGATGAGCAAAATATTCGGGGATTGCCTTGTCACGGGCCATCGACCAGATCGCTCTGGAGGTCGCGCCTGTGAGATCACAACCGGCTAACCAAGCAACAGTAGTACCGATCATGTTGAGGATGATACCTGCTGGAATGCTGTTGGTACTGTTGATCAGAATCTGTGTGAAAGGGCTCATAAGTCCGATGGGAGACGCAAGGACAGCATCAATGTCCCCAATGCAAAATAGGACCGCGATGATGAATGGCAATGTCATAAGAGCGCTGCTGACGGCTTGAAGTGCCACTTCTACGGGTCAGATCATGATACATCAGAAGAATATCAGTCGAGGCAGACTTACTTGCTCGGGGGACCATGATGTTTGCCTTCTCAATCTCCTCACTAAAGTGGCTAGTAGAATCCAGCGAAAAGAATGCATACAGAGCTGCAAGCAAGCTGACAGACCAGGATACGAAATCGTTGTCCCAGCCAGTGAGGTTCGTGAAATTGGTGAATACAAATTGTGCGTCATGTTTTGTTGGTGTGCAGGCTGCAAGGACTGCGATAACAATAATATATCCAGCAACGTGCCAAACCAATACTGAAGAAAAGTAAGCCAAGGCGTCGATCGAAGTATGTAGGGGAGATTGAAATTTAGAGACTCCCAAAGATCCGTACTCACACCAAGTATTCAAATGATGCAATGCGTTGACGGCAAACACATTTATAAGAATCCAGACGAAGCAACAAGCAGCGCAAATCTAGTATTCCAGTTAGATTGTTGTGAAGATAGTTGGAAGAATTATCTTACCATAAATGTATGCCATGTCTTTGGCTCATAGTCCGTAGAGACGACCGCATAACTTTGTATTTGAACAGCAACTCCCATTGCACATGACAAAGTTCCTATCCATAAGCCCGCCAAACCAGCCCAGGCAGTGAACCAACTCTTCAAGAGTGTTAGCTTACAAAAAAATGCTCGTCCAGTGGGAGGATTGACATACAAATATTCTTGAGTAAGATGGTGGCGCTAGGTTTGCGGCCCATACATATTGGCCGCCAGAAGAAGGCCACATGCTGAAATTGCATAAGCCAGGTGTCTTTACCTCGGAATACGTGGCAAGGGCCAGTATCTCTTACCTAACAAACTCAGCAAGAGCAAGAGACATGCAAACGATGCCAATTGATACGAAGATCCATCCCCAGAAGAGGCCTACCGGGCCACCTCCCGTCAAGCCCTGGGCAATGGAAGCAGTCCATCCTTCCCACTGTTGAGCGTTGATGTTAGAATAAAAGAAACCCCAACATATTCAGTGTGGGAATACTCACTGCTCCGGACGTACAAACGGCAATACCGACAGCAGTCCAGAAATTGAACCGCTTCTTGATCTGCTCAGGCTGGACATCCCCTGTCACAGACAACTCTCTGTCTTTTGATACAGGCTTCTTATCCAACTCATCCATTATTATAGCAATGTTGAGAACTTGTTTTGTGTGCCAGAAGATCTCTGTGAGAGTTGCCCAGAATATGCCAGGGGGTTTGTAAGGTAGGACAGATTGTTTCCATTTATGTTGAATTCGGAAACTCAGGAAAAATAGCCCATTGCCGCACAATCAAACCATCAACAGGGTTCACCCACTCAACCAATCTACCTCGATAACCGTGTGACCCATGCAGATAGACGCAGTGTGCCTGTTTCCAAGGGAGCTGGCCCTCCAGACCGACCATGGAAGAGGCAAATCCAGCTTCTCGTTATCTTCATAAGGTGTGTGTGGAGATGTGCCTCCACCCCCATATCTAAGATGGGGACAGACTGAAGCCTCAGATAAGCCAGCAACCGTATTTGGACTCGCGTTGATGCCAATTGACGAAGAGATTATTTTTCCGCGTCCCCTCCACCGTCCGTGGCGCTGGTTCAAGGTTCATACAAGGGGCTTAGCTGCGGGGTAAGGCGCTGGTCGATGGCTGTGACTGTTTCGATCCAATAGTCGCATTGCCAAGTTATCTCATACGTTCCCAGCAGTTGACTGCGGTATAGCCTATGCAAGTAGGATTCATCGGTAGTAGATGAAAGATTCAAGTTGTTTGTTTCAGTGCCAATTGCCATCTTGGATTCACCCGGCCATCACCAGTTTCAGTGTCTCTACCATTGAGAAGGAGTTGTTTATCGAATATTCTATCTCAGTTCACAAACAGACAGTATAAACCAAATGAAGCGATTGTAGCTCTTGGCTACTTTGCTCTGCTCTCTAAAACTGTTCTATGTTCTCATGTCTATCAATTCATAATAATCCCAGCGCAATATCCAGGACTACTCGTTTATTTTCCGATACCGTCCTTCAAACGCCTCTCGGCACTGTAACCCTCATGAGACACCCTGCTTCTCGTCGGTTGCCTTTCGGCTGGGGGGAAGTCATCTCCTTGTTTCCGAAACCACAAGTGGAGAAGGTCTATTTCTACAGTAAATTTGAGCTATCTATCTCATGCGTGTGTGAATCTAGTTTTGAGAACTCCAAAAAAGCTAGAATTTGGTAGAGCCCTTTGCCCCTGCACTCATGATCCTCACTGCAGTGAGACTTCCAAATGCAACCACATACGCGGCACCTGAAAAGATGATGAGCCCCATGTAATCGCCCTTTGCCGCCTCCAGAATCTGCCCGCCAAGTGGCACTCCAATCAAAGAGCTGAGAGAAATTAGATATGTTTACTTCTAGTTTTCAGGAAAGCGTGTATGGTAAGAGATACGTACCCGATGCTTCCAACACTGTAGACAGCTGTGAAAGTCTTTCCATAGTTTTCAGTCTCGCAGAGTTGTCCAATACAAACTGGAAGGAGGCTGATCCCACTTCCACTGCCAATTCCAAAATAACTGCAAATGCAGTCAGTCCAGCAGTCGATGCCCCCGTTGGTGGTAGCCAAATGCCAAATATTGACACGATACAGAGTGCTAGAGCGATGTTAAGCATATTAAAGCGCCCAAGCTTGTCACCTAACCATCCCGGCAGCCACCGTCCGATCAACGAGCCGACGTTCATAAGAGTGACTGTCCTGTAAGCGGCCTCTGGCGACATATCATGATTGGTAGCGAACGAGGCAACATATGTCATTGGAATGAAGAGCCCCAATTCGATGAACAAGGCAGCGACGGTTAGTACCCCTTTCTTCGGCTCCCACAGAACCGTGATATCTGGTAAGATGCTCTTGGGCGCTGTAGAAATGTCTTGGTGTCTCCCACGCATGAGAAGAATAGCGCAAGCTACAAAGGGTACCATGAGAAGGGCCAATGCTCTCATGGCCCAAGTGAACCCAATTTTGGGCAGCAAGGCGCTCAAGACTAAAGGTGTCGTGATGCCACCGACGCTTCCGCCACAGATAGCAAGTCCTGTTGCCAGCCCTCGCCGCTTCAAGAACCAGTGCTGTACAGTCCCCATAGCCGCGGTAAAGAGGAGGCAGGTCGAGGAGCTTCCTAAAATACCAAAGCATAACATGAAATGCCAGTACTTGCTGCACCACCCCAGAAGGACATAAGTCAACAAGAGCATGACAGATCCACTGATTGAGAGCATTTTTGGACCCTTGGAATCGAAAAGCGGACCGATGAGGATCCCCGTGAAGAAGCTCAAGAAGTTGTAGAGGCCGAATATCCATCCGATGCTTCCCGAGCTGTATCCCTCAAGTTGATGAGTCGATAGCCAGTTCTGATAGACGCCAATGGAGTTCATCATGGACAATGCCCCAAAGAATGCACAGAAACAGCCGAATACAGCCGTCCAAGCCTTCGTTCCCCCATCAGGATATTCGATAGCCGGGGCCTCATTTTGGTCTGGGGCAATTGCAGGGCTTTCATAATCGCTTGAGGCTTTGTCCGTGCCCAGAGGCGCAGCCTTCATGGTGTTGTACGAACGACTCATTCTACTTCTATCACGGACCAGACACTCACGACTGAATCGGGTCTTGAAACCTCTCTTAGTATCTATGTAATAACTTCTGTAGTCAGTTGCCCTCGGCTACTTCTGTTGTCATGATGGATGAATATTCCGTTGAATTGCGCTGGTGCAGGAAAAATATCTTATTGGTGGATTGGATCCAACTTTAGGAATCCCCATGAAGGGTCTCTCGTTCGGTATCCCACTCAACCAGACCATAAAGTAGCCTCAAACTCAAGAATTACCCAAAATTCCAACCAGAGATCCTATAGAGACCATTACCGCAAGTAATCACGCACACTACGCACACAAGCAATCATGGTCTTTGAGTGGAAGAGCGAGGCCCACTTTCACAGGGTCCCCAAGTTGACCCCAGGGCCAGCCAATGTCTATTTTGGTGAGCCCAAGTCATGGCATTCCTATTCAAGGACCTATCACGGTCTTTGATTGATATTTTTACTGACTATCACCCAAAAAGGCGATGTTTTCACCTCGTCAACCCCGGGCGCGGCCAACCCCCTGACTGGTTCCATGTTCTTCCTCGATTATTCTGAGCACAACGACCCAGTTCCAAAGTATGATTATGACGAGACCGGAGTTGTTCTGAAAGGTATGTGCTCAAATATAAGTTTCCAGAAGTATCGCTACTCTCGTCGAACTCTGCTAACAAGGATTACCCAAGGCGAGCTTCACATCAAGGACGAGAATGGAAATGAGGCCAAGCTGCAGCCGGGAGACACCTTCTTCGTTCATCGTGGCAGCACTATTACCTTTTCTACTCCACGCTATGCTATTGCATACAAGTCTGCGGCACGGCATTCTCATTAGATCTAAGTAGCAATTGAAGAGGGTCATCCATCCACTAGAATTCATAATCATGTTCCAACCCATCTATTTAACCAGACATGCTTTCTTGACTCTCAAAATCAGGGACTTTCGATTTTTTGGACAATATTCCTCTTTACTCAACTATTGTTCAATTTACGTCATTGCTTCCTTTCAAAGAGTTTCAAGATCAGGTCGTTTTCGTTGACCGCTGCCACGTCCAGGCAAGTCTGATGCCTAACATTCTCTATCGTCGGATCCAATCCTTGCTCGAGTAGCCATTTGAAGCGTGCAATCATAAGCTCTCCTGTTCCTCCATTTTGTAGGCTCTTGCTGCTAGCTGCAACAGCATGAAGCAGGGTGTCCCCTGCATTGTTTGTAGTGAATAGATCGCTCCCAGCATCAACGAGCGTACGGATTGCTTGGCTCTGTCGCTCAAACTCTCCATTGTTCTTCTCATTTCCTCGGTCTACACCCTGAGATAGCATGAATAAAAACAAGGGTGTCTCTCCTTTGTTATTACGACTATTGACGTCCAAGCCGCACGCGATAAGACGCTTGAACAACTCGCAAGGCTGCTCAGCCATATTGTCTGTTTCCCCTTTGTCTGCCAGCCACATCCCCAGATAATGCAGTGCTGTGTTTCCAGTTGAGTCTGGCAGAGAGGGATCAGCTCCTGCGTCAAGGAGCATCCGAATAGATTGCGTATCCGGAGCCTGATGAGAGATGCTCCTGCGCAACGCATACTGCAGGGGCGAACCACCCAAAACATCGACCTGCTGTGATAGCTCAGGCGCTACAGATAGCAAGAGCTTCAAGGTATCATGGCCGCCCTTGGGTCTAGCTTGAAGGATGTGGTGGAGCGCATTCATCCCATCATTGTCAGTCTGTGTAACACAAGCACCCTTATCGACGAGAAACTTGACGATCGAGGGCTTTTTCGTGAACAAGTCCGCAGCGCTACGCCGCGGCTCGAATTGATACTTTGGATTTATCGCATCCATGCTGGTGTCTGGTCCGATCCGGCTTCGACAAGCTGCTAGCAGTGGAGTGCGTCCCTTTGCGTCACGGCGCTCAAGGTCGAGATTTGGCATAAGGAGAATGGGTTCCGTCAACGCTCCCTCCTCCAATATATCGTGCAATAGTGTTACCTCTGTTGTCGATGGGTTTTCCGCCTTCAAATCCTCTTTTCGGCGTTTCTGATACGTCACAAATGGATCAGCGCCGTTTTTAAGAAGACCCTCGATAACAGGCAAGAACCAATTCTTCATCTTCGGCCGGTCAACATGGCCGTATTCTATTCGAACATGAACGAGGTTGCGGGAGGTTGCCAGGAATAGTGAGTAAACCTGATCATCGTCTACCAAATAACTCTGGGCACTAAAGCCAGTGTTCCAAGGCATTGTTAACGACTCTAATTCCGCCTTGGACAGCCGCGTGTTGGGGTCTACCACCGCGCAAAGGGCATCAATGGCCTCAGAGTTGCGGTTCCAAGTAGCCTGAAACAAATCAGCCACTTTCACTACCGCCCCGTGACTGACGAGAAGCTTGAGCGCTCCAGGGTCGTTGCCAGCGTATGCAAGACAGGTTTTGCCCGAGTCATCCACTGCGTTGACATCCGCACCAGCTTCGACCAAGATCCGAGCAGCTGTCATGCTATGTGCCAGTGCACGGTGCAGAGGGGTTCTTCCTTGCGTGTCTCTTAATTCAAGATCGGCCCCACGCTCAATGAGATACTTCAAGCCCTGAGCATGATGCCACCATCTCGAACCGCGTGCCAGTTCATGGAGTGCGCTGGATCCTTTCTTCCAAGTGCAGTTCCCCAGCGTGCCTGTATACACGGCATTTTGGGCGTTAATATCGGCCCCCATCTTTTCAACCAACAGCCGGAGCATTGGCATATTTGGCAACCGTCGTTCGCAAGCTCTCAACAGGCATACCGGAGCAGTATCATTCTGGCCGGGCTCGGCCCCTCCCTTCCCAGCGAGCAAACTCTGCACTGTTCTCTCTTGGCTTTCCTCCATCTCAACGAGGCCGTCATTCGTGATAATCTCTCCAACTAGTTTGTGAAGCCCTGACCTTATAAGCTCCGTGAAGTGAGACCTCCCAAAATCATATCGCCCAAAGAAACCGGGATCGTGCCTAGCCATGTGTCGGAGTGAGTCCCACTGATGATCCTCGATCAGTTGCAGAACATCATCCGTCTCGTATCCCTCCTTCTCCGCAAAAAGAAACGCTTTTCTGGTAGCTGAACGCCTGTAGATGGACGACATCAAGGGGTAGGCTAGACCAACCTTCTCGAACCTTGACCCCTTCATCAGGCTTTCCACATACTCCTCTACTGGCGGTAATGCCATGGAATCGCCACCACCGATATCTGTATTTTCAGTGCTTGCTTCCAGGCGCTGTTTCAGTTTAAACAAACACTCTGTGGTGTAATCTTGCCCTTCACTAGCAATGATCGCCCCGTCCAACCCGGAGAACGGGTGGGCGCCCGTTTCCATGCTAGCACCATGCAAAACCAACAGATCAAGCACCTCATCAAGATTAGAGACTAGCTTCTCGTCTCGATATTTAACCCGAGCCTTGTCATCCAATGCAATTCCAAATGGATCTCGGAACGGCACCTCATGAGGGTCGCGGTATGATGAGTCGCCTAGCCTCGCTTCTTCCCATAGCTTCTCTTCTTCCTCGAATTTCGTACAATAGTAGAGGGGAGTAAGAAAGCGTTCGATGTAGAGGTTCGGATCAGCACCCGCCTCCAAGAGCAACGCAACGGATTCCGGGAGGCCAGAACAGCACGCAAAATGGAGCGCCGAGGGAACCCCCTTGGACAGCCTTGCTTTTTCCGGCCGCCATGACGAGTTGAGGTGGCGAGCAACAGCCTCCTTTCCGCTTTGTTTCTCGATGACTTCGAGCAGCAATCCGATAATGTTCGGCATTCTGAACCGTGCGGCGACATGAATTGGCGTGACTCCGCCCTTAGTAGGCTTGGTAGGGCTGGCGCCGGCGTTGAGGAGAGCCCTGACCTCCCATTCGTCCTTTCTACATACCAGATGAAGGGGCCTGATACCGTCGTTGTCTTCACAGTCGATGTTTGGATATTCCGAGAGCGGAGCGGCTAGGTAAGAATAGCCTGTAAACGTCCAGTTATCACTTGACGCCAGGAGGTGAAGATGTGTTCGGCCCTTCTTGTTGACATGGTGAGTCCCCCATTTCAACGGGTTCCCGTCGTCATCGCAGTTGTCCGGGCTGCAACCCATCTCGATCAAACAATCTTTCAGCTCCTCTTCTTTCGGGGGGCAGTAGTGCAAGAGATTCCGTCCATGGCAGTCGTAGATAAGGGGATCGGCACCAAGCGCAACAAACCGGCGTACTGCTTCAACGGTGTCTTCCCCTTTTGCGTTCTTCACCAAGAGGGTAAGCGGCGTCAAGCCCATGTACTCTTGTTTATTGAGGTCGGCTCCCGCAGCAAGCATAGCCCGGATTATCTGTTCAAATCCGCCATCCCAACATCCCCGATGTAAGTGAAATGAGTGTATGATCCCATGCATAGCAACTTGTCCGTAGTTGTCCTGCTTGTTCACAGGAACGCCAAGGTCCAACAGAGCCTTCACGATCTCAAATCTTCCCTCCTCTGTTCTTTTGAGCTTGTTACGGGAACTGGGGAATATTCCAAAGTGAGCTCCACCGTCGAATAAAAGGTGAAGAGCTCCACGGCCATAGTAGTCTGTAGCTGTCACGTCGGCTCCCAGCTCGGCCAGCTTTTTTATAAGCGCGACATCGTTTGTCTTGGCGGCCTGGAGAAAAGGGGTCATTCCTTCGTCGGTTGAGACTTGATTTATGTCGGCGTTTCCAAGCTCAACAAGCATTTGCACGACGTCTGGGTCTCTACATCCATGCAGTACGTTCTCTCCAATACTGTTGGTGATAGCTACATCGACCCCGGCTTCGAGCAGCGGACGTACCAGCTCTGGATACTCCCTCGTCGCTCCGAGGATCGCGGCCCATCCACTCTCTGTTTTGGCATTCAAGTCTGCCCCAGATTCCACCATCATTGTCAGCAATTGTCGAACATGATCTGGTTGGAAGACGCGTTTCCATCCGTTAAGTGTAGCGCGGTCCATTACACCGCACAGAGCATGCAATGGCGTGAGACCGGTCACAGGATCCGCTTCCTCTTTTTCCTCCTCTTCGTCGTACCATATGCTGCTGTACCTTCCCCGAGACCGAATTGATGGATCGGCACCAGCCTGAAGTAGCAGGACCATGCTGTGAACATCCCCTCTCTCACCAGCTATGAAGAGCAGAGTATCGCCACGAACACGGGCATTCACATCGACAAGCTCATGGGATAAGATGATCCTGACACAAGCAGTATGGCCCGCATAAGCTGCCCATGCAAGTGCACGGCTGACCGTTTCCGTTTCCTTAATAAAAGGTAGAAAGGCCCTAACAGCATCTTCATGCCCTCCTTTGGCAGCGTACTCAAGTGGTGTCTCACCCGTAGTGCCAGGATCTCCTCCTCCATAAAAATCAGGATCTTCCTTGGTCTTTCCTGTCAAGGGGCTCACGCCAGCAGCGAGAAGTAATCTCACAACTTCCCCGTGGTTATTTTTCGCCGCGACATGAAGCGGCTTGAGGCCATCATATTCAGAGGGCTTATCAGCCTCGGCGCCATGGGCCAGCAGCAACTTGACAACACTAGCATGCCCGGCCTTGGAGGCATAGAGCATGGCAGTATCCCCTCTCTCGTCTAGGGAGTCTATTTCAATGCTATTCTTTTCTAACAGTCTTGAGACATACTGCCCAAGCCCAAAACGAGCTGCCAAGTGCAACGATGATTGATCCTTCGTCTTCGGGTCCGTCAACCTTCGCAATGCAGAGCCATTTCTGTCTGAGAGAAGATGGTCGACTGCAGAAAGGAGATCTTCTGGGATAACGAGGTCTTTCTCGGCTTTTCTCCAATGCACATGCCAATTATCCAAACAGTAAGCTAGGAATGGATATTCTGAGCGGATTTCATGGTTGACTGCTGGCGTCTCGTCTTTGCCGGAACGACCGTTGTTGCTAGGCGGACCATCTTGAACCAGATCTAATTTGACAGCTTCCAGGCATTTTGAATACAGCAAATAGTCGATACATACTCGCGCAAGCTGAGTATGAGTAGGCCCTGCGCTGAGAACAGGAAATTGTTCTTCCTCAACTAGCTCTGCTCGTAGCGTCCCGGGCTCGCGCGTCCAACCGTTCAGAAACTCGGTCAGCGAATGATGGATAACACACACGGTCTCGTCGGGCAATATCTCCAGAAGTGGGCCACATGCCGCACGCACAAGGCTCTTGAGACCTTTGAAATCGCCGGTGAACTCTGACTGTTGCGTCACGTTGATCATTTCTGCCATCTCGAGGAGCCGAAGTGGGCGGGAGGCATGTGTGACCCAGCACAGAATCAGGAGTTGCAATTGATGGGGAACTCCAGAGTTCTTACCATGTTCGCGCAACAGGTTGGTATACATGACATTGAGATCAAGGGGAAGCCTTTCCAGGACATGAGCCACATCTGCTCCCTTCTCTCTAAAGGCATCCATCGCCAGCTTGGCGTAGAGAAACAATCCATTTGCCCTCCCGGGAACTGCCTTCTTTATCTCGTCGTGGTGATTTTCCGGAATAGACGAGTTTTTGAGGCAGTATTCCACGTACGTTGCAATGTCCACATCCACGTGGCTTTCGTCCAGGCGAATATGAAGCATTGGAATCTGCTGGAGCGGTTTCTCCACTGCAGGCACGGGGCGACTTGTAACGATGACCTTGACATTTGAAGGTCTCCATCTGCCAAGATCTGCAAGAGCCTTGAGAAACTCATCGTTTCCCTTGTCCATCTCGTCTAGGGCGTCAACCACGCAGAAGGCCTTAGGTATGGTGCCAAAGGCCAGCCTTAACTCGCCCCACATATCGTTCATAGATACATCATCAATACCCCGATTCTTATCGATGTACTCCTTCTTCAATCGATTCTGAAGGGGGGGAGAGTAACTCAAGACCTGGTCCAGCCAGTCTCGCAGCAGAGCAACCGGGGCGTGATTGGCATCGATGATCTGGCGGAAAAAGAAGAACAGGGTTGGAACTTGCTCTTCCTGAGATAGCCGCTCAATGAGACTGGCAGCAACAACAGACTTGCCCGAACCAGGGATTCCCTTTATCCAAAGCATCCCCTGGTCGTCGCTATCGTGCCACTCTTTGTACGAGGCGGTCTGGCGAATCCAGTCGCCTGTGCCCGCGAGGTGTGACCTTTGGTGTTTCCTGAACTCGCCATTCTCAGCGTTGTACTTGGTTGGTTTGAGCCAATCGCGGATCTCGGCCTCTGCCTCTGGCGAGACAGGTTCGTTGAAGTCGTCCGAGTCGTCTGAGTCGTTCAAGTCGGTGTGTTCGACGACGACCATGTCATCATCCCACGGCCGCTCGTCTGTAGACATGGTGTATAAGCCCAATCTGAGGGGGGAAATATAGCTGCTGGAACGTGAACGAGGAAGGTACTTGTTTCTCTCGCCGGAACTTTGGTTGGCACTTTGGTTTAGTTGCGGGAGGAGCAAGAGAGCTGCCTGATTTCGCCGTGCCTATCAGCAAGCGACGGCTAAGCTCTCGGCCTGCAATTTCAAATGAGTAAGCTTACAGCTTGCTCGCCAGGAGTTGCTGCCGGTGAGACGAGACTGGCCTGTCAACCCCTCAAATATCGATGCTGACCGCCAGCTTGTCTGCCTGGGACGGACCCGGTTAATGCTGATGGCAGCCTCCACAGTCTTCAGCAAAGCCACACCCAAGCCACTGCCCAGATAAAGCCACCGTTCATTATGGAAGACAAACTTGATAGATAGCAATTAATCCTCAATGTCACATTCAGGCATCTGATTTGATATTGGGTCTATCATTGGGTACTGGGATGGACTCTGATTCAGATAATAGCTTGATGGCATACAGAAGCTACCTACCCTACAGTCTCTGAAGAGCTGATACTTTCCACGAGAAGTTGTAGCAGATTCTTAGATGGCTCCTATTCAAGACTGTTATAGGGGATAATAAAAACAATCTTATCTCAAGGAAGAATTTTTTATGAGATGTCTACTGAATCGCAGGTCGCAGGGTTGTACATAGATTACATGAAGGCTAACCGTGGTGTTCTGGCATGTGAATCTCAAAACGAGTGAAATTGCGAGCTCTCCCTCATTCTACCAACGGAAATACTTACCCTATTCAATATCAAATGAGAAAAATGATAACAACATCATCCAAATATATCTCATACAGTTCGATCGATCACAGGATAATGGTACGATGTTTTTAAAATTGTGAAGACATGCCTAGCGAGTAGTTTGCGTGAAGAAATGAGCGCGATGATCATCCCTGTTTTCCAGTGCGAGGCCTCCACCGTCTCAGCCCCACGCCGGTCACAGGCTCTGAAACCTCTGGCGCGGCATTTGAGCGACAGCCGTATGTCTTGGACCGCTTGCGGCTACCATAGGGACCGTCGCGTGTTAAAGATACTGATGAGAGCCAGAGGGCCGCCTCGGTTTCTGGAGAGGAGAGTGAAGCGGGAGTGGCGGCGGGAGAGGAGGTCATCTTGTCGCCACCAGATTGAGTGTCGGCGATGGCGGCTTCTCCAGTCTTCTACAGTAATTACGTAGGTATCTTGACTGAGCGGAGGATTGACAAACCCGCGACCTCCCGATCGGCGCTGGTCGGCTGCGGCGATTGAGCATGAAAGCGGCCGGTGCGCTGAAGGGTTTCGCTCCCTTCCAACCCACCGAAAATCGGGTCTGAATGACTCTGTTTATTTCCTGCCTCGGCATAGCAAAGCTTTTCCGGCACTTGTCCTGCCGCGAGATGTACTTCTGCTGGGAAAAATTAGCATTTGAAAATCATCAACAGACTAGGCCGCGACTAGCCAAATCACTTGACCAGCGTGGCCGGAAGTCGCGGTATTAAACTCTGTCATGGACCTCGCAGATAACAATCTGTATGATATCACGGGGCGACTGAAAGGCATTGTTCTGCTCAATTGACGGAATAAACTCATCATGATACCATATCTACTGCTGTGACGTTCCCAGTCGACAAACCACCAAGGATGGCGCTCAACCTGACGCGCACGAGGTCTCACGGCCCTGGCCACATCGCCTTCGAGGACGCGACCGCGAAGAAACACCCGTCAGGCAATGTTGACGACGAGGGGCGCGTCAATGTCCAGTTCCACGACAACCCCGAGGCCCTCGCGGCGTGGGCGAGGCACTTCCAGCACTCTCTCTGCGAGCCCGAACGTCCTCGGCAGCGCAGGCAGAGCAGCTTCGCCGTGCCTCTGGATGAGGATCTGACGTGCAATCCGCGTCTCAACATCGCCATGCACATCGTCGGGTCCCGCGGCGACGTCCAGCCCTTCATCCCCATCGCCCAGCTGCTCTCCCGGCCGCCGTACAATCATCGCGTCCGGATCTGCACGCACCCCGTCTTCAAGGACTTCGTTGAGGAGCAGGGCGTTGAGTTCTTCAGCATCGGCGGCAACCCCGAGGCCCTCATGGCCTACATGGTCAAGAACCCGGGTCTGCTGCCCAGCCGCCAGAGCCTCAAGGCCGGCGACGTCAGCCAGAGGCGCAAGGAGATGTGGGAGATCATCAACGGCGCGTGGAGGAGCTGCATCGAGTCCGGCGACGGCATGGGGCCGAGAGTCACTGCGGCCAGGACGAGAACTACCAAGGACCTCTTCATCGCCGACGCCATCATCGCCAATCCACCGTCCATGGCCCATATCCACTGCGCCGAGAAGCTGGGCATTCCGCTGCACATGGTCTTCACCATGCCGTGGTCGCCGACTGAGAAGTTCTCGCATCCGCTTGCTGCGATGAGCTACGGTGATGCGGACAGGTCGATGGCCAACTACCTCTCCTTCATGATGGTAGAGCTGCTGACCTGGGAAGGGTATGGGCCTAAAATGAACTATCCGTCAACGTCCATCTGCTGACAACACTGAATATAGACTCGGCGACTTGATAAATAAGTTTCGAATGAAGATCCTGCACTTGGACTCCATCAGCCCAATGTGGGGATATCAGCTTCTGCCCAGGATGCGCGTACCATATTCATATCTCTGGTCATCATCACTAATACCAAAGCCAGACGACTGGGGTTCACACATCACAATCACGGGCTTCTCTTTTCTCAAACTCGCACACACCTACACCCCTCCTTCCGACCTCGCCGCATTTCTAGAGAAAGGACCTACCCCAATCTACATCGGCTTCGGGTCCATCGTCGTTGAAGATCCGCAAGCCCTCACCAACTTAATCTTCGACGCCGTCAAGCTCGCAGGCGTCCGAGCAATCGTCTCCAAGGGCTGGGGAGGCGTAGGCGGCGAGCTCGACGTCCCAGAAGACATCTATCTCATCGGCAACGCCCCCCACGACTGGCTATTCAACCACGTCTCCGCCGTCGTCCACCACGGCGGCGCCGGCACCACCGCAGCAGGAATCGCCGCCGGCCGTCCCACCGTCGTCGTCCCCTTCTTCGGCGACCAGCCCTTCTGGGGCCAGATGATGGCACGAGCCGGCGCGGGGCCATCCCCCGTCCCCTTCAACAAGATGACCGCCCAGACCCTCGCCAACAGCATCCTCTTCGCGCTGGAACCCCAGGTCCTCGAGGCCGCGCAGACCATGGCCGAGGCCGTCGCGCAGGAGGACGGCGCGGCCCAGACCGCCGCCGACTTCCACGACCGGCTCAGCCCGGACGACTTCAGATGCGACGTCTGCCCGGAGAGGCTGGCCGTGTGGCTGCACAAGCCGACAGGAACACACCTCAGCGCGTTCGCCTGCTGCGTCTTAGTCCACGAGGGCCTCATCCAGCCCAACCACATCAGACCGCTGCGCCATAAACACTGGTACGTCGACGAAGGCGCCGAGAACCCCATCGTTGGAGCGGCAGCCGCCTTCTCGGGCTTCTTCACTGCCGTGGGGACAGCCACAAAGGACTACTCACAACGTCTCAAGACGCGCCCTCGCGCTTCAAAGGCATCGGACAGCGACGGCGGGGACTCCCACATCGGGACGTCCGGGTCGGACAACGTAAACGACGACGGCGACAAGACCGCAGACGACACGGCCGTCCGGACCCCGAGCGTCTGGAAGGAGAGACCGCCACTGACCCCCGTCGAGATGGAGACGATTGCGTTCAAGCTGGCGACCAAGTCGCTCCGCAGCGTCGGGGACACCGTCACGGCCAGGCTGCCCCGCGCGCCCTCGACGTACGAGCGGCGGCTCGCGTCGTGGAAGTTGCAGGAGCAGGGGCGCCATGGGAATGTGTACTACATTACGCGCGCGACGGGGCGGTACGCTGCTGATATCGGCAAGGCGGGGCTGAAGGCACCCGTTGCGTTTCTGTATAATGTCGCCAATGGTTTCCACAACGTGCCCTCGTATAGTCTGGTTGGTCCTGTGGACGTACGTCGCCGGGATGAGATCACAGGTGTGAAGAGTGGGTTCAAGACAGCGGGTACTGAGTTCGTGCTGGGCATCTGGGATGCGTTCAGCGGGATCGTCGTGAGGCCGTATAACGGAGCCAAGAGCGAGGGGGCTAAAGGGTTCGGCAAGGGCATGTTCCACGGCGTCAAGGGAGTTTTATCAAATTTAGGAGCTGGTAAGTTCAGCCTTGAGCAGTTCGTGTTTATCGATTTTCGCATGGGACTAATTCTGATGGCAGCATTCTTCGGCCTGCCGGGCTATTCACTCAAGGGCATCGAAAAAGCATTGGCAAAGGACCAAGTCACCAGGTTGAAGGCTGAACTACTTCTCATCAGGCTGAGACAAGGCATAGACGACTTCCACAATTCGACGATGGAGGAGAGAGAGAAGGTCAAATTGAGGTGGGAATCAACATATTCGAGTGCTTGACTCCGATGAGTTTACATTACCAAAAAGCACGGGTCGCGCCGACCGACTCAACCAGAGACATGACATTTATTAGTACTTATACCCGGGGCTTCGTCAGACTATAGATCTTTATTTAATATTCAATACCCATGCGCTCATGATCACTCCGTGCGTAGCTTTAAGCTTAATATTTTCTTTATTTAGCCTAGATAGTTTATTGGAAGAAGGCGTTAACGAGGCGCGTTTTTAATATAATCTTTTTTCTTTATTAGGTGTAATGATACAAGTAATTATACTACTCTGATTATATTCGACCTCTCAATCACCAAGGACGCGAAGCCAAACACCAAGTTACTCGTACAAAACCCGTCTAAACCACCTGGATCTTAGGAGTCTTAAACACGCTCCAGTTATCGCCATTGGTGGGGACACCGAATGGGTTGAGCGCAGCAAAACGCATACTATATCAAGTGTCAGTACAGATGATTCATAAGTTTCGCATCAGTAGGTGATACTCACATGTATTCACCCGGCTTGATCTTGGTGCCGTCGCCGAGCTTGCC